CGGAGGGTCTGCAAGTGAAGTTGCTACCGACAAGCAGGTGGAGGAAATGGCCAATAGGTTCGCAAGGGCTATGACCAGTTTTCTGGAATCCAGAGCTGCTGCGGAGACCCTTATAGACCCTGCTTCCCAGGCTACAGCACCCGCAAAGAGCCAGCCAAAGGATCCAAATTCGACAGAGAGAGAAACAACACCAGAGGTGGAAAAGTCAGTCTCGGGGGTGCTCATGCTTGAGGACCGAGCCAGAGCTGCAGACGAAGCCAAGCCAAATGACCCAAAGCAAGAAACAAATGACCCTCCCAAAACAGCCCAGCCAAACGACCCACAGAAAGAAAAACCGGAGAACGACCCTGCCAAAACAGCCTAGCCAAACGACCCAAAGAAAGAAACAAAGCTGGAGCCTGTGGAACCTGAAGCACCTGAGACCGCGAGAAGTGGGAGTTCAAAAGATGTCCCAGAGGAAGTCGACGAGGTTGCCTCCACAGTCCCAGGTTCCCAACAATCCTCTACAACAAGAAAGACCTTGAAGGGCTGAGCGAAGGTGCTTGTTTTGTTTTTCTTATAAATATTATACATATGTTTTAAAACAATCGCAATGGTTGGTTCATTCATGCCCCCTGCAGATCGAATCCTGGAGCTGCACCAATCGGGCTTGGTCCCTGCGTCTCTCATCAACACGTCCAATTGCAGGAAGATGGCCATGCGTATGCGTCGGCGCTGTGAAAAGGAGGGGTTGGCAGCCAAGTGCCCTAACGTTGCAAAGTTATTTGAAGGAAGCGACCAAGACCGTTTGTCTTTGCTTCGCACATGGCTAGCCAGTGGAGAAGTCTTGGACAAGTGTGAGCTTTCCCTTGAGATGACAAAAGAGGTGGAGAATATGTACGAGGGTGAGGACCAGCTGCTTACCATCGAAGGTATGCGTAAGGCAGGGTTTCAGAGACACTAGACTAGACTTGTATTGTGCGTATACATTTCTTTTCCCCTTTTGCTGTTGATATGGATGTTTGTTGTAAAAGCAAATTTTGAGAAGTCCGAAACCCAAATGACAACTAAGGAAGAAGATCCAGGCTGTGGTCAGCACTCGTCAGCCAATCTTGGATCCAGAGTTTCCAGAAAATTTGGAAGAGGCAAGATATTGGTGCAACGTCCGAACTTCACGAAGCAACGTACAAAGATCCAAGTTGTCTTTGAAAGGGGAGGTCCAAGTCAATCCAACAGGTGAGGCAGTGCAAGCTTTGACCTCTGGGGCCAATCTACCTACCTAGTCCTGGAGCAGTCAACATGACGGAAGTTCTGGCCAAGATTTCCGAAACCAAGCTGACAGGTCGGGGATTGGTTTTTGTACACTGTTTTGTGTATGTTTTGTTCATTGAACAGTGTACAGTACAATTTCTGAATACAATTTCTGAATTTCCAAGGTGTGGAAGAACCACAGCCCAAGGCCAAGGGGCGGGGTGAAAAGCAAAGCAAAGGCCAAACCCATCCCAAAGCCCCAAGAGCCACAGACCTGGGAAGAGCAAGTTTCTGCATGCTGCGCCTCGAAGAATAATCATTTGAATCAACCCATACAAAAATACTAGAGCATATGTTTACACATTTCTTCTCAGGTAATGATTTGCGGTCTTCCTACAATGCGTGCTCGGTGGCTATGGAGTTGCCAAAAGATCACGACCTCAGGAAGAACCTGAACATGTCAAAAGCAGAATTGGCAACTTTGGTGGACAAAATCAAGGACTTTGATTTGGACGATGAGACCTTGGATGAGAGTCAGTTGGAAAGAATGATGAGTTTGGCGAAGCAGAAGGCTCTATATGGGTCAAAACGCATTTGTTATGATTATAGTCATAGTTGTAGATTCTTTTTGAGCTGTCCTGTCAGATCAATTCCACCAAGATGACGATTGCGCAAGCGAAAGCTGTCATTCGTGAACTAGCAAAACGCTCCGGCTGCTTTACTAGAAAGGCTTCATATGTTTACACACCAAAACTCATGCGGCCTATTTGCTTTCCCGACCAAGGCTAGTTATTCTGGAAATGAGCCTTGATGGAGCCCTGACTCGGTTAGCGGCTAGGGATGCATACGACAAACTGTATGCGGGGTAAAGACCGCAGGGTGAAGCTCCACGGCAAAGAGCTTGGAAAAAATACGAGCTATCGGCCATCTCAAAAAAGACCACTTCTAAATTAGCTTTTTGGATTCGCGTTGCTGTGGAGGCGGCCTGGTTCCAATACATATTCGTGAAGAGTTGGATCATTTGCCTCTTGAATTAGTTTGTCGGTCGAAGTTTTCTAGAATTCTAACAGATATCGTTTTGTTGGTAAGCTATAAGGCTAGCGGAATCTTTTTTGGAAAAGCTAAGGCTAGCGGAAGCATTCGGACAAGGGGATATCTCCCAAGATTTGGCTGAGCGAATTGGAGCTGTCTATGGCTCTATTGGCTTTGGGACTTTTGGCATAGCCTTCAACTTTTTCATGACTCGGGACTTTTCACTCGAATTTTGGAAGTTTCCCCAAATATGGTTTCACAATTAATGCTGCTTTTGTTCGAGAGTTTGAGGACCGGGCGTGGCTATTCTGGGGAGCAGCGGTTGCACAAGCGCCTTTCTCAAGCTGGGCTTTCTTTACCGTGCAAGGTCGAGGAAGTTGGAATTCCCATTTGCATTGAAGACGATGATGGGGAGGACAAAGTGGAGATTGTACAATGGCCAGTTCTGCTACCACATGTTCTTGTTGAAGCTCTTGCCAAAGAAGGCTTGTCTCATACTATGCTGGGTTCACGATCTGACCATACCAAATACTGGACATCTATGAGCCATGATTTTCCAAACCACCAAGTTGCAGATCCACAGTACACAATACCACTGGTTCTGTACGGAGACGAAGCCACAGTATTTCGGCAGGCTTGCATGTGTGTTCACTTTCACCCTCTACTCTGCAAGAACAAGACTAATGCGACGCTAAGTCGATACCTGATAGCGCTGGTACCCAGTGAAAACTACTGGGTGGTTCTTGGTTCAAACGTTGAATATTTTTAGTTGTCAGGGCTGCATGCTTTGTTTTTGTGATCTGTGCAACTTTTTTTGCTCTGGAATTTGGTTGTGAGGTGAATGGAGTCAACAGGACTTTGCAAGCCCTACTATCGGAAGTTGTCCGTTCGTTGAACCAGCTTTCCCGAGATGGTGTCTATGATCCAGTGACGGAAAAAACGTTCCAGTTCCGCGTGATGAGTGTGAGGGGGGACTGGAAGTTCCTCAAGCAGGCCTTCAACCTCACACGACACCCAGGTACTGAATATATTTGCTGGAAGTGTAGTGCGGCCAAGGGAACTCGACCAAACACAGCAGCTTTAAACTTTACAGACCTGTCCGCAAGCGCAGCTTGGGTTGCTACCATTGGGGTAAGTGAGGCTCCCTTCAAAGATGTGCCAGCAATCACCCTGCTCGATTTTTTCAGTGAAGACAAAATATCAATGGATGTTTTGCACATATGGTATTTGGGAGTCGGAAGAGACATGATGCTGATCCTACATTTTAAGTCATTTTAATATATACAAGATGTTTTTCCTTTCGAAACAATCTTTCTGTGCTGGTCGGGAAATTGAATTTTCCTAGGGACCTAGCTGTGTTCTTTGGAACTGAGGATTGGGAGTGTGGTGTCATTTCTGTGCCGCCGGGGCTACTTTGGATCTGGTGGCCTCAAAAAAAACTGAAAAGAGCTAATGCTCAATTTCGGGCATGGTGCAAGCGCACGGGCTATCGTGTGGCGCTGAAACGATTGACTACAGTCAACCTCAGTCTCAAGAAGGGTTCCTACCCTGACCTTTGGTTCTAAGTTCAGCCGGTCAGTCTTTTGTTTGGGTTTTTGTTCAGTTTTCGTGTTAGGGGTTGGGATGTTCCTCGCTTTGGCGGACTAAGGAGCTGAGAGCTAAAGGCTACGACTGCGCAGAGCTGGGGATGTGGCTATGTCGAGCTGGAAGGCTGTCCAGACTACGGCAATCATGTGTACAGTTTGGTGTGGGCAGCAAATTTTTTTTGACTGTGCTGCATTCCAAAGACTTGTTATCCCGACAAGAAGCGAGTCAGACTCGGGTTGTGGGTCAGTTCTGGTTGAAATTTTGGCTTACGTTTGCAAATCGTGAGCCGGGTCGATGGCGGCTACGCCCAAAGTTTCACCTACTCTTTCATTTTGTTTGCTCAGCCGATGATGGCAAGAGTTTGCGTTCACCCATATGCGATGGATGGAACGTGGATGGACGAAGAGTGGATCAAACGAATCGTTCGGATAATTCGAAAAAACTCACAAAAAAACCAGTCCAAAGACGGCAATTTGCCGGCATCTTGTGCTTTTACAGCAAAAGCTGTTCAAAGGCAAAGCATTGTGAACGGATGAGGTGAGTGGGGAAAATGATAGGCCAGGGCGCTTTGGTAGACAGTACCGTGTCTGGTTGTTTTGAACTCTCTGTGTGTGTCTGTGTGGGTTTTGTGTGGGGAGGTAGGTGTGTTTCTGGTTCACATACCCAAGTGTCTTACAAGAGTGCCCCATCCACAAATCCATTGTGTTTGCTGCTAGCATACTATGGTTCGCTTACCAGGTCTTGAGCCACAAATCCATTGTGGTTTGCTGCTAGTCGCATGCTATTTCTGGCTCGCTTGCCAGGTCTTGAACCAAAAATCCATTGTGGTTTGCTGCTAGTCGCATGCTATTTCTGGTTGTCTTACCAGGTCTTGAACCACAAATCCATTGTGGTTTGCTGCTTACAGCAAGCTAATTCTGACGTCAAAAGTCCATTTGTCAAACATGTCTTGCAAAAAACATCATTTGTTAAACATTTCGCGAAATCATAGCGAATTAGCAAATGCAAAAAAAAGTTTGACGAATGCATCTCTAGGAGTAGCTTCTTGTTCCTAGTAGCGATGCCCTTTGTTCCTAGTAGCGTCCTTGCTCCTATATCTCCGGCACGAAGCACTCTCTATCTATCTATCTCTGTCTCTCTGTGGGCACGACGCAACGGCGACTTCGGCGTCCAATGATCCCTGCAACATCAACGGCGCAAGCAGAATGCAAAGCACAAGCAGAAAGCACAAGCATGACACCAAGAGCGACCTCCTCAGCCAACAAAATGGCAACCCATAGATCCATGAGAATGCCGAGCCTAAGAGTGGTGGGGCCCTCCCTGGCTCTGGAGTCTGTGCCACATCTTCAAATTACTCTTTCTTCGAGTTGAGTTCATGTCTCCGTTCCAATCAGACTGGGCCCAAAACAGCGCTATGGCAATCAAACCTCGGCGATTCAGGATGGACGTTCTTTGAAAATCTCAAACCTAAAGAACACCTATTTTCGCCCCCCTATGAAACAAGAAGCTCCACGACTTCCGTGGCGCCAACAGCAAGGTGTTCGCGCCAATGGGGCAGCTTAAGTTTGGAGATGCCCTGTTGGAATCGACACCCCACCTCTGAAGAAGATAGAAGAAGTACATGAACAACGCTTTGAACAAATCGCAAACGCCTGTGAAGCATCCGGCAGTCTAAGCATGAAAAAGTGGAAAAGGAAGACTTTACCATCTGCTGTTGAAGTACAATGGGGCGCCAGTAGAAGCGGTCAATTTCTTGCTGCGTAATCTTTACAAAAAATGCGAGACGAGCGTTTTGCACCTCAAGGCTAAATTGGACCCCACTTGCACACGACTGGAGTTCCGGAGTTCCGGGAGCAGTAGTTGTACTATCCTGTACTAAAAAATCCAAGCCTCTATACAGTATTTAATCCACCCACTTCAATCCACTGGGTGGACGTGTGCAACAGATCAGTCTTCTTTCATATTGCAACGCGCCTGTCAGATATTGCACCACAAGGCTGAGGCCTCTGCCACCAACCATCAGGATGAACTCCCGGTGGTTCAGCAGGCCTGGCACGTCCAGCCCTGCAAAAAAGAGCGAAGCTCCCACAAGATCGGAAGGAGACTGAGGTTGGTGCCGATGACGTTCTTCACCCATTTGCCTGGGACCAACTTGATTCACGACGAAGTCGAACAGTTCGAACAACAGACTAAAGATTTTCTTCTGTTTGAAAACAGGAGGCAGTAATGGTCATAGCGGCGAATTGGACGGCGATACTGAAACGACCTGATGTTGGACAGGATCACACGCGACGTGAGATAGGCGGTACAACACAGTCTCAGTCTGACAAAGCAACCCAAGCAAACAGACCAAACACAGCACATCCGTGTCATAAATTGTCGTTGTATTTGCTGCTCAGACATCTTGGCAAAAGACTTGTGGGCACGTTGCGGTAACCCCTGTCGCAAGCATGTCATGAACTCCAATCCAAAAAATGTTTTTCCTGAGCTAAGGCTACCTTAACCTGTGTTTTCTGCGCCTCTTCGATGTCGTGGCTCACATTGCGCGTTTTCCTCGATTGACCAGGGTCGGCATTGATACAGTACCTCGTTTTCATGGCGACGAAGCATTCAGCAAAAGCATGCAAAGCGACATGAACCACATGTTTCGCTGCGGGCACATCATGCACCCCAGAGTGATCAAAAACAAGACACCGAAGGTCGTGTAGAGTGCCACCTCCACGACAAATGCACACTCTAGGCCTTTATGTCCTTTCAGCACAGAATGGTGGCCGAGGCCTCGCGCATTCCCGTTGCCCTGCAAATTATAGGGATCTGGATGAAAAACACACAGATTGCTCCCGCCACCTCAAAAAGACATCGCAAGAATGCATGAATACGCTGATGGCAAAAGGCAAACATAAAGGACTTCAGGATGGCACAGTCGAGGAAGCCAGAGCCTTGTAAGTGGCTCAGAAATGTTTGACTCAAAGGGTCTGACTACACCCGTACGAATATTTGGGCACAGGGCCGTTGGAAGAAACGGCTTCCAATCGATGCCGCAATAGACATATTCCATTTTCCTTGGGAAGCTCGCCATACTGCGCACAAACTAAAACATATGGAATTGGGCACCCAGACTTGTCCTCGGCAACCGACTGTTCATCGTCAGACTCAAGTTCTTCCTACACCCCAGCGCATTACAAGTAAATCTTCCTGAGACAACATGACCCAACTGGTTGGTCTTCAAGTCACGGTGCCCAAAGTCACAGTCGCGCCCTTCAATCACCTATCTTTAAAGGTCTAGTGGCAAATTCTCCCTTGAAGCACTTGTCTTTCACATACAATTTGTCTCATACGCGGCGCCTCCTTAGCTTGTGTGGAAACAGCTGTCCTCGGCATATTGCTCAATAATCCGTAGCAAATCCAAGGGCGGAGACTTCAAACCATGGTACGAAAGCCATCTTCATCCCTGCTCTGAGCGAGCGGCACAGTTGTCAACGTTTGGTTGACGGGCGAGGCGTCATTCCTGCGGTTTGCGCTCACTCATGATCCACTTGGCTGGTGCACAAACAAGCTGAAGCTGTCTGTCATGGCAGGTGCCATTAGTTGCATCATATGTTGGTACCTTCGCGAGAAAAACAAGCAGCAAACAAAGCACGCGTTTGCAAAATTGCGTCATCACCAATATGTTACTCTGTTACACAACAATGAAAAAACATCAGATCTTGCAGCGGCACGGTGGACCATGGTCCCCCATATACCCAGCCGGTGGAGGCTGCAGAGCCACTGCCGGCAGGTAGCCTAGGAAAGGGTTGGAGACAGGTTCCCTCACAGTCCTACTCCAAACAGGTCAGTGGCAGAATGCAAAACACGGAATCAAAGCACCTGATACAATTATGCATTGGCACAGTAGGCGTGCCAGAGCGTGTCTGAACTGTCAGGAAGATTGAAGAGAGGCATGGCTGTGTAACGCTGCATGTGTGTGTGTGCGTGTGCCAACTCCTGTTCCCAAGGAGTTTGACCACATGAATCAATCCCCAATGAGTTCATTTTACTTTAATGTACCTTGTACAGTCACGCAGGGGGCAACGCACACTTTGGAAGGCATTGCCCAACGAAGGCCTTTCCATTGCGTTGCGACATGACTTTGGGACGCCGAAGTCACGTACCTGCAAAATGTTAAGCTTGGCCGTGCTTTGACTGTTGCCAGTCTTTTACTAAAGTGCTAGCGCGTGATGTTCAACGCTTCAAGTCTCTGACCCTTCGCCTTGCGGCTCCTTCGAGTCAAGGTCTAATGTAACCAGTAACTAGCCCACGGGAAGTTCCAAACTGATATGGCTCTTGCAAGTGTGGGTCTAAGCGTGTGCGCCGCAGCGTCGTCCCACTGGATCCCTTCGGGGCACTTTGAGCATAGACCTAAGGGGGCTCTCCACCGGATATTCGTCGTATTTGATTCTTGATGATCTCTCGTTTCTGCTCATGTCTTTCATGTCACGCGGCTAATGTATTCACCTGGAAGCTTCACACTGAGTAATTCATGCACGGTCTTGCTTTCTCTCCTTCTCTTTCTCAGTCTTTCCTTCGTTGCTGGAGGCTTTTAAGTTCCAGGTCAATTTTCGGTCAAGGGAGCGCCGATACGGCTTAGTGTGTGTGTGTGCATGAATCAATCCCCAATGAGTTCGTTTACTTCAATTTACCTTGTACAGTCATGCAGGGGGGCAATGAACACCTGGGAAGAAAAGAGAGGAAGAGGACAGGTGTTCCCAGCTACGAACAAGCGTCCAGGGACACACAAGGGAGAAAGGGGGGAACTTGAGTATTACATTCAGGAACACACCAAAAAGAGAGGAAAGGAAAAGAAGGTGTTCCCAGCTACGACACAAGCGTCCAAGAACACACCAAGAGGAAAGAAGGGTTCCCAGCTATGACGAAAGCATCCAGGGACACCCAAACAAGAAGGAGGGAAAGGAAAGGAAGGAGAAGAGAGAGAGAGAGAGAGAGAGAACGAAGACCTGTCCATTGCGTTGCGGCATGACTTTGAGACGCCGAAGGCACGTACCTGCACCAATTTTAAGCTTGGCCGCGCTTAAACTGTTGAACAAGAGTAGCTCACGGGAAGTTCCAAACTGATAAGCATGGATCTAAGTGTGTGTGTGTGTGCGCGCACGTGTATCTAGAGGTGGACCGGAGGTGCATTGGGGCACGTAGAACTCTCGTGATAGGGCTTGCTGACAGTTCTCACGCACGCAGTTCCAAGGTTATAATAGGTTTCCTGAAGGACTCAAGGACGCGGGAACCAACCACTAGAGTTATGATGTACCTTGACCATCCACTTAGTACAGCATCATTTTGGCAAATGCCGCCTTTACGTTTTGGCTCAAGAACTGTCACGGAAAACAGTGCGCGTCCATGGTTCTTGGTTTCAACTGAGACGAATGCCTACTTAAGAAACAAATTTTGTGTGGTAAGATTCTGCATTGGATTCAGGTTATGTAGGGCATCCTGAGTGCATCATGTTTCATCCTACCTGAACCTATACCAACAGATTGTATGTCCCCAACCCCAACCCCTTTCATTCCATGATATCGTCATAGATTGTTTTTTTTCGAAACTCTCCATCTTACATGTTGAAATGTTTGCTGCCTCTTTTGTTTGTTTTGTTCTTGCTATCGGCCACTGGGCCTTCTGCAACTTTGATGTATTCCTTCCTGGGCCTTTCCTTGGAACCTTTGGCCTCCAGATTTGCCAGAAATGTGCTTTTTCTGAGTCACGGACTATTCTCACATATGTTTTCAGGGGTGGGTGTCTTGAAAACGAAGTAAATAGACTAGATAGCCGATTTCAGGACTGATACTCCTGAAAATAGAGCGGCTTCAACAAAGGGTGCAAACCCCCTAATACACTTGATGCCAAGAGGCTTCCGACAGGGGAAGGCCCCGCCCTCCAGGCACAAGCAAAGCACGCGCAAGTGTTTTCGGAAAATCAAGACGTTCATGTTCCAGTTTTGCGCTGTCACCATAAATTCGGAGCACTGATGCATGCGTGTGCACGGTTCATTCAAGACTGAAAAAGAAGTCCAACCTGACAGACTGCATTGCCGCAAGTAGTCTGCGTACTCCACGATTGCCGACACACTCGAGCAAAAGCAGCTTCGGAGAAGCGTTGGCTCAGGACATTGTGCTCACTGCAACAACCAATTGACCAATCCACTCTTGCATGCTAGCCATGGGGCAGCCTCCAGTTGTATTTTCAGCGCCCTCTGTACACAGGCAGGGCAAAGTGATGGGAAACACTAGGAGCTTTATATCTACAGCTGATTGAAACTGTATTCGCTCTTAGGCTCTTAGGCTTCACAAAGCTTCCTGTGAATGCAATTGCCATGGCCAGCATGCCAGCGGCGGAATCGTTACGGCAATCATGGTCTCTTCAGTCGTTTTGCTATGTCAGAATACTTTGAAATTCTGAAACTCATGAAAACTCCCCCGGTAAGACAAATCCATGTTAATTGAGTTGGATTCACACAAGGGATGCATTTGTCATGAGCTAGCTCAAGAATGACTGTCCTTTACAGCCACAGCAAAAGGCAAATGCTGCTTCAATCATGTCAATGCCTGATGTGAGCAGCAAGTGCATTTAGAGCTTCAACCTCACTTACGCGCAATGTCCTTCCATTCGCCGCAAGCTCTAAAAACGAACTTCGCGATCTGCAAATCTCCACACCTGTCCAGCCTGCCTAGGTAGGTGAGGCAACGTCAAATCCGCAAGAAATAAAGTTTTGAGGAATTGTTGGATCTATTGCATTTGTTGGGTCGCAGGACAGGGCAGTGAGTCAGGAAACCTGGATGGGTAGTGAGTCAGGAAATCTGGACAGGAAACAAGTCAGGTCACATCCAAGGGAAATGAGTCCGGCAAGTAGAAACAACTAGAACAGGTAGAATTGAACACTTGAAAACTGTCAGGGAAAACGGGTACGGAGTCCAGAGACGGAGAGGAGGACCCTTTTCAGAGGACAAAGGTGTAAGAAACCAGAAAAAAAGGAAAGCCCCAAACCAAGTTCACACAAATGAATCCTAAAAAAGTGACGCCCCAAACCAAGTCCAAAGAACCCCCCAAGAAAAAGGAAAGCCCTAAACCAAGCCCACACAAACCCTAAAGAAGTCAAGCCCTAAAGATCCCTAAACCAAGCCGTGAGAAACCTTGAAGAAGTGCAGCCCAAGCCCAAAGAAACCCTAAAGAAGTGCAGTTCCTAACTAATGCGAACGAAACCCTGCTGCAATGACACCCTACTGTAAATAGAGCACAAGCAAAGTCTCAAGAATCGCAGCCCTAAACCAAGCCTAAACAAAAAAAGCAACTAAAGAAATGAAGCCCTAAGCCAAGCCAAAACAGACAAACCTTAAAGAAGTCAAGCCCTAAAGCAACCCCAAACAAAGAAACTCTAAAGAAGTCAAGCCCTAGAGCAAGCCCACCGAAACCATAAAGAAATGAAACCTTAAAGCAAGCCCTCAGAAACCCTAAAGAGGTGAAGCCCAAGCCCAAAGAAGCCCTACAGAAGTGAACGAGTGAACCGCCAAAAGAAACCCAAACAAGCCCTAAAGAAGTGCAGCCCTAAGCCAAGCCACACTAAAGAAGTGAAGCCCAAGCCCCCCAAAAAAAACCTAGAGAAGTGAAAATCAGAACTAATAATAAGTAAAGCACCAAAGCAAAGAAACCGTGAGGAAGTGAAGCTTGAAACCAAGTCTAAACATGACCTCAAGAAGTCAAGTCCTAAACCAAGCCCTAAGAAACCCTGAAGAAGTGAAGCCCCAAACCATGCCAAAAGAAACCCTAAAGAAGTGAAACCCCGAAGCAAAGGAAAATTTCGTTGGGCCTGCTACAAAAAACTTTCTTTGTGCTCCTTCTTGTTCCTCTTTACATCATTGATACAACGCAGCTTTCTCATCACCAAAGTACGGAGATGCCCTTTCGTCTACTCTACTATATGATAAACTTGTTGTGTCCTCCTACTCCTCCTCATCTGTATTTCTGTGCCCTTTCTTGATATTGATTGTCTCCTCGACATGTTTCCAGGTTTCCTGACTCTGTCTTCTCCCCCGGAGTTTTCCTCCCATCTCCCATCCATAATCAAGCTCAGCAGCTCCGCGCATGCTGCGATGGTGACCAGAGGCTGAGCAGCTCCCACCAGGCTCGAAACGCGGACGTGGTCCACCCGTGAAAAGCAGTCCAGGAGAAGTGCAAGGAAAGCTAGTCCAGCAGAAAGCATTCCGGACCGTCCTCTTCCAAATCCACCACTGTTGCACGCTTGGGGCCCCGAAGAGAAAGCTGCCCTCTGCCCTCTGCCTCTTCCACCTCGTCAAGGACAGCTGGCGATCTAGGTGCTTTCAAAGCTTCCCAGCAACTCTCCAGCTCTGCATGCCACTGCATTGCTATGGCATCCTCACTGCGAACCGAAGCCTTTCGCAACGCAAAGATCTCCCTGCACGGCGCAGCCGAACTGGTCGGCTCTGCTCGTCGTTCATCCTCTCCGTCGCCCGAGAGCCGAAACTCGCGCGTCGGACCGCGTGCGTCGTCCGTCGTCCGGGAGATCACGTAGTCCAAGCGCCGCGAGTCCGGCGACGGACCCGCTTGGACCGCGCCGGTCCGCGCCTCGCGGTCGGACCCGGTGGGACCGTCACCGTCAGTCCGCGCGCGCTGCAGAATCCGCGAGGCCTCCTGGGTGGACACCGCGAAGGACCAAGCGATCTCACGCAGGGAGACTTGTGAGCGGCGGCCTGTGCAGTGTGCAGCGGCCCTGGACTTTTAGGAGATTTCAATGGGGTGTAAACACGGTGTGCACAACCTAGAGAACCGATGTCTTGCACAAGATGGCACCAACAATGCGAGGCTGCTACCTACGTCAGTCATCTTCAATCTATATAATCTATATATCGGATCATGGGAACCAATGGAATTCAGTCCGCTCAAGTCAACGACTGCCGCACCTTCCAAAGAGCTCAGGACAGCCGCAACGACTGCACCATGGTCACATGTGTCGCTCATCTGCGAAAGCTGTGTGTGTTTTGGGCCTTCAGTTTCACCGGAAGTCTGGCTGGTCACGAGAGGACCCTGGCTTAGCACCATGGTAAGAGGATCTAAGAGGCAAGACTAACAATACCATACCAAAACAAGTAAGACCTAATTCAGGTTTGGGTCCTTGGTTTTCTAGAACCACATATATTGGGGCGACCTCAGGCCTTCGGCCTTCGACATGCCCTCCAAGCGACCCGTCCAGAATGGCACCTCGCGGGAAGCCCTTGCGGTCAAGTCCCATGGTGGCCAACCGGAACAGGTCGAAAAAGCATGAAATAGCATGAATATATGCTTTGTTACTATAATATGATTATAGACATTAATTACTATATTGAATATATTATATATATGTATATATGTGTCACATAGGCCATATATACCTGGAACCCATTTGACACCTGTTTTGATACGAAAAGATCATATTGTGGGTGGTTGGTGGTCCAAAATAGAGGTCATTCAGGTTCCAGGATATATTTGTATATAAAAATATATACCATATACAGTATTATGATAGAGTGTTCTTAATTCGGTTCCCGCACCTCGATTTGGCCTTCTAAGACTCCGTGACCGCCCCTCCGAGACTTTTCCGTGAAACCGCCTGGACATCCCGAAACGGCACCGTGAAAGCGTGGTATCGGGTGCAAGCAAGTGAGACGGAACAACACTCACCTCGGTCACGTGGAAGAAAAAGGCTCTCCAGAAAATCATATGGTCCTCTTAGCAGCGGTCTGTTCCGTTACAAACTATTGTTCAAGCTCAACTCGCCCACTTCTTCCACATCACCAGGTGGTTTGTCCACCATGTGCGCATGAATTCCGTGCCAAACTACAAAGGCGACTTGCTGCTGCGTACTTTCGAACGCCAGCAACTTGCAACGTGCATGACGCACGGGTACCGTTAACAAAGTTTTCCCGTTGGCTGAGGCACTCAGCCTCTTGTCTTTGCAGCCAACTTGGGGCGTGTTTAAGAGTACCTCGATGGATGGATGGAGGATGCATCACAAGCGAGGTTCCAACGAAACATGCGTTTTACAGCAAACCGAGCTTGGTCTTTAATCTGGAGTTATCTTTCAACATGTTCAAATCTAAAAAAATTAACAAAACAAATCATGTCATAGCTGAGAAGTCTCCTCAGGCTCTTGCGCCACGCTGGCGATGATTTGTCGCTGCTTCTGCCAATCCTCACCTCAAGTAACCGGATGATTGCTGTTGCAGTATCAAGTCACATCCTCCTGTCAGGCAGCAGTGATTTCAAGCTGTTTTTTGAGCTGTTCAAAAGCTGCCTCTGGTCCAAACCACGCGCCCTCTTGTGGGAAAAAAAAAGACCCCCAAAAAGGATCACCACCTGCCCATCACCTGGAGCACTTGCCCACCCCACCGCCTTTGTGACCGACCTTTAGGTGGAAGCGAACACAACACGCACACGGCACACGGCACGTTCCTCTCAGGCTCCCGACCCATGAATCGGCCCTCCAACCATGAGCAAGCATACTCGATTTGCAGCTTGGCATCCACTTGACTGGGCCAGCGGAAGAATGGACATCCGGTGCCGGTGAACCGGACCCGGTTCCGGTGGGGCGAACCCGAGGTTTGGGTGCTGTCGTTGGATCGGATGGAGAAAGGCGAAGCCAAATGGGCCTGCTCAAAGGGCTGCTCTGCTCTCCAACCTAGAAGCAATGGCCTCCAACCCTAATAGCGATGGCCTGCAACCATTGTTTCTTAAGGGAAGCAGTCTGCCTTGGACTGTTCACTTTCCACGACGTGACCGGGTTACAAGGGCTAAAGAGCCTCTGTGCCCCACACCTACTGCAACGATGAGGGGCCAACACCCCTGCAAAGGCAAAATCTGAAACATCATCTTCTAACATCTTCCATATAACCAATCAACCAACTTCATCATACATCATCTTCATCATCTAATATACCCCTTTCAAATCCATTCTTCTCTAGCAATGCAACCAACCATCTGAAGCAAAGCGCCGGGCCTGGGGTCATGCTGCATCTTTTCCAGCACGTCTTCGACGTCCATGGAACTGGACCTGGCACTCTCCCAGTGAAAGCAACAGAAAAATCCTCACCTGAAGTGGTGGACCCTATGACAGCGAGTACACAAGCATCGAACAGCCTCTTAGAATAAATGGATGCAGTGCTATGTGGTATGCAAATGTTCCCCAGAGCTCGCTACTTTGCCCCACTCATATGAGTACTGTCCATTTGGGGGCTGAGTTGCATGAGTATGCAACGCTCCAACTGATGATGGTTGTAGATTGAAAAAAGGAGAAAAACATGAAAGAACTATGTATATTTATATATATATATATAGCAAATCAACGCCACACGGCAGCTGCGATTGAGGCTGCCGTAAAAACTTAAACACTCTGCGGCAGTCTGCGAAATTGAGGCTGCGGCTTGTCCATGTCAATGTGCCAAAAAGTGCAGCAGAGGCATGATAGTGCCACCGGCCTTGGCCACGCGTGGGGGTTGTGCCACTGGACTAGCCAATATAATCAATATATGACATTGGCTTCATGCCAATATGACAACTACCTGATAGAGTTGGTGGTCAGTGGAGGAAACTCTTCTGAGAAACATTCTCCTGGTGTGTTGCTAGCTGTACACGAGCTCGGTCGCTGGCACGATGGCGATGCCCAAGAACAGGATGCCGAGCCTCAGTTCATTTCTAGTCGACTTTACTATGCCCTCTCCCCAAGAGACCTAGCAGACCTAGCACCTCCGGTGTTGGGAGGCATGGGGAGAATCGTTTGTGAAGACCTTGTGGATACATTCAAAACGCTTTTAGAAAAAGACCTCCACCCCCCAAGGCACCCGAGCACTGACCTATCTGGGCACTTCTGTCCGTCCCGCCGGACAGCCGTCTGAGACACCGGACGCCTCGCCGGTGCTCATGATGCCACCGTTGTATGGGCCTCGGATCCACCGGACCCGGAGGCCATCGCTCGGACCGGACGCCGTCCTGAGCTCGCTGCAGAAGACACGATAGACTCCATCGCTACACTGACGGACTGGAATGGGCCTGCGCTGAAAAGCACAACATTTCATCATCGAAGCGCTTTCTTGAGGAAGGAAAGCATCTGTGCCGAATTCATCCGCATTCCGCAGCTAGTGACAGATTGTCCTTTCACGGATATCTCGCTTAGAGTATCAAAACTGGACGACAACTATGTGTGTATGTATATATATATATATGTGGTATACATAAATTATATATATATACAGTGTGTATATATGATTTTTAATATGTACACCGCATATTACTATATATATATATGTAATACATAATAATATACATACAAATTACATGAATGTGTTCATATCACAGCAAAATGACGACTTGAACCTTCCGTGAGTCTATGAGATATCGCAGATACCAATATTATACAAAGACAGAACATGTCCGGTTGGTATGACTTGTCTGTGAAAACATTACCTACATCTCTACAACCCTTTCCCCCTAGAATACAAAGGATCATAGTGGAATGCCAGAGGAGCGGAAGCTGTGGAAGCTCCTCCACTGGAAGAGCTTGAGCAGTGAGAAGGAGAGGTCAAGTGGTCAGAACCCGGAGAGAGTGTTGCTAACTCTTCGTCCTGCTGCAGTATGTCGCTTTCATCACGGAAAATGAGTACCGTTCTGATCTGCTTTGTTATGCTTGCCACAAAACCTGCAAAAAAGTGGTTGCTTTTCAGACCTGTGTTGAACCGACTCCGTTGTCACAGCTTCACAAAACGCCAACAAAAAATGAGATCCACTGGGAAGCTGACTCCGACATTGCTGCGCGGTCGACGAACTTGAAGAATGGACCTTGCAGGAAACCCCTCCGACTCTGAGGGCTCCGACGCGGCCGGAGTGAGCGATTGGGCCGATGGTGGCTGAGGTCAGCCGGAGTCAGAACCCTGGATTTCAACACGCAGACGCCGACTCTCTAACATGGAAGCGGAGAAGGTCCTTCTCCACTTCCATGTTGGTGACGGAGGATAATTCCAAATCTCAGGTGTCAGTGAGTGACTCGGGAAACACTTGTACCTCTGACATTGGGTGTGGCCTGGTCCAGCTTTGACTTTCTGTTTCTACAGAAATGGTTGGAGGTTTCGAGTCGGACTCTCAATACACTCCTAGTTACTTCTAGTAGCAGAAAAAGAATGGAACATGTTCTGATGTTGGCACTACTGTGAGATACCGTGAGTATTATATACGGTAACAATCCACATTCTCCGTTGCCACGCTTTAACTGGTCCCAAAGGAGGGCGGAACTGGCTGCCACTTCAGTGATCCACACAGATCTGAGGGACAGACTCTGATAGAGCTGAGAGCTTGTGTCCGCTTGCAGAGCTTTCCTAGGTATGCCAACAAACGTGCGAAGCAAAACACTGTGTGTTCATTCTGCAACGCAAACGGGTGTTCTGCAAACGTGGCACGTGTCACACCTTCTTTGGCTTGACAGCGGTGAAAACTCGAGTCCGGCTGCAGCTGATCCGTCAATCTCCCGTCGTTTCGCAACGAGGGGATCAACAACGCTTGACTTGTGGCCCAAAAAGCGCATCTGGCCCTGAAAACCACAACCACAACAAAGCTAGATCGACTCTAGATGGGTGTGCATCAAATTTTGAAGGGCCTCTTTGTAACTCAAATTCTAAAAATTGAAACGTGAAACGCAGTGCACTAACACCCAGCATGACGAGCTCAAGAAGTTGCTTTTTTGACATACTCAACGTCAAATCGCATCATCCATACCATAGCTGCCTAGCCCTACGACCAGTACCTGGGAAAACGTCAAGAACCGTCCACCAAGCCCCTTGAGATGCGGACAAGAGGGAAATGAGACCCCAAGGTGAACGTTCATCGGTGGACTTGATATCCTGACAGTGCCAAGTGCAAAAAATAGTGCCTTTGTTTCTCCGAAGCGGAGCGGAGAAAGGGCCAAGTTGCCAAAGCCAGCCAACAAAATCAGGTTAACTGCAACGTCTCAGTCGCATTTTCTTGGATAAGGGCCGAGCATTCCAAGTGCCAACCACCTTGAAAACGGTGTTCACCACCACTGATCCATTGGAGAGAGAAGCCACCTCCGTAATGAGCCGCGGTTGAGTGATTGCATGAACGAGGATGAATGAGGTTTATACATACAGTGTATATATAACATGTAATGATCTTTGTGATTTTATAATCATCTTGTTGAGGTAGCAAGGCCGGCAACCGAGGTCCGGCAGCGAACGAAACACGGCGCACGAACGCGCGCCACCCGCAGCGCTTTTCAGCGCACAAGTCCCTCCCTTGAGCGGAAGGACACGGTCGGTCGAAACATGGAAAAACACTCTCAACCACTTCATGACTCCAATGCACAGCGTGCAATTGTCATGGGGGAGAAGCTATTGCGCCATAGCGCGTGGCATGAGCCTGCAGCCAATTTTGGATGGAGACCGTTAAGGTGTATCCTCCTGGCTGAGCTGGTGCCGTGACGTAGTCGGGAGGCAGAACTCGTCCACTGCAAAGTTCACAGTGGAAGTACTCATCCTGCATCCGGACATCCCTGCCCGCTAGACTGCTGCATTCTGCAGTCAAATGAAAGCGGCGGCCTCTCCTGCAAATCAGGACTCCGCGCTGCAAAGGGCACTCAGCTCGGTGGTTGTCCATCTCTCGGACACAGGCTCTCAAAAGCGCCGCACCCAGCGCAAGTAGCTGGTTGGACATGCAGCTTTCTTCCAGGATCAAATTGAGCGATCTCTGGAATTCATCCGCGGCTCTCTGCGCCTCCATGGCTTTCAGCTCCATGGTGTTCAGCTCACCTTGAAGCCTCTTGTTCTCGAGACGAAGGCGGTGCGGGACCAAGGCTTCTTCCTTTTGAACCCCGATCTCTGAGGTGGTGACCTGGGTTCGACCAACGCTCCAGCGACCGAGCAAAAACATGGTGCTCAGCAGCAAACAGATGGCGGTGGTGAAGATGAGCTCAAACATGCCAGTTCCCGTCTCCATGGTTTCTTCTTCAGTGGCAGCTGCCACTTGTGGTAAAAAGAAACACATCATGACCATGAAAAACTTCAGGGGGTTGCCAGTGACAATGGACATGAAGTGCCATGGCTCGACATGGCTCGGATCGGCCCGGGGGACATACGTGAGCACTCCGTTGGTGTGGGCCAAGTAGCCAGCCAGTTGGTGCTCAGTGTTCATCTCATAGTTCTCCTCGGGGATGTGACTGTCCAAAGGAAACTCATGCTTTCCAACTTCAACTTCACTTTCATGGCCAGGCGAAGGCGCCGGCATCAACTTCACTGGGCTGCTGGCGGTCGTGCTCTCCTGCAAGCTTGCTTGGAGCTCTTCTTTTGTTTTCTTCTTTGCAGCCTTGTAGTGAGGATCCCAGGTCAGCTTCAGCTGTCCATATCGAAGACGTTGAGCCAGAAGCGTTCTCGCGCTCTCCTTTGTGAGGCCATCAGCCATTTGGCGCTCCGAAGACATCCAGCGCAGGCTGCCGCCCAGAGACAAAAGGCGCTCCTTCATGACCCGCACCTCCAAGGACACTCGTTTGTCCACAACTGAGCTGCCGACACCTTCTCGGTGAAATGAATTGTACAAAGCCTTGGCGTCGGTCACCATTGTGGGCTCCAGAGGACACGGAGCTTCCAACAACTCTTTCAGAGGTCAGCGAGGATCAAGGAGGTGGTTCCAGTAGACGCACACATTCTCCAGGGCGTCACACGCTTGGCCTCCGGCCTGAGCTTCTGCTCCCAAGGAGGAGCGAGCCACGCGTGGAGTCTTAAGGCTCCTCCAGTCCAGCACGTGGTAGGCACCTTCGGGGCCGTTATGCTGCAACAACTCCTTGTTGATCATCAAGATGATGTAGCCAGCTTGTGAGCTGCCATCTGACCGTGTTGCGAAAGCAGCATCAAAGAAACACAGCACTCGCAGCTGGTTCAGTGAACCAAGATGTTCATAGCAAAGCCCAACATCGGAGTTGTCCTTGGCGAACTTGAGAAGGCGATTGCTGTCAGCCACAGTCTGCAAGGTGGCTCGTGTCACTTGGCCACTCAAGATAGAGGTGCTTCCTTGTAGGTGAGGACTGGATTGAGTGGCAGGCCACTGCAAAGAGCCCAGCAGACCACGGAGTTGGGTCATCTCGCTCTCACTGAGAGATTCTGTGAGGTCTCTCTTCTTGTCATAGGCGATGGGCTTAACCTTCTTCATGTAGGCCGTTTGGTCCAGGACATGGCCTCCATTGGAGCTCGGCTTGATGTCACAGCCACAGTAGGTCAGGGCATCGTGACCTTCATCGGTCTTCCACTCACGGAAGGTGAAGGTGTTCTTGAGCTTTGCAATGGTGTCCAGGTAGCACTTGGAGTCGGAGGATCCACATCCCAACATATCATCAACATGCATGATGATCATGCCACACACGCCAAAGCTTCCCAGAAGGTGAGGTGAGGTTGCATCGCAGTCAAAGTCCGGGTTAAGGTCACCTTCGCAAATCAGGAAGCAGCAAGGATCCAGTGGGCGCTGTCTCAGGCCCATGGCACGCAGCTTCTCCACAGCAGCCAGATACCATGCTCGAGGAGCGTCGATCTGGCCATAGCAAGGCTTCAACAGAAGCATCCTGGTCTCAGGACCAGCGCCCAACAACTGGAGACATGCAGCAGGAAGTTGGACCCACAGCTTGCGTGCTTGAGGTTTTCCTTGCAAGAAGGCGGTGGAGATATCTGAAGTCCAAACCCCCCAGGACATAGTGGCGGCTAGACTCAGCAAGACGGACCGGGACAGCCTCGTGGTTGTTGGGGATGAAGTCGGGACTGTTCCATCCCAGGCGTCCGGATCTTGGAATCCGCGCACGATGAGGCGTGCCTTTGCCCGTGGGGACCCGTCGGGGTGCTTGGACCATTTCAGCAACATTCTGCTGGTCAGTGTTCTTGAGGGCTGAGCTTCTCGGCTTGTTTCGAAGGCCCAGACATTGTTGTCGAAGAAGGACTGAAGTTCTTTCACCTTCGCAGCTTTGAACATGGCACGTTCGTCGGGCGTCATTGTCCGCTCGGACAAGGTGTTGGCACTCTTGTTCATCTTCTTGTGGTCCTTGGTGTGCTTTTGCTTGACCATCTTTCCTACTTGTCGTGCTCCATGAAGTGGTGCCTTGGCATACATGGCATACTCCTTGCGAACGGAGCCCTTGATCTGGAAGATCGTTGCGCCAGTCCATGAGGTGGTGCAAGGTGGCTTGGTGCATGTGCCATCATCGGTGGTTTGTGAGCATCGGCCATTGTTCTCATAAATCACTGTCACCCGAACATTGTCCAGATCGTGTACAGCGAAGGGTGCATCATCAGGCAGCTGCTGCAGGCTCATCTTGTGCCTCCGTGGAACACAGTGGTGGCGTATCAAACATCCAGCACGGACTTCCCAGTAGTCACGCTCCCTTTTCTCAAGCTCAAAGTAGCCATTGCGGAAATACCATCCGCTGGGCAAGGCATTGGTGTCAATGGAGGTCACCTGAAATGCCTGAGACATGAGCGCTTGTTCTTCTGCCTCTCCTGGTTGTGGTGGAGCTGGCGGAGGTGCAGCTGGTGCCTTTGGGATAGCCTCAGGGCTAGGCGCTGCACTGGGTTCTCGTGATCCATAAGGTGTGTCCGTCACTCGCCGGTTGCGAATGGGACCAAAGGAAATGGTCTCCTGCAAATTGAAGCGAGTTCGTCGCTGCTGGAAGGTCTCTGTCTCGATGTCATGAGGTTGATACAGCGAGGCAGTTGCAGGATCCAAGGCCATCGGCGACTCAGGGGGCAGATGAAGATCTCCATGAGGAGTGGGAATCGCAGGCTCTTCACTGGGTTCCGCAGCAGTGGCTGCTTGGCGGTCGTGATCGCGAGTGTCTGGACACTGGAGACTGTGGTGGACTCTGAGGCACTGGCACTTGTGCCACATCAGCTGGTTGTGGTGCATCAGGTGGCGCTCGTGGTGATGTGGGCGCATGTCCAGAGTGTGCCGGTGAGGTCGGCGTGTAGTCGCCACCATCGTCATCAGCCAGGGTGTCCGGCTGTGCTGGTGCTGCAGGTGGTTCAAGTCGGAGTCGATGTCGCGGTGGCTCATCAGGGTCACCATCATGTTCATCAAAAGAGCCATCGGCCTCATCCTTCATTTCATCTTCATCAACATCATCTAACTGCTGTCGGTTGACGCGTCGAAGGTCAAAGTACCTGGTGACGCCGCGAGACTTCAGCTGTCGAACCTGGTTCGTGGCAGTCTGTAGGTCGTCCAACAGATGTTGAGGTCCAAGGATGTCGGCTCGAACATGATGTGGTGCTGCTCGAATGAGTTGAGTCTTGTAAGCCAACCAGTAAAGCTTGACCCGTTGGACCTTGTCATTGGTCTCCTCCTCCCTCAACACCACATAGGCGGGACCAAGCCAGCGAATCTTGTTGAGCAGACCTTGGCGTGCATCTCTCCAGAACCAGACACGTTCACCAACTTTGAACTCTCGATTCTGGCCTTGGTAGCGACGGCCAAGAGCACGGCGTAGCTTGTCATCAGCGTCAGCTGTGGTCAAAGCTACCTTGGCGGCTGTTCTGCGCTCCAGGATGCGCTCGAAGGTCCGGTTGTTGCCAGCCAGTTGAGATGGATTCAAGTTGGAACTCAGGAGATGTGCTGCTTCAGGTTGATAGCCAAGGACCCATTGGCTTGGTGAGAAGCCTGCCACAGTAGGAGTGGCATTCTGTTGTGGGATGACATAGGTCAACGCTTCACGGATGCCGCTGCGATCATGAAGTTTGCGGTCATCCAGGTAGATCTCACATGCTTTTCTGATGGCGGCGTGTCGCCGTTCCACCAGAGCTAGCCGTTCATGAGCTTCCCCAGGTGCAACTTGGTGGTCTATGCCATGAGCACTAGTCCAGTTGTCGAAGATGCCACTCAGCCAGGGTCGTCCTTCATCAGTGATGAGCTGTCGGGGTGCACCAAAATGTCGCAACCACATCTTTTCCAGGGCCTGGATGTAGGACTCAGAGGTCTCATCGGTGAGAAGGTAGCAGGCCATGTATCTGGTGCCAACATCGACAAGGCTCATGATGGAGAACTTGGTGTCCTGGCGCTTGATGTAAAACACATCAGCTTGGAGAGCATCGTTGAACTCTCTGGTGGTGGGCATAGTTGAAGGAGCACTCTGGTTGGGCTTTCGATGCTTGAGGCAGGCCACGCACTTGTAGGCTCGAGCAGCATTGATCACTGCTTCTGGGGCACCACGGGCGGCAAGCAGATCACCCAGGGCATCAGGTGTTGGATGACCCAGATTGCGATGAAGTCGTTGCACGACTCGAAGGGCATCTTGCCGATGTTCCACGTGGAGCTTAGACAAGTGTCCAAGTGGCTTGCCCATGTTCTCATCATCCACCGTGTACGCCCATTCCCAGGCGTGAGGAGCTTCGGGAACCATCAAGGCTGCTGCAAGTGTCGAGGCGAAACCGGGCTGGTAGTTCTCGAGGTACGACGTTCGAGGACCGAGGCCAGTTGCATGGCCTTCCAGTGGACAATGCTCATGGTCATGAGGACACTGCAGCGTGAAGGCCTCAGCGATGGCTTTCTTCGTAGTTTGAAACCTGGTGCCCTTTTGTACTGGCTTCCAAATGCCATCGACATCCAAACACATAGCTCCATAACAGCACTGGTCGAAACTGACTGCGAAGCCAGGTAGATCACGCAAAGCACCAGTTTTCCAGCTCAGGGCATGTCGAGGTTGTTCAACAGTGGCGTGTCGCCCATTCTTGACCTGAGTAAGGTAACTTCGACGAACGAAGCGAAGGCGCCGTCGATGGTGGTGATCTCGACGTGCTTGTAGTGCTTCTTGTTGCGCAGGTGTTCGGCAGGCCAGTGTCTGCATGCGAGACCAGAGGCGACATTCAGGAGCCATCAACAATTCGTCAGGTTGTTCTTCATCAAGTAGGGCCAGGAATTGCTGTTGGTGCTTGATCAAGTTGAAGTCCCAGCCATTGTCAAGGCTGAAGGTTTCCACTCTCATGCCCAAGGATTCGGCGATGGAGGAAGTGCGGGCTTTACCAGTGTACACTTCCCAAAGTACTCGCCGTTGATCTTGTGGTTCATGAAGGGACTGCGTGATGAGGTTCTCAGCCTCGGTGACTCGGGCGGTCAATGCAAGCTCCATGGTGCGAAGAGCATGGCGAGGCAATCGGCTGGCGTCCAGCTCATCCTTGAGTTCATACTCCTCGGCCGTGAACACATGCTCGGCAGCATTGAAGTCAGGCAGATAGAGAGCACTGCCAGGCGCTTCCTCAGCGATGTGAAGGGCAAAGAGGCCCTTGGTTGGGTCTGTCTGCCATTCCATGCCCTCAGTGAGCGACATCAGGTATTCGCCATGTCTGCCAACCAGAACCGGCTGCCAGGGCGAAGTGCCAAAGCGAAGCATGCGACCACTGAAGTCAATGCTCATTTGGAGAGCTTCGATGACTGGGCGACCCATCAACATAGGCATGTTGCCCGGTACCAAGTAGCACTGGATTGTGCCCAGCTGACCATCCACCGTCACAGGCAGGTCGACCGTCCATCGAGCTTGGGCTGACGCATCACCTCCAAACTGAAAGCGACGCTCGCATCGAGCAAAGCGAATCTGGTTCACAGGATAGCCCAGCTCTTCCAAATGCTTGACGTAGCGCACGAAGGGGCCATAGCCGCTCAAGAATGCAGAAGCTCCAGGGTCCAGCATGGTGGCGTCAACACGTTCAGCTCCATACTCATCTTGGAAAAGGACGAGAGCTTCTTCAGACTTCAAAGCCATACCCTCAGTAGAGCCAGGTGCAGGTCTCTTGTTTGAGGAGGTCGGTGAAGAAGACTTCGCATTTTGAGGACAGTTTGCAGCCCAGTGGCCAGGTTGGCCGCACCTCAAGCAGTTGGTGGCCTTTGCACGTCCACGAGGATCAGCATCTTTGGCCGCAGTGTAGGGATAGCGGACCACATTCTGACCCTTTCCTTTCTTTGACTTGCCCTTGCTTTTGTTCTTGCCCTTTCCTTTGGAACCACTTGGGACAGGACCAGCACCGATGGGGACCGTGGTCTGGTTGTCAGTCAGCGCCACGACAGGCATGAAGCCTCGAGCCATCTTCAACTGTTGAAATCGTTGTCGGGCGTCCAAGTACGTGGCATAGGCATGGTCGTAGGTGCTGGCAAGTTCAGCTGGCTCATCATCCAATGGGGTTGACTCGTCATAGTCATGTTCTTCAAGTTCCCCATAGTAGCCAGCGTTGACATCGAATTCGGGGTCGTCCCCATAGTCTTCATAGTCAGGCTCAGGTGCCCAATCATCCTCACCCCAGTAGCCCTCCTCATAGGCGTCCCAGGCTTCAGGATCCTCCTCCATGGCCGCATAGCCGCGACCCTTCCAGCGAGGAAAACGCTTGTCCTTCTCTGGTGCCCAGCCTCCAGCTTTGTAGTCCTGACCGAAGAGCAGGTAGATGGCCTCTATGACGTTGTTCTTCTCAAGGGTTGGTGCCTTCAGGGTCACCAGCTGGCGCTGTTCACGAGATAGGCCAGCTCGTCTCAAGAGATGCCACCCTTGGACTGCAGCGGGCAAAGTCACCTTACGTCGGTTCAGGCGTCTGTAGGCCTCATCGTAGTCGGTGACATAGGCCAAAAGACTCTGCTGGGGCTTTCGCTGGAGTGTCACGAAGTAGAACTCGAAGTCGTTGGGGAGGGTGACACTGTCATCATACTCATAGTTCTGATCCAGCTTGGCGAGGATCTTGGAGAAGGAGTCCTCTTTCTCAGCGTCTTCAACTGAGAAATCCTCAAAGAGGCGCCAGGTCACGCCTTGAAAGCTTCCGAGGATGTTGAGGATGGACTCACCTGTCCGCTTGCTGAGCTGCATCTTCTTGCGGTACAAGCTCAGCCTCTTGCGATACTCTCGGTAGTCGCTTGGTTGGCCTGAGAAGACCGGGACATAGGAGTCGCGCAGGTTGTAGAGCTCGGAGGTCTCTTTCACTTCTGCTGCCTGCGTCGGCATTCTTCTTCAAGTAGGTGGTCGTTGACCGAAAGCGCTCAACAAACGGGGCAATGAAGAGCTCGGCAACGTGTTGGTGACGCGGGACTTCCGCAGAACCCCGTTGACCTCAAAGCGTAGATCGCAGAGCCCCGGAGGGCTCCGCTACCAATGTTGAGGTAGCAAGGCCGGCAACCGAGGTCCGGCAGCGAACGAAACACGGCGCACGAACGCGCGCCACCCGCAGCGCTTTTCAGCGCACAAGTCCCTACCTTGAGCGGAAGGACACGGTCGGTCGAAACATGGAAAAACACTCTCAACCACTTCATGACTCCAATGCACAGCGTGCAATTGTCACATCTATAAATGGACAAGCAGCTCAGCACCATTTGCGTTTGAAGCCAATAACTGAGGTGGAAAAATGAAGCAACCTCCAAGAGAGACCGTGCCTGAATCCGTGTAGGATCAGCGTTCAAAATCTTGCCCATCTCGTAGACATAGCCTTGGTACTCCGCGCTCCAAACTCTTCTGAAGCCTGTATCCGTATCCATTGTTTCTGGAACCAACCGCGGAAAGCCTGATGGGAAACCTCGATGCGAACCCTTGCAATGGGTGACGCACGAACTGAAAAGATTCCACCCAACCTTACATGACATGTACAGAATCCACCACATTGCCGCATTGCCTCTGTAATTTTGGCGTTCGAGACTGAGCTTGGGTGTAGGTGTAGGAACTCGAACATCTGATCTGAATGCTGATTTGTTCGATCTTCGCTCACTGACACCCAAAAGGTCAAGAATTTGACAGAAAGTGATGCAGGGTGTCTCCGCTGTACCTCTGACATACTGTGCTCCGCTGTAAGTACGAGGCAAATCCGAATCTAGCCTCATCCCAAACCCCATGCAAACCTCAGCAAACCACCTTCCACGTCCAAAACGCCACCTAGAAACGATAAATGAAGTAGCGCTGCTCCGCGTCGTCCGAGCTCCGAGAGGCAATCGAGGTGCCACCTGAGGACGGGCCCGACAGTGACTTGGTCGCTCCAAACGACAAAAGGGAACCCCTTTGAGGATCGTCCGCGCGGACGCTGCCGCCGGGCTGAACTGTTTGGGCACCGCTTGAGACGTCCACTCCAACTCCCCGAAATTGCCACGCGCGGCCACGGCCGAGAGCGCCGCATCCCACAGCCGAGGGCACGTCCGTTTTTCCCACCGTACTGTTTGGCAGCGCGAGGCTTGGCCTGTGGCCGCCAAGATCCCTTCAAACAATTCCTGCCATGCCGTCCCCGGCGGAAAATGCCGGCATGGCCCCTGTGATCAACACGATGGATGTCTTCGACCATCCTGAATTGAATTTGTTTGGAAATGGGTTCAATGTTCTCTTGAACAATCCGAGATTTGTTGACAAGTGCTTGAGTTTTGATAAGTACGAGATTTGATCTCAGGACACAGCCGCTGTTGCCACGCAAACACCCTGAAGCTCCGACGGCAGGTCCACTGTGTCCCATGTCAAGCTCTCAGTGTCATATCGATCGACGTGAGCCATCTCAGCTTCATAGCCACCGAAGACGTAGACCTTGATGCAGACTGGGCGCCCCGATGGATGGAGTGGCCGGCTAAAGTTACTCGACTCAGCTGGAATCATCAAACATCCCAACACCATTCCTCTTCTTCCGTTGGACTCCCCAGCATTAAGTATAGAAATATGAAAGATCATATCCCATGGCCCAAAAGAATATCCAGATCCACGTACAAGGTTTGCAACAAGTTGCCACATCCTCACACCAAAAACACCCACCCAGCTTGAAGAACACCCTAAAACTGGGCTTTCCGTCATCAGACCATCCTGAAAACACCGTGTTTTACCACCGACCTGGTCTGGCCCATCCACCGGAGGCCCGCGCCTTCCCGGCCACGGCCGCCGCGGCGCAGCCGTGCCGCGCGAGGCGCGGCGGCGCCGGCAGCGCGGCCCAGAAGTCCCAGCGGTGGCTGAGACACTCGGGCTCCGGAGGAGACACGGCGTCCGCCAAGAGATGGCCCCTGGGAGAGGGGGGGACCGGACCGGCGCACTGGCGGAGGCCAGGAAAACGAGAGTCGTAGGGTGGTGAGAGTGAGAGGGACTGAGACAGGGCATGTCCGTGGTGGCGACTGGATGGGGAACTGACCAAAAAGGCAGCTTCCAGCTTCAAATGTTCAAAGAAGGAGTGTGAAAGGAGCTCCAAATGTCCCAAGTTTACTTAAAGCATAAAACATCCTAAAACAAACCTGCGGGTGCTTGGATGTGACATTGATGTATTGCCATGTTGTTACAGTATTTCTTTGTTCAATCTGTTTGGATTCACAATTGGTTGTGGTGACAGCCATCTGTATCACAGCCATCACTGAGGCGACTGGAAGAGGGTCCAGGCCTTGCAACTGCAGAGCCACCAAAGAGGACCAAGCAGTCAGAGGTGCTCGTGGCGGTTCCACTGTGCCGAGGACCCAAGAGGGATGGCCCAGTACCTTGAAGCCAGAAATGGTCAGCGGGTCACCAACAACGACCAGAACTGGTCAAGAATGGATCCTTCGACCTATCGAGTATACTGTATGCCATTACCAGGGCCCAATAAAAAGATGCTTCGTGAAGGCCGACATCTCAAAAATATGCAAACATCGTGATGTAATAGCATAAGTATGCAATAAGTATAATACATACATATGCGGCATATGCATATATACATCTTTTGCCAACCTTCGGGAACGAATAGACTTCGGGGTTGGTCGCCAGGCCAACACTTGTTGCGGAGTGGCGGCTGCGTGCCCATCCAACAAGGGCTTCGTTCCAAGTGTCTGAAGAAAGCCAAAGAGGACTAGGGATACTAAGTGAAGTTCGGATAGTTCAGCCACCGTTCAGCCCAATGGACCATGCACTGAAAAATCTGAAAAAGAAAGCGGCCCAGTCACGCCAGGCTTTGCTCCAAACATCCAGAGACTCCACATCCGCACAGGCTTCCCCAAGTCGGTCGGTGCCACCTCAGCGGGTTTTGCGCGATGAGCATCCCCAATCGGTCGGAAGTAGAGGTCGAAAGACCTGAACTAGGACCCTGTAGTGGTACATATGGGATGGGCGACAAAAGGATCAAAAGGGCTGTTAGGACCTCTCCTGGTTCCGGTTCCGGTGTCGTCCATGCGCAGAAGCCCTAGGGATGGTGGATCCACTTCGAAGACGAAGTAAGAAAAGAACGAGGAGACAGGAGACGGAGCATCATGTTTCAGGCGCAGTCCAAACGAACTTCCATGAGGTGGTTCGCTTTTTTCAAGGACTTCACGTTGAAGCGTGTTCGGGCTGAAGGTGATTTCTTCAGTCAAAGTCCACTCGCAATGGATCAATGGCCAACATCTGAATGCTGATCTTTTTACTAGGCCTCCCTGGCCCCACTCAATCCCCCTTTGGCGCCACCCAACTCCTCCGTGGCCATGCGACCCAGGAGGAAGACCACCGAGCCCTTGGCCACCGCGGCCGCGTCGCAGCGCGGCGACGCCAGCGGCGGCAGCGCCTCCCAGCGCGCGCGGTGGAGGTCGAAGCGGTCCGTGGCCGCGGAGCAGCCACGGCGCCCTGGGCGAAGAGGTAAAGGGTCGGCCAGAATAGAGGTCTTGCAGGCCATGCCCGTAGACAAGAGACTAGATGGAATGCTTGGAGAATTCGAGGTTGCGCATCGTCAAACACTCCGACCGAAAGCGAAACACTTGGCATTTTGCAGCAGAGGCGCCAATGCCTCCCAGGGCATACACTGCTGAGCCTGGCAGATATTCACCGATACAAACAAGGACACTACTAGGTGGAGGCCATCGCTACTAGGTTGGAGGCCATCGCCATTAAGTTGGAGGCCCTTGCTACTTATTCAAAGAAGACAGCCCTCCCAGCCCTCCCAGCCTGCTGCTGTCAGGGCAAAGCGTGTGGTTTCCTCACCCGGACGAGATGGCAAGCGCCGCCACTGTCCGTGCGCTGGCTGCCAACAATGGAATGACCTGAGCAGCACAGGCCACACCAAGCCCCATGTGTCAAAAAGTGTGCGTCAAAAAGTGTAGATTTTGGGGCCCTTGTGGGTTCTCAGTCTCCATCAATGAAGGTTCTCAGTCTCTTCACCTCATCTGTTTCATTGTTCCTTTGCATGATTGAAGGTACCCTTTCTTGTTGAGCCACACACACTCACCCCATCCAGACCTCCAAACGCGGCCCATCCGGGCTCGCTATTCTCCGTTCTTCGTTCCTCCGGGTCACGAGCGCCACTCAATCCCAGCTTTGACAGGATCCTCACCAGACATCAGGACGTACAAGTTGCCAGCTCTTGAAGCAACTGCATAGTAGGGATCCAAGTGCTTCAACAAGGGCACCTGGCGAGGCCGGCACGCATCCTAGGCACGCATCGGCCCTGTCTGTATTGTTGTCAGGCAAAAATGTAAGAGACACTTGAATTTTAAACATTGATTAATAATTGTGACATAATATGGCTCAACATGGCTCAACTCTATGAGTGTTGGGCTATCGGCTTATCCATTAGCCTCGGCCCTCTCACATGGTACCTACTTTTGCTCTGCCTCATTCGTTCTTTTCTGATACTCCTCGGCACCTTCTCGAAGCGGCTGCTGGATGGGCAGAAGATGGACAAAGCTTCAGGGCGGCCGTTCCACGCGCTCAACACATAGATCTTTGAGCACCAAAGCAGGCCAGGCAAGGTCTGCTGGATGGTCCTCAGCCCAGCTGTTCCCAGGCTTCTGGTCATGTGTAAATGAACACCAAATGGAAAGGTTCAAACCAACGACAGCGGTCGTTCATGCTGGTTTGTCTAGGTGTATTTCAGAAAGTATTCCCCCATGAGAAGTCTAGAAGATGTAGTCTGATGCATGTGAAGGCCACCATGCACGGGGGTCCGGATCAATATCGCAATGTGGGCATGCTGCAACAAATTCGATGGACTTTGCAAGTTTGCCTCTGGACATCTCTGGAAATGGGCACTGCCTCAGTACCCAACCAAAGTGTCCGGTTGCTTCGTGTTGCTTGGGTACAGCATGAGGTTCGTGGCTCTTCAACCTCACACAAAATCACACAAATATCCCACAAATCCACAGCCACCGGCCAGCTTGGCCAACTGCTGTTCCCGTTGCTGTCCTCCCCCGAACCTTGGCCGTGCTTCTGCGCCACGGAGCGCGAGGCCGCACGGAAGCTGCGGCTTCCCACGAAGCCGACGGCCTGGGAAATCTGTCGCGACACACCCGGCAGCTCCACGACGCAGAGCGGGATCTCCTGAGACACGGACGGCCCCCGGACGGCCCAAGAGGGGCGACGCGTTCGCGTTCGCGCTCGGCGAGGTGGGTGGGTTGACGGCACCATGGGAGGAGGTCCAACGCCGTAGTCATGTAATGATGAGCCAAACATCACAATTGGAAGTGGATGGCATCAACCCCTGTTCGTACAGGAAAGGCGTCTTCCAACAAAAATAATGCCATCATCCATCCACTTCTCTATGTTAGTGAGTTGGAGGGGAAAAAAAGAAAGTCCAGCCGGCGATTATAAGAAAGGTCTGAAAAGATACGAACGTCCGTTAGCAGCGACTTTGCTCCAAGCATCAGCCAAGCGAGCTCTCATCTCAGGCGAGATGGTCCGGTTCACCAGGCTGCGCAAGAGTCTCAAGTCCACCTTGCTAGGCGTCTTCCAGCTCACTTCTGGTATGTGAAAGTCCAGCGCCCTTTCCAAGCTGATGCTCGATGGCAACGCCGGAAGTCCCAGAAATAATCGAAGCGCACCATGTGACAAAGTGGGATCCAAACATATCAAAGCATCCAAGTATTGCTGAAACTCCCTCTGCCTTTCTGCGATGAATCGGTCATCTTCCTTCCCAAAGATCCACTTTCCCAAGCCATAAGCCCTGCGGCTCGGCAGGCCAGGAAACCGGCCCGTGCCATCGGCAAAGAGGCTCGAGGACCGGAGCAGCTGGTGCAGCTGAAAGAGATCACGGAAGCGCCGATCCACCTGCCATCGCTCCTCCCCGAAGCGCAACTCCTCGTCTCCGTTTCCACCAAGGGTGGTGGCCAAAACGAGCCACCGCCGGGCGAGCATGTTCCCCCCCAAAACGAACGAAAGAGGGGCCTGTCTAAGAGGGCCCATCTAACCGTTCAGCTGGAGTTCCACCCTGCAACACAGTGCTCCGAAAGAAAAGGATCGAACCGTCGGTGCTCCGAAGCTCCGTGCTCGCGCGGATCGCGGTCGTCTCCCTTCGAAAACCCGAAAAAGCTGATGCGTTTCGGACGATGCAATGCAAGTCTCGATGCAATACTTCACATGGGTCGACTCTTGACGTATGCTTACAATCTCAGCCCTGTAGCTCTCGCGATCGAAGGCGGCGTAGCCACCGCTGGAAGCCGCCATGCCATGTGTTTCAGGGACTGCAAGGTGTTTCACATGGACCGCCGACGTTGGCGTGAGCACGTTGGTCAGTGAGTGTGCTTTGAGTGACCAAAAAAAACGGATGGTGCGAATCGGAGGGATTCTGCTAGGCTTGGACGACTGGGAGTGGAGCTGTTCACTCCAAACCAACGGAGTTCCAACCATTCAGAAAGAGTCTCTAGTCTTTTGCTTCTTGGCATGCGCCTTCCTGGAAAGCTTCTAGCTCGCTGTCATTTTTGTGAGTCTAAATGATTATTGCGAGTCACACTTGGCTAGATGGCTACTGTAGGTGTCCATGTTGAACCTCATGCTGTATTGAGCCTGAATGACGAGCAGGGATCAAAGGTACCTTGGGGTCTCTCAGGACAACAGGACTTACGCTCTCGACTCACTAGGTCCAGCGCTGCTTGCGTAGGGGTCTGTCATGCGAATAGGCAGCATGTAGTCCTGGACTTCAGCACACGGCTGAGCTGAGAGGCCGAGCTGAAATTGAACAGCCTACGGCTCTACATCAAAACTGACCAGGTTGCAGTGTTTTAAAAGATCACCCCAGCCCGTCCACAGTGTCCAATGCATGGAACGCCATGGTGTCTCGTATGCCTTGGGTGCACAAGTCGGACGTCAGAACATCCAAATGAACTCTGGGAGGGTCCAGACCCCTGCTATGGAGGGTCTGCTCCCTGCTAGGGAGGGGTGCAAGGATCGTGTGGGTGTATTCTCAAATCATGCTCACCCACCCTCCCACCATGGGGTTCTGTGGTCTTTGACCCACCTGCACCTGCACCGGAACACAAAAGGCCGCTCCGAGGCCCCGAACACTTGCCAGCCACTGGCACTTTCGTGCGCGGACAATGCTCCACACACGCACCGTCCACCTGACCGTCCCGCCCGCGCGTGGCGCGACGCGGCGGTGACCATCGATCAGTGGCACGGCCGGCGGATCGGCCGAGGCCGGAACCAGCACCAGTGGCACTTGACAGGATGGCCGGACAATGACCATGCCCACCTGAGCGATCGCCGATGTTCGGCCGATGTTCGCATCTCTGGCCGGATGGGGTCCGTCGTGGCCGGTCGTCTGAAAAGTCTCTTTTTGGACCGGATGTGTTGAGTCATTGCAACTGCCAACGGCCCGGGCATCATAGAGCCGGCCAACATGGTTGGCACAAACCTCGAGCAAGCACCATGGTGTCGGCCAGGCGTTGAAAGAATGTGAAATGGAACACTCAATCTGCCAGCTCTCCAAAAAAAGGGCCGCGCACACGTGATGCTTCCGCGTTCTGATGCTAAACAATGAGCGAAGGCTGACTTAGGAGCCGATGTTACTAGCAGCGACTCAAAGAGTCGCAGGTTCGCAGCGACTCACCTGCTCTCCGTCAGCTCCATGGGGATTCGGCCGAAACAGCACTGCTTGGGTGGTTGGGTGGTTGCTGCCTGTGCTGCTGGGGTTCTGGGCGGCCCGGCCCGGTAAATGCCCGTGGAAATCGAGGTCATTCCTGTAGGGCCACTGTAGGACAGTGCACAAGCAGGGTCCATGCTCCGCTCCCCTTGTTTAAGGGAAGTTGGAAAAGCTTCATCTTTTTGGATGAGATTGGGTAGCATAGAACACCCACACCCACCCACACATCCCGCAATGCCACACTGCCAGCACCCATCTCTTGGTTCGGCTCAACTCTGCCTCCCCAACTTCCCTTTTCCATCAACCCCCATTCATCCCACCAGTTCGCTATACTCGTATTCCCCTCCCCTCCCCCCACTGGCCCCACCCACTGGCCCCACCCGACCCCCGTCTTCCCAACCGGCTCCTTCGTAGGTGACCTGATCTCGATTCTCGGAGACCGTCTGGCTGAGCGGCTCGCTGAAGGGGTTCAGGATCGTGGGGCCTCCGGGACGGCCCCAGCGAGGCGAGAGAGGCGAGGCGGCAGCGGAGTGAAGCGAAGCGGTGGGAAAAGCGGTGGAAGTGCGTGCCAAACGGTTTCGAAGCCCCTCTTGCTTGGTGACGATGTTTTGGGGTGGTCAGGTGCAAAGAGAGTAACTGCACTGCCTATGAGATCAAAGTTGCAAAGCTGGTCATAGGGCAAGAAGTGCACGGAATCCTGGAAAGCAAGTGCTCGGAATCCACAGTCCGTTTCTCATGTTTCTCATGTTCCCCTGCCAAGGCCGGGATGGATGGCGACTTCCAAGCGAAGTAGCCGCAGATTCAATTCAGCCTGATTTTCAAGCAAATTGACACAAGTTCCGGTGAGTCATTGCGTGTCAGTGAAAACCACACCTCACTGCCACTCACTGCAAGCCTTGCCTTTTTGTGGCGAGCAACACGCTACGACAGGCTGCAACAGGACCCCTGGCCTTTGGACACGAAAGCAGGCAAAAGACCCACGTCTTTGCTGTAGTTTGGATACCCAGCAGGCCCAGCAGTCCTCATTCTGCAGGTTGAAGCCCAGGACCATCATCGGGAAAATCTCGTCCACGCGAGCATCACAACCACACCTCGCACTCGCTGCGAATTGTGCACGGAAGTGCCGGTAGCAGCTGCGAAGTGCTGGGAGGACCAAAGGACGGCAATCCCGGTTGATCCCAGGCAGCCCACAAGTACTGAGGAACCACTGGTCTTAAGTGGTTTAAGTCTTTGGATCCACTGGTTACCTACTGTAGTGGTGGCTGGATCCAGTGGGAACGGAATCTCTTGGAGGATCTGTGTGGTTTTTCTGAAGCTTCGGGTGGGGGAGGGTTGCACCCGCCTTCGAGAGGCACCCGAACCTGGTTCCGTGCACACGCACCTCCAAAGTTCCGACCAAACACAGGAATTATGATTTATCCATGCCTAGCCTAGCCTAGCAAACCCAACAAAACATCCAGAGTAAGAAGTATCATGAAGTATCATGCTGCTAACATGGCAACTCCATGAACAGAGAAGGAAAAATCCATGTGTCAAATCTGTGAACTGAACAAACCCTTTGCCTGGAAAACAAAATCTAGGATAGACATCACATCTTGTTTTCATCTTCACTCCCTTATCCGTCCGTCTTCTCTTCGCCGCTGCCCCTCGCCTCGTCAGCTCCGAGGGGTTGCACGGGTCCGTCAACGGCGGATTGCAGTCAATGGCCGTGGGGCAAATCTCAGCAGTGTGCAAGTTGATGGGTCAATGCTCAACGCGAGAGCAGAGAAGGTGAATAAGTTCATGGACATGGACGGACTCTCTTCATTGGTTCATCTCAAGGTATGACCCACTTGTTCACCCCCACAAAGGGGCTAGGTTTGGTTGACAGGTTCATCACGAGGACTGGACCCACTGGACCCTAGCTGCATTAAGATTGGGCATGGCTTGGTCTTCGTCAACAGCTTTGGTCGGCTTGACCGACCCGGACGACGGCCCGTACCCATGGGGAAGGTGCTCGCTCCCCGGCTGAACCGCTCCCGGACCGGCGGGAACGGCCGGAGGGGCGACCACTCTGGCGACGCCAGACACACAAAAAAGAAATCCATCAAACCTGAAGGTCACACCATCTCACTCTTCCTAAAGCACTGAGAGTGGACTGTCAGCCTCACTGTCAGCATGTTGGCACCGCTAGCTGCGCAGCGCGTTCCGCGGACGGATCTGAGATCTCCCAGCCGGCGAAGGGCTTCGCGTTCCCACTTCGTACTGGAACATGCAGTACAAGTGTCCTCCAGCACTGTCGGATGATTACACCATATCACACCATAACAGCTTAGCACAGTCTAGTTACTTCCCAAAAGAAGGAGGAGGACATGTGTGGTGATACGGTGCCCCAAATGTTTGTTGCTGAGCCACAAACATTAGGGGCCAAGTCTCCCTTTTCATACCGAGGGAGCTTTGGAGCCATTTCTTGACCCTGCACCCAGCTGCGCTGCTCGGTCCGGTGAAGGGGCCGTTGCCCACCATGGGCGACGTCTTGATCGGCTCTTCCCTTGGCTCAAGAGCCCATCGAAACCGGCGACTCCAAAAGAAGCACAGCCAGATATTTGATGATATTTGGAAGATCGGTTTGCTCCTTTTTAACAAGCACCAACAGAAGATGAAGTCTACGAAGTGTATGATGTGTTGGTCGGAACCAGAAAGCGGTCGTCTTCGAAAAGGCTAAGGGTCAGGCTGGATGTTATTCAAGGACGAGATCCGTAACGACGTGTCCTGAGCCGCATGCACCAGCTTGCAACATGCCCCAGTCTCACAAATGGTGGATGATGGTCACTAAGGGCCTTCACCAGAACATTGGTCAATCTCCACCCTCACTCTGAGTGGCTGGACTAGATTGAACTAGCACACACGACTTGGCATCCCACATTGGCATTGAGGGCTGAAGGCAGGATGAAGCCCTGCGCGGCTCTGGGTCCACTTCTTGTGTCAACTTCATCATTCTTAAAGAAACTGGCTTGCTGCACCCACTACACCATTCTGTTGAAATGGTCAGTCCCATGCCTGGCTCTCTTCTACTCGAAGATCCAGCATTGTAAATGCTGGAATCACTTCTCTAAGTGGCACTTTCAGCCTGGCCAAGCTCGATTTGGACGACAGTAAAAGCTCTCTGCCCTCCTTGTTGAGTTGGTCCCACCAAAAACGCCCGCCTTTCACAGTCGATACCCCCAACTCACCCACTAGTCATTCTGAAGAGGAAAGTTCAGCTACTCTCCTACCAACTTCCATCAGTAATGAGACATTTAATTCCTCAGAAGAATGAGACATCGGCCAGCCGAGCTCCCAGCGTTAGCCGCGCGGTGGTCTCATTCCAACTGCCCATGGAGTCTTGGATCCTCCCACGGTCCTGGGCACCGAACACGCCACGCGAACCAACGCGTGGCGTGCGTCGTTTCACGGCGCGGTGTCGAACGAGCTCGGCGCATGGATGGGGCGACGTCCGGCCTCGCCCATGATGTGAATGTTCACTTTGGACAAGGAGTTCCGGAAGCCGGGCCTCACCCATGGCATGTTCCGGTGCAGGAGATGCCAACGTGCCAGGTGAGGGGGGCCTCGAAGTTTTTAATGGGGCTGTGCCTTGATGGGTTTAGGGGTGGCTGGGTGGAAGGTTTTTACTGTATACAGGTGTACATGAGCACCAGGTGAGTGAGAGATCGTATCTTGAATATTTGTTAAAATGATTCTGACCTCCATCTACACCTGAGATCAGAGAAGCCAACAAAATGATTTCATCTACCAGAACCGGACACCCGACCCACCTCTTTTCGGGGCTAGGCATGTTTTGCTCAAGCCGGTCAAGCATTTTCAATGCAGGGGCTGGGAACCAAAAACAGCCCAATGGCTGGTCTATGAGGGATGGTCTAGGCCAGGTTGAGAAGGCTGCCGAAAAGTGGTGCTGAGGCTAGCTAGAGACTGGGGAGGCTTTCAAGGAGCAGGCGAGCAGGTGAGCAGAGAATTCTTCCGAAGGGTCTCTGACATCAGAAAGGGGGTGCAGAATAATTATCAACACAAGGGGAGAAGCCTGAGAAGCCTTGGCCTCCTAGCATTTCTATGCAGGGGGCTGGTGAAAGAACCAAAAACGTTATCTGTTATCTGTATAACTCCTGCTTGCTTGCTTACTTGCTTACTTACATACACAGAGAGACACAAACACAAACACAGAAAGACAGGTACGTGTAGGCGCTCCCTTCGAAAATCACAATTCCTTTCTTTCTCACAGGTCCCACCAGGTCGTATCCACACTCCATCGGCGCGCGCCCGGTGGCGCCGCTGATCGGGTCTGGCTCTTCTGAAGCCCTTCTTGAACCATGGATCTTTCCGACATTGGTGGCCATCTGCTACTTCTGGCAGGTGCAGCTGATTCCATGTCAGCCTGTCGTGCTCGTCAGAGAGAAACCTCTTACAGCCCATGAGTCACGAGAAACCTCTTACAGCTGCTTTGTGTCTTCATCTGCTTGGTCTAGCGCATGGCATCCAGCTGCTTGCCGAAGGCAATGCACCCCCGGTGGTCGCAGCGCAGGGCCACCCGCGCTTCCACCCCGCTGGCGTAGGGAATGCTTCGATGGCTCTGAAGGCGCCACGGCTCGCCTGGTCGGACCGGACCCGAAGAGATTCGGAGCGGAAGCACAGCGCCAGGGTCTTCGTTTTTGGGCGGTTCGGAGCGGGCACGGAGGAGATGGGACTTTAGATTTTCGGCAAGATGCAGCTCACTGGTCATTTCTGTTTCTCACTCATTGACTCACTGGTCATTTCAGAAGATCCGTTAAGGCCTTCAGAACTGCGAGCCCATAGCTGCGTCGCCAGTAGCGTCGGCCCGAGGACGGGAAATTCGATGCATGTGGTGATGGCGCGGGTCTCGGATTGCTTCACGCAGTCAAAGCTCGCAGTGACCAGCTGGGGACGATTCTCAGCGGCTAACACCATGTCCCAGCCGCTGAGATTGCTTTGCTCTTGCTCCACTTGAAGGGCGGCACTCAGCTCGGCATCATCTTTCGCTTCCTAGCTTTGAGTGGGTCGCACAGGCACGTACAAAGCTTCGAAACACAAAGATACTGTTGAACAAACAAAACTCACAGAGCCACCCTGATCATAGCCGGAAGACTATCATTCCAACCCCCTCTGGTAGATTCCACCTGTTCGCACAGCTTCAACATTGAGGACGCGTTTTCCATTCTTTCGTCAAACTCGCCGAGCATCAAAAAGTCCTCGCATCCGTTCCACGTCGCCGCCGGTGAGTGCGTCGTAAAAGTCTTTTTGCGCCTCCAGTGCTCCGCAGCTGGTCTCTGCCAGGGCGAAGAGCTCTTCCGTGGAGGACAGCGCTTTGGTGGGAGGCATGGCGGCCAAAATCTCATCCCAAATGGGGATGCCAAAGTCACTTCCAAAGACCCGTCCCTTTAAGCTGAGACCCACCCACAAACTCTGGCCAGCAGCTACTTCCTTGTCTTCCAGTATTCCTTGAAAGTAGCTCCTGCACAGGAGACTCAGGAACAAAACATGATGACAATTGCAGTCGCACTTCTTCATAAGGTGTCACTACCGTTCAGCGTGCTTTCAGAAAAAGAGGCCCGAAATCGAATCCATTGAAATCCTCGGACAACCCATGGCTAGCATGATCATCGTGGCCTTGACATTCATCCTTCCCCTTTTAGTGGTGTGTATTGAAATTTGGAGACCCAAAGATTCCAAAGGATAAATTAACCAAAAGCCTTTGGAGGTTGGGGTCTTCCTATTCTGATTGTACACCCATGTTGATTTCATACTCCCGGTCGCACCCTGCACCCATCCTCCAGCGGCGTAAGGCCTGGGGCCTTGCCAGCCAATCCCGACTGGCACGAAGACCAGCCTCACCCCAGGCAGCAAAGGCAACCTGTTGCGCAGAGTCAAAGGCAGGAAGATCAATGAAGCTAATTCATACACATTGCATATACATATTCATCACATCATCACATTACAGTATTGCCGCATTCCAAAGTGTCACGAGCGAATTCTGCATGGGCGCCACCATCGGAATGTCGGAATGCATTTCCAGCGCCTCGTCGGCACCCTCCAAGGAGGAGCAGACTGGAAGTATAAGGACGTCGCTTTGCACAAAGCGCCTGGTAGTATGGGCAAGGCATGGCGCGGTGCAGATTGGCCTACACAATCAAGTCAGTTCTTTCAGGTGGGAAGACAGCAACATCAGGTGCGAAGGGTGGCTGTCATGTCACCAAAGAGCAGCAGCTCCTGCTCTCTTATGCTGTGGACTCTTAGACTGTTGACTGTTGAGTCTTTCAAGTTTTGTCAGGGTGTTCAGAGAATAAAGCGACAATTAGATACAATTCGAACACAATTGGTATATTCTGTTGTATTATGGAAAATTATGGAAAATTATGTTATTCTGTGCCACAAGCAGGGGGCTCAACAAAGATTGAATTATCAAGCATCATATCATAAATGCCTTAATTGCTTCTCTATAGGGCATACGGCGCTTGAGGACTGTCAGTAACAAGGATTGGAGGATCCTGAAGCCTGAAGCAGCTTATGTGCTTCATATTGCGCAGCTACAAAGCATGAGCCGCTTTCCAAAACACCAGCGTTGATGATCTCTGCCTTTCTTTCCATCCACTACCGTTTTACAGCCATCAAGCAGCTGGTGAGAGCCATCTGAACACCACCGGTCTGCTAAAACACCCTCCGCAGGCGGTGTCCCCCGGCTATCGCACCTCCGGTAGGGCCGCGCCGATCGGAGGCTTTCCTTCACCTGCTGGAAGCTGCCGAAGAGCGCCACCACGCGCTTCGAGCCGCGCAGTGCCTGACGCGCTTCGTTTTCACAAAGGTTGGTGCAAATTCGAGGGAAATTGTGTCTGACACATGGAAGAAAATTGAAGAATCTGTGCCTCCATTGGCGTTATTGATATCTGATATCTATTCACTATTCTTTGCATCGGCCATTTCACCCACCATTGATCACCAGAGTTTCCCGCGGGTCCGACGCCTGTAGCTCAAAGCCTCTGGAGGCTGCCAGAGTCGGATTAAACAGCTCCACTGGCAGGTCTCCGATGGCATACTCTCTCTCCAAGCGCACCAGTTGAGCGGTTCGTTTCCCCCGCTCCCGCACGAATAAGAAGCCAAAGACTACTGAGAAGAGCACCGCCAAAGCATAGTACCAGAGTGCTGCGTTGCTGGGAGCAAAGGCAGGTGCCGACAGGGCGGAAACCGTGAACAAGAAGAAGATGAGGATTCGCAAAGGTTCGGATTGATTCGTGTTGGAATATTGGATCAACGCTTCTCTTCTGAACTCTTGCAAGGACAGCAGGTCGAATTCGGATCGCCTCAGGAACTTCTCCTTCGTAAAGCCTTTTTCAGGAGCCGCGCCACGCGCCACCGGGCTCGGGCTCCGTGACGCCCACGCCCCCGGTCGGACCAGTGCGGGGACTCGCACGCCCACCGCGGCGACCACAGCGACGAAGAGCGCCGGACGCAGCGCGCGGCGCGCGACCGGCATCGGGCGGCCGGGGGAAGGCTGAAGGGGAGCTCCGATTCTGGAGCGCTTGGCCCTTGCGAAGCCCTTGGGCTGAAAAAGAACAAAGCCTGGGCCTAGGACTCCTAGGACTCAGGACCCTACAAACATGATGAATTGATGTTTCTGTGTGACTGTTCTCTGTTGCTGCATGCTCATTCTCTTGAACCCAGGACAAAATCAAAGTAGTATTATGATATGAACAGTCTGTGCTCTTGGCAAGAACCCAATCTTAGCTTCACACAGAAAGAGTACGATGTCATTCGCCTGAAACACCAAATCACTGGATCAGTGGCTGCAGTGTTAGATGAAAAGAAAACCCCAAACAGCTGTCCTTCCAGTTGCATCCAGAAAGCTTAGAACCGCGCGTGCGTGATGTTCACAGTGGGCTGCAGCAGCATCTTCAGCTGAAATATACTATCCTGCTGTGGCGGCCTCAACCAAACGCAGTTGAAAAAAAAATCAAAAGGTCTTTTTCCGTCCCTCCGCAGTCTGTCCACGCGCGCACTCTGGCGGTCCGACGCGTAGATGAACTCCGAGACCTGGAAAGATCCTCGGCTCTCTCTGGGTCGGTCGGGCGGTGAACCCGGTCGGCACCGGTGGAACCCGGAGGGGAAGACATGCGCAGGAACGCGACGAAGGGAGCGTTCGGGGCTCCGGGCCTTACTAGGAACCATAGAGCTACGATGTTCTGCTTTCTTTGTTCGTTCTTTTCGGTCGTTCGCTCGTCTTGCAGACGGGACTCGGTCAACCACCCGCGGAGAGTTTTTGATGGGCTCCTGGGAAGGTGAAGGCCGCGGCTGGCTTGGAAGGTATGATGCTATCAAGTGAACACCAGCCCATTTTGTGCTAGCCTATTGTCCCCTTCGATTATGTACATACATATATATATATATGCAATTATACTGCTTTTTCGCTTGAGGTTCTCTCATTTGGCTTTGGGGTAACTTTTGGAACCAAACCCAAACATCTGTCTGCGGGTCAAGCACGTTCACGCGGGCATGTCATGGAATGGACTAATGAATGCTTCGGCACGCTCAGAAATCCATCAAATCCATCATCAGACTTGCCGGCAAATGCTGGTGATGCTGGTGCTCGTCCTACTCCCACTCCAAAACAAACATGGTACCAAGTCAGGTGGACATCAAACAAGCTCAACATTTTATCCCAGAAGAAATGAAGTGGTTCATCTGCTCAAAAACCAACTCACCGACCCTTTGTGATGGAAAACTCCGACCCTTTGTCGACTCTTTCCGCACCTCGAAGACCACGACATTCCTGGGACAAGCGACAGGACACAAACCAACCACCAGTTCTCACACAAACCGAGACAACTGCGTGACTGCAGTAGAATTTTGGTGAAGAGTGTGTTTAGATGTGTTTAGTTGTGTTTAGTCATAATACCTTTGCCTTCTTTTCCCACTTGGAATATGTTTGATGCATACTCCCGTTCCCCCAAAGGTGAAGCACCTGGCTTCATCTCAGCCTCCAGCCCAATGGCTTGGATCGTTAGGCGCGTATCATCAGGGAGCAGCGGAGTGATCGGCAAGCGGAAGCCACCCGACTGCATGATGCGCAGCACCTTTTTCGAGCTTCTCCGTCCGAAAATCCACCGCGTCTCTGTTGGTGATTATTTTTTCCTGTTTGCCAAGTCTTTCTGCGACGTCTGTCTGCTTCACCTGAGACTTCACCTGTGGCTTTTGGGGCGCCGTCGGGCGGAGCACAGAGCCCCATCTTGGTCGCCAAGGCCCCGGCCGTCGTCAGCTGTCGATAGATCGCTTGTCCAACAGGCACCTGTTGTGTGCCGTTGGGTGTAAGACCCAATGCCGGTCTGTGAGGTGACTCGGACGATCGATGTGAATCCGAAGGCTACCCGGTCTGACCTGAAAGAAAAGAGGGCTTCGTCAAGGGTCGTGCCAAAAACGTGAAATGGATGGAAGGAATGGTCTGCATCGGCCATCATCGGCCTATTTTCTTTCACTCTGATTTCCATGGGTTTCGATGGATTCGCTGATTTGCCATGCCAGCTGCACCACCAAATCAAAGGTGTTATCCATCTGGTTCCATTGTCCGAAGCGGATAAAGTCACCTTGCTTCGCAAAATGCGCAGCCACATTGCCTATTGCTCAAGACTCTCATGTTGAGCAGGGAAATTCCCAGGAAGTGGTAGGACTCGTCCATTCAGGGAGATCAAGAAGGTGGGTCATCTCATCTCTCACCTCACAAACTCTAAGCTCCTCACTTAAGTCCTTCTCACCGAGCACTGGCACCTCTTGGGTTCCAATTGGAACCTGAGCCCATGCGTTCTTACGCCCCACCCCGTGAACGGTGCGCAGTTGGTGCCATGGGGCCGGGGCGGCCCCGAATCAACTAGTCATCCCCATGTGCACGGATGAGTGGCCCGGCAAAGGGTTCATTGTTGCTCAATCGCGTGGAAGTGGAGCAACCCAGATTCACAACTCGTGAAGAAACGGGTCTGGAAGTTTGTGAAGCAGAAGCTAGCAGCTAGCTGAGCAAGTTTAGTGCAGCCACGTCACGCTGGTAAAGGGGCAGGTAAAGCCAGGAAGCCTGGGCTATGCAAACTACAAAACCACTGAATCCCTCATGTTTGAGGCCAAGCAGTTGGCTCTGGGCTGCAGCATACAACTTCGGTTGAATTGACTGGACTATACTGGAAGGAAATGAGCATCACTGCATCACTCTTGGATGCAAGTATTTTGCCACACGGTGATCTTACACTGCACGCTTCTGTTGCCCAACTGGTGGATGGATGTCCATCCATGTTCATCACACAATCACAGGTTTTGCTCGGCACATAAGATCCAGCTGGTGAGTACTGCAGTGGATTTAGTGAGTGTTCCCATGGTCATGTCATGTCCCTGCCTCAAATAATACTTGAGTATTATAAGTGTTCAAAAATGTCATGTCCCTGCCTCTTTGTGTCTAAACGCTGCAAATCTGTTCCAAAACGCAAGTTCCACCATCGCTCGCATGTGCCACAAACGGTGCCATGTCAGTCGCTGCCGAATCGGCCACGGGGCGTGAGTCTCACGGTGGTGCCCGCCGGGAGGTTCACCTCAAACAGCACAAAAACTGCTTTTGTCCATCCATGTCCATCCGCGTCCACAAAAGCCATGTCAGGAAGAGCAAACACGCTGAGTTTCAGGAATCAACCAAATTCAAAGAGTACGTCCAAAATGCGTTGGTGAAACCAGTTCTCTAGTGTTTGACCGAACGGATCCAAAAAAAAGGCTGAGGCCATGGCATTGGGCTGAAACCTGCCAAATAGGGGCTCCACATGTCCCACAAATGAATCAAAAAGGTCAACCACTGCACCACGTGCCTGAAGTTGAACTCCACCACTGTGTTCGGATATGCCACTGCACCTTCACATGATTCACATCCAATCAAAGCATGACATTGAGCGAAGACTGCACAACTAAGGCAGCTGCCGCGAGATCCGTAGAAAATCTCTGAGACGCCCTAGTTCCAAAGTTCCAGCAAGCAATACGTGTGAAAACATGGTAAGGCTTCGCAAATCTTGGCAACTGTAGCAATTCTGACACATCCTGGGGCCAAGACAAATTCCTTTCCTTGTTGGCTGACCCGTGTGGAAAACAAGAAGGGCCGCTCAGGGATACCAGCCTGCGCCACAAAAAAGAAAACGGTCCGAACACACCGCGCTTGGTCGTGACACAGCGTGGCTCATCTGCCTCCGGCACCGCCAACCTGAAGGAGGGGTCGTTGGGATAGGCGGAGAAAGGCCTCAAGCGGATCCGCGACGGATCCGGGACGGAAGTCGAGCGAGGAAGCGTCGTGTTCAGAAGAAGTTTTCGCGTCCCACTGGAAAAAGTCGAGCGTTTTCTGTAGACAAGGCAGGAGAGCAGAAATTAATGTATCAGTGGGTGCAGCAGGTGAGAAGTGAGCGCGTCTGAGTTAACCCCTGTGCTGACTATGTGACGATGTGTGGAACACCAAAAAGACTTCCATCTTAGGCAAGCTGCAACTTGAAGTCCTGGTCCCTCTCAATGAAGAAACGGACACGCTCCTTGGCTGCAAAGGAAGTTTCCTCTCTCTCCCAGAAATGATTTAAGGTAAATTCTACCAAAAAGAACAACAACTTAGTTTTGGGTATGAACACCATCGTTTCCTGTTGATTTTCCCATAAACCCCTTCTGGGACTCCCATTCCTGTTGATGCCAAAGAAAAAACCGTTGATGCCCGCGACTTCGCACCGCCGGCGCTCGCCCGAGTCGTCGACGCCCGCGTAGATCTGCACCGTGGAGATCATCTGCACCGTGAGAAGCACCTGGTCCTGGTCCCAGTATCCCACCTGCTGGGCCGGACCAACGCAAGCGAACGCCAGAAACCAGCGGCGCGAGCCATCCAATGAATGAAAGCCATTCCGTTCTTGGTGTTGCCACTGGAAGCATGATGTGTCCACGTGATTTAAACTGTTGATGAATAAAACCGTTTACAATCCAAATAGGGATGGTTGTGGATGGTTGCTAATCAGCAAGGTTCTACACCTGGGTCAAACGCGTGTACCAGTAACCGTCAGCTTCAACCCTACAGTCCTACCAGGTCCTAGATCTCAGCAACATGCCTGATATCAAACAACATGTCCAAAGGCTGGACTCTTTCCAATGTCACCTTTGCTGGAATGTTGCTACAAGAAATGTATGGATTTTGTTGGACCCCCACCCGTTCCAACGTCCCAGCGTCCCAGCCCGCTTCCTCCTGCCCGGTGCTCTCGCTGTCTCTGAGCACCACATGCAGTGACCCACCCCCCGATCTCCACATCCACCCGGACTGGCACCGCTCGCCCGCACCGCTCGGCCCGGCCCGTTTCGGCTCGGCCTCGCCGCGGAAGAGCGGCCCGTTGGCGCCCGAGAGCTTGATCTCGCCCGAGCGCGCCGGGCCTTGCACGCCTGGGAGAGACGGCACGGTCCAGGGCGAGGAAGTCGACCCGCGGGGACGGGAATGGAGGGCGATAGTGCTGGTGGCTGTGGCTGCAGAGATGGTGGCAGTGAAATCAACCACTATATAGAATGAATATGTAAGTAGGAATTGGAGCTGGATCGTTCACAACTGCGCAACTGCAACTAGATAAGCATGTTAAAGAGTTCCAACTAGATCTAAAAGAATTCCAGCATGATGTGGATTTCAGGATCTTGAGTCCACTCGGACGTAGGGCCTGATTGTAAAGAAATCGGATCTGACGTGGTGTCGCAAGCAAAGGTTCATTCGCAAAACATGTCACAAAACATGTCACAAAACATGCGCTTGCTTGACAAACTTGTCACAACAACTTGAGCTCCCTACCCACCATATTCGTCCGACCAGGATCACGAACGAGACCACCCAGTTTGATATAGATGGTCCTGAGTGAACCATGTTCCATCCGCTCTTGGAAGCTGAAGATCAAGAAGCTGGCTGACTGATATCGTTGGATTAGGAGAAACTGTCCGTGGCGGAACTCATCCATGATCTAGATTGACCGGCACTCATCCACTTCAGCAGCGGCACGAATTGGGCAAGACATCGGTATTCAGCACCATGGAGAAGCTAATCCGGGTGAAGGCATTGACCGACCTGATGGACCAAAGACTAAAGACAAAGGAATGTCCTTTTTGGATCTTCTAAAGACCGTCTTTAGTCTTGGGACAAAGCACTCCTCCATCCCGCAAAAAGGGTCCAACACATCTTCAGCAGGTCAGGTCTTCTCAAGAACTCGGCTCATCCTGTGGTTGAAAGACCACGCGGGACTCGATGACGTACTTGTCGTCTCCGATTTTCGGGATCTTTTTCACAGGCCTCGTGGATTTTCTGGAAACGATGACATCAAACTGTACACATGCTGCGCCTGATTCGCAAACATCGCTTGACAGTCCTGCACAACCTGACTTAGGCGCCCGGCTCCAGGTCAATGAGAACCCCCTCAGCTCCTTTACCTGGAAGATGCTTTGAAGGTGATTCTTACCAGTGTCATACTCAGAGAAGAGAAAAAGGCACAGAGATGACGGTCCGAGATGACCGTCCCGTGTCGTGCGGGTCCATGTGTCGCTGGGGATCCGTAGGACATAGAACTCACTCTGGGCGACACGACGGTGATTTGGAGATGGAATGAAATGGCAAATACACGCACACCAAACAAGAACTATGGATCCCATGAACATCTCCACCGCGGACATCTCATTCTGAACTCCGGTCTCTTTTCAAGTCCAGGTCATATCTCTCACAGGTCATAGAGGCGCGTCCCGGCGCGGGACATCCAAACAAAAGCCGCCGAGCCCAGCTGGCTTGGCATGCGAACAAAGCGACTTGGAACGACTTCAGTTTTCTGCAGCGCCCCGGGGGATCTGAACGAGCCTTCTATTCTAAGAATGCCGTCGTTCTCACTGAGCCTCGGAAAGAAGCGCCGGAATGCATGTTCGAAAATCCAGAATGCTGCTCCAGGGCCTCAACAATGAGTTATATAAAGATGGTTAAAGGAAGGTTGAACGAACCTTTTGCATTGTTGTAGAACCGAGCATTGAGCAGCAGCTCCCGAGTGATCCAAAGGGAGATCGAGCCATGCCCGAGCTGCAAGTATTAGACTCCATTTGGGGTCCTTTAAACAATGACAGCTGTGGCACTGATGATGTCGCACTGGATCGGTAAGTCCTCACAAGCCTACCTGGTTGCTGACCTGGTTCAAAGCTCAGCCAATTCCGGCCCCCTCAATCTAAGAAAACGTCAAACGTAGGCCTTTTGTACACCACGGCAACGAAACGGTCGTTGCCAAGGCCCATACGATTTGTTGCAGTCTGTCTTTCATATGTTGGAGAGTTCTTCATCATTTCCCCTCGTGGACGGTGGGATGGTGTGGGCCATTTCGTCTCAGGCTCCACGCTTGTCTGGGAGCCGAAAGTTGACGTCCCGGCCAATGCTCACTCGGAAGGGAGCGGCCTTCGGAGCGGTTTTCCAACTCAATCTCTCTGATTCGGTGGGCACATGTGGACGAATCACTGTGAAGCAGGCATGAACAGTTTGGGTGTGAAGCTTAGAAGTGGACATTGCTAATGATCTCGTTCTGCGCAGTGGTGAACACCAGCATGCTCTCCTGCCACGGTTCGTGTTGGCACCAAAAAAGGAGCCACGAAGTCGCGAACCCCCCGAAGGCGGGCGGGCTTTGCCGGGCTTCCTCCGGAGTCCACGAAGCAGCTTGGCCCTCAACGCGAAAGGCATCCGGGCCTTGGCGAACGCAGATCAATCAGGAATTAATGTAGACTCTTGATTAATAACCTCATTTGAAGCGCAACATCCTCTTCATATGGGGGGGTTATGGTCCTCAAGAGTCTACATTACTGCCCATATGAAGAGCCTCCAGGCTCGCCTCCTTGTCTCGACTCCACGAGCTGGGTGGTGACCCGCTTAAGCGGCTTGCGCCACGTCAGACGCGTCATGCGTCACCCACACCCATCCGTCTGACCACCCATTGGGTGGCTCTTCCTGCTGATTTCAGGGCCCTTTTGGAAAAGTAACAATGATGCACCAAACCTCCTCGTTTCCCAGACCGAACGAAAAAGCAGAGCACAAAACCGGCTGACCCAATCACTGTGGCACCGGCCCAGAAGTGGGATGGTGGTTGCCGTGCACCTCTTCTGCCGTAAGTCACAGAGAAGAGGTCAATCACAGAAGAAGCAGGTGAGGAAGGCTGAAAACAGCCAGCGCTGTCTGTTGTGATTAATAGGAAAGCCTAGAGTCTAGAGTCCTGGAGGAAAAGTCCTCTTCATCCATTCTCCATGCTCAAATAATTGAGGCTTAGAGGCTTCCTGTATGTTTTCCTGCACAAAGAAAACCCTGTAAGGCTCAACAAGTTTCTTCATCTTAAGGCTTCATTCCACCGCCTCCTGCTCTGTGGAACGCTGCAGTGGAAATCCGCCGACCCCACACCGTGGGGTGAGGCGTGACTGTTGATGTTAGCCTTAGCCTTAAGCCTTAGCCTTAGCCTTAAGCCTTAGCCTTAGACTTAGCCTTAGCCTTAGCCTTAGACTTAGACCTTACCTCCCCTACCCCTCCCGACCCTTGTTGCAGTGACGAAGTTCCTCTTTCCGGTGTCGACTGTTTCTTGCTAACTACTCTCTGTGGCATGCTGTCTAAGTCCTTCGCCACCCTGCGTCTCCAACTTACGGCGTCGACGCCTCGACCCCCAACCTCTCCACCCCCGCCGGCCTCGCTGGCGCATCAACTTGCAGACAATGTCCTTGAGGGTGGAATGACTTCTGCCTGTCCTCACCAGGGCTGTGGCTGGCTGGCATGAGCGACGCTCTTGTTGCCAGCTGACAGCTGCCGCCTCCCAGCATGCATCGAGCTCCATGTGCCTCCTCTCTCTCCGACGCCTCTCCCGACTTTTGGTTGCTGCGTGCAACCAGGGCAGTCAGCCCCCGTCCCTCGGACGGGTGCTGCCGGGGTGCCCCAAACCCCGGCCCCCGTCTTCTCCGTGGAAGACTCCATGGAAACATGGAGGGTCCCTTACCGACACCACACCCCGCAAACACCGCGAGCGACACCTACCCTCACCTCGACCCAGACACACCGACCTACGCGCGGGCCTGCTCCTGCCCAAGCTCTCTTACCCAAGTGCGCCGGCGCCCGGCTGTCAGGCGTAAGCCTTTAAATATGTAACAGCAAGGGAGTCAGCTCAATTTGTTCGGTTCTCTCCAGTTCTGAGCTGTTCCAAAGTTTCTTGAACTCCCCTTTGGCTCGACCAAACCGCTGTTTTGGCCAGGCTCAGCCCAGCACGCGAAGCCATACATGTGGATCACGATCATATCCTTAGACTCCGTAGCTGAGGATTCCCCAAGAGTTCACTTTCAGACCAGCTGTGACTTAGCTTCAACACACTCTCAAACACACTCAAAAGCTATCCACATGAATTGAAAGTTGGACCTCCGATCCTCCCAGCTCCAATAGGACACCGCTTGGGCAGCCCCGCCCCCTGGTAGAAGACGATCGACGGCTCCAGCGTGAAGGTGATGTTGGCAGCCAACCTGCCCGGCCAAGACCTTGAACTTCCGAGTTGGGTTCCCCAAACCCAAAATGGTTCCTCTTCTTCAGGCAAAAAAAGACACAGATCGTGATCACAGATGCTATAGATCACGATCTGTCACCTAGCTGAAGGGGTGTTTTTCGTGAGTGGTGTGCAAGGATGTGGTTCTGCAAAGGGCCTCAAAGGAATTGATCCACTATAATACCCTGGTCTTCCAAAAAAACATGCCATGTCATGAAGCGAGTCTTCACGGCGCAAGCACTGCTGGGTTTTGGGGTGACAGCCACGTACAAACCCTTCGCCTCGGCTCTGAGGGCTCGAAGGCCAACTGCGATCGCTTGAAGGTCTTGTAGCCGTTGCCCACCTGGTGGTCCAGCGAGTGCTAAAACAAGGGTGGCTGTTCTTGGCAAAGTGAAGCCAAAGTTAAGTCGTGTTGCAACGCAGTTGAAGCGTCAAAGAGAAAAACGTCGCAGTTGCAGTTCTCGGATCTCTGAAGTGCCGGGCCATCGGAGAGTCGTCCACCGGCTGCTGCGGAGCCCTGGACGGGCGGGTCTTTGGTTTACTGCGCTGTCAGCAAGGATCCGAATTCCCGGAGACCCACCCAAGTGACCAAGTGGTGTTGTTGCAAGGACTGAGACTGGCACCCTGGATCCGAATTCCAAGCTAGCAAGGAGGTGTCATTGGCCTGGGCATCCAAGGAGGCATAATAGAAATGGAAACCACCAAAGGTTGCAATGCCATGTCAGTATCCACGTTATATAGTTTAACACCTGTCTATCTTTACTTCTCTTTATGCAACATGTCAGTCGATGACCTTGAAAAGGATCTGGCCACCCACTGGCCATTCGATCTGAGCATGGCACATAAAGCGCTGGTGGCAGAATCAGCTCCTGTAGCACATCGCAGCAAATGAGCAATTGCTTTTTAAGAGAAGTCGAACACATGCCAAACCCAACACCCTGCTGCAGCGCACATCCCTCTGGGGTCCGAACCACCATTTCCAGCTCAAACAATGACCTCACCGCGCAGTGGAAAAGTCATGGCTTCGAGAAGGAATCCGAGATTTCTTCGACAAAAAGAATCAACCGAATGCTCGATCCAGGCTCCCTGCTCATCCGAATAGATGGTTCGGGTAATGTGGAGTTCCAGGATATTCTCCTGGCTGCAATCTTCCAAGCATCCTGCCTTTTTTCTCAAAACATCCAGCTAGTGAATTGTCCACCAGCATCTCCCTCTTTTGCAGTCGACTCTGAGCAAAACAAGACGTGCCACACCGGGAGATTGAAGTATCCGCTTTCATCTCGGAAATGCACCTGTCGGGCCGCGACCCGCGACTGCAAGATGGGCTACCCCCCACCTAAGAGTCCAGTCCATGCCATAGTGACAGGACCATTTGGGCAAGTGGGCTGGGTGGGGGAAAGAACTCAAAGTGTATTGATCCCAAAAAGATTGTTTCATAGTTTGACCAGTTCCGCTACCAGATTCTAGCAGGGATTCACTTCATTCGATCTACTTCATTGGCGGTCACGGCTCTCCATCACTGTTGATCCCTTTCTCCAAAACAATGATCCAACAATGTGATCTTCCAAGTCATCATGGTGATTCTCGGCGCAAACCTTCCTGCCTTGGTGGTCCCTTTCAGGGGCACTTCCACACGTTGAGCTGTGAAGCCAGACAAGCCTTGTGACGAAACAAAACCGGCACCACAAAAGAGCCAGTATCCTCAGAAGTGCAAAGAAGGGTTTTTTCCTCTCAAGACGGAGCGTCTCAGAGCAAAGCTGATCCGAGCATCTCAGGCTCCGACGGAGATAGATGACTGATCCGGCCTCGGTGGCCGAAACTTGCAACTGGATCAGTACAACAGACTGTTCTCTCTCATGAGAGCGTGGCAAAGAGCGGTCGGTTCGTCATGAAGTGGAAGAGGACATTGGTCTGCTGGTTGGCAACGTTGTTAGTGTAGGCCAACCTCAAGGATACTACAGTACCGTGTGTGAGTGTGTAATGGTGCGTATTAGAATGAGGAAATCCCCCAGCCCATGGGTTTCAGTCGATGTTTCCTCTTCCCGTGGGGTCCTTCTTGGGTCTCCCTCTTCCACCACACACTTGCCTTTGCTTTCAATGAAACGTTGCCCAGCCCGGACCGACACGTGCATCATACATTGCCGCCTGGTGAAGGTGAAGTTGCGCACATGAGGAACCGCGCTGGACTGAGTCACCTTAGAGTCGCTGGACATTGGGGGGGTTCCGCCCCATCCCGCACCCGCTGTGCGCGCCTCACAGCCAGGGGAAATACCAACTGCAACTTTCAAATCCATCACTGTAGTTCATGCTCTCCAACTCCTCCTCTAAGGCCCTCACTGGTGTTTCCCGCACCACTTCATCAATGTTGTCGAAGGATCGTGCAGACACCTTCTCTTCAGCTGAGTGGGCTGGGAAACGACCCATGCGGTTTGTGCATAGGTGACTGGGGGGGCATCCTGGTGAACATGTTTGCCACATGCTCACTCCTGAGATTGGGGTTCTTTTGGTGCTTAGCGGCCCTGGCCACGCAAACCGAGATCACGGAAACTTCCCACCGGGGCCCTGGAGATCCCTGGAGGCCGGAACGCCACTGGTAGGTATAGGAACATACAAAACCCATTTATATAAAATGCAAAAGTTAGAAAAACATCTGTAACCAAAAGGTACCCTATAGCCCCTGTAGGCGAGTAGTTCTCTGTCTTGTTCACTACTAGTGAATCTATACAGCCACTTGGAGAATCGCTTTTCAAGCCAAACGATTCCCACCTTCCACTTGCAAGAACCCTGCCGCAAACAATGCTAAGGTTGTGTAGCAAGTCTAGCACAGAAAGAGGATTGTTCAAAGCATTCACACTTCCAGCAAATCAAAAAGGCACCGTCAACGTGGGGCTGTCCGCCGCAAGCTCAACAGGCAGCTCAAACCTCAGAACCAATTTCGATGAAGCTGTGTCCATGTCAAGCATCGTCCCTTAAAGCCAAGACTGTCCGTTCCCAAATGTGTGATATCATAATGTATCTTCATGCCTCCCCTTGGGGGATGCCAGCCATCCAAACCACTTCGATGAAGAAACAAGAATAAACTCTCAACTTCTGCCATGCCACTCCCCGGGGTTGGTGGACAGTGTCACTTGCCGGCTGGCCAGCAGCACCTCGCCCAGCTGGTACATGTGACAACACACGACTTCCCACATCCACATCTGCGTTGTTTGTCTTTAGGCGGCTCTTTAAAGATAGGATCACAGGAGGAATGCCCTAGAGTCACTAAAGAATCCCTCAAAGGACCAAGAGCACTCGGGGAGAACGATGCTTGTGTTTTCATGCTCCGCTTCCGGTCTTTTCGTTTGGTGCCTTGCCCTGTCGCAGGAAGAAGGTGAGTGTGCCAACTCCTGCATCCCACAGAGCTGAGCTCTCGAAGAACATCCAATCCTCGGTTCGGGGATCCGGTTGAAACGACGGAGGTCGACCTCCGCGGGGATCTCGGGGATCCGGAGAAGGATCTCTGGGATCCTTCAATGACGGATCCCAAAGATCCCCAAAGGACATGCATGCATGACATAAGATCATGAAGATCATGAAGATCTGCAGCTCTCAAAAGGAGATCAAATGGCACACTCCATCTTCTTTGGGTCAACATGGCACGCACCATCGCAGAGACTTGAAGTCGACCCTCACGTGCGTGCCTGACACTCCTGTGCGTCTTCAGGCGACAAACTTAAGATTCCAGCAGCTCCGCTGATGCTGTTCGCGGTGTTGAATGAGACCTCCCCACTCCTGTTTGATGTTTGGTGTCAGGTTGATGGACACGCAAGGCCACACGGCTATGCAAAGGGCTGTGTGGCTTTCGCAACGAGTGCAACACATGCAATTGTTTGGCACTGTACAAAACGACGCTGGAAATGGTTGAGCACCCAGCACATTGTTCACCCGCGTAATCTCTGGCATGCTCAGAATGATCCGTGCACCTTGTTCGACGCACGAGAGTTATAGCCAAATCACCAGGTCGAAAATCCCCTTCTACTGGAGCACACTACCTATACCCCTCACCCCCTTCTGGATGGTAGTCTTTTCCACTGCTCCTCCTCCCTGCTCTTGGGATGGCGTACACCATGCTGTTCTCGAACACGGTCTTCCCCCGAACCACTCCACGAGTCCAAAGCCACCACCTCTTCCGTGCAGAAACAAGGACTCCGACTCGACTCCACCCGGTTCGGTGGCGAGGTCTCCACCCGGCTGCGCCACGGTGGCCCCCCCCGCCGGCACCGGTCAATTGGTCTTTGGGCCTCCCCACGGTCGGTCAGGGCATTCGCAGGGCGCAAGGTCAGGTGGATGATCGTGACGTGCTGCGAGATCTGAGGAGCCGAAGAGGCAGGATCTCACCGTCTCAGAGACGTGAGATCAACCCGGATCTCGACCGCTTCGGACCAGAGCTCTGTGGAGTCGGGACGTCAGTCGGAACATGTTCGATTGGTCTTTCTGACGCAGGTTGTATGGTGAATCTCAGCGCTGCTGAGCGTCTCTTGGGAAGTGTGAAATTGTGGGTTGGGCATGTCTCACATGGTTGGAGTGAACCGCCAATGTGTGGTTCTGCCACTTGTGTGGTTCTCCTGCCAACCTTTAAGCATAGCTTGCCAAACTTGGGGGCCGAGCGATGCTGGGCCGCAGTGTGTGGATGTAGAGATAGATGGACCGAGAGGTAGGCAGATTGGTTTTTTTTGCAGTTCGCATGATTCTCCAGGCAGTCAGGAAAATATGGAGCTAGATAGGTAGCTAGGTAGGTAGCTAGGTAGGTAGGTAGGTTAGGTAGGTTAGGGTAGGGTAGGTTAGATTAGGGTAGGTTAGATTAGGGTAGGTTAGGTTAGGTTTGGGTAGGGTATAGGGCATAGGGTAAGTAGGTAGGTAGGCAGGCAGGTCTTGTGGCAGTTGTACTGAATTGCATTGCACCGTGTCTGGCTTCACACGGTCCTGTGCCAAACTATGATGCGAAGCCATCACAACATCGCATGCAGGGTATGCAGTCTCATACCTTTTCTTTTGTTCATGAAAGATGTGCAAAAAACAACAGAATCTAGAGCAGGTTCTCATGGGGGCATGAAGGCATCAAACTTGAGCTGCACACCGGTGGCTCAAAGGACACCTCAGTTGGTGTGTGATGATTCAGGCCTGATGCTCCCGCATGTTCCTTTCATAATCGAAATTCGATTGTCACTTGCTTTTTTGCCCGCGCACTAAGTGTCAGGCCCTCAAGAACTCCCATTGCAAGCCTGGATCAATGAATGGCGTCGACAGAATTGGCTCCTGGCGAGCTAACAGCCACTCTTTGGCCTTGCTTCCATAGGCAAAATTGTCCAATATGTCAAAGAAAAACCTATATATATATATATATGTATATTATTCTAGCCCCCCAAAAGAAAACAATGTTGATATGTTCGTCATTGTGTGACACAGACAACTAATTGACTTGATGAGTATGCAGTAGCATGAGGACAAATGGTTCACATTGACATGACCAAAGACTACAACAACATACGTGCAGCTACTGCAGCAGCAGCAGCAGCCGCCATTGACAGACACGTTTTTGCAAACGCGTGGTTGCTTAGGATGCCTTGATTGCTTTTTCATCTCCCAAATGGACAAATTCCCCTGCGCACTGCCACAGGTCTTGTCATCTGTGCCAGTACTGTCTTGCAACTCAAGAAAAAATATAATTCAATACGTACCTAATCTCTGTCTATAATCTCATTGATACTGTCTATGGGGTCTCTGCTTCTTTTCACATCCGTAAGGGTATTACCATAATATCTAGCAATGCATGTCTTCAGCATACATTATCTACGTAAATGTTCAACACCTTGCTTAATTGCTTCTGCATCTTGTTTAAAACGGAACAAACGTGCGTTCACAAAAAGAACCCTCCCTCCAGAATTGCTGCTGGTATGCAAATCCAGATGATCAATCTCCAATGTTTTATTCTTCTCCCCCAACAGCGGCCAACGGTCAAGGTGCAGCCTTTCCACAGAGCTTGAGCCACAGTCAGTGGCGAGTGCAGTGGTCGAACAACGGCACCAGTGGGGACGAGGTGCCATGGACATCATGCACACACAGGCGGCATGCTCAATCTCACACCCGTGTATCTTTGCTCTACACTCTGAGCTCACCATGCTCCATCAAGTGGTGAAGATTGAAGATTCCCCAACAAAGTTTGCAGCAATCTTCAATCCACAATATGGATTGAAGATGTCTGGGTGGATTGAAGACTACTTGACAGTTTTTCCTGATGGAATCTTCAAGCTTCAATCCTGCACTTGAAGGAATTGGGAGGATTGAAGACTACTTGAAGAAATTTATGACGGAATTAATCTTCAAACGTCAATCCTGTGATTCAGGAAATAGTCCGAAATATTTCAAAACATTCCCAGAATGTGTCGAAATGTTTCGAAACATTTGGGCGAATAAAGGAATGTTTCGAAACGAACATTTTGAGGAAATAAACAAACCTAGAGAGAGAGAGAGAATGTTGACCTAACGTTGTTTTTTGGGGGTACTATATATATATATACATGCATACTAGTTTGTACACAGGTGAGGGTGCCTGGTACAACACCAAACACGTGTCACGTGTGATTCCCGGTGCGCGTGGTGATATGCATATATTACATACTCTATAGATTTATCAATATTTATCCATTACATACTCTATAGATTTATCAATATTTATCCATTAAAGGTTAATATATAATTGTGTGTGTGTGTTATATTTATAGTTATCCATATCCATATTTATCCAGCTCCCAAACACTGCCCTCTCTCTCGGGTTGCTTGGCCGGAAATTCCGGCCCCCAACGATCCACACCCAACGATCCATCGCGTGTTCTCCTCCGGGATCGTCACGATGGTGTCCAAGGAGGTCGGCCCGGAAATCGTGTAGCCCTTCAAATGTGCCAAAAGTTCCCGAAGGTCATGTGAAATGGGAAAAAAACGGACCAAAAGGCAACTTTGACATAGACTGACGGGCCAGTAGGTCTCCCTCTTCAGGGTATTCTAAGCAAAATATCTCGGAACTGCAGTTGAACTGCAGAACTGAGGGCTCCACAGTAAAGTCCTTTGGGGATGCAGCTGGGAGTTTCATACCTGTGCAGCTGATCCCGCTCTCAAGCCGGCGGTTTCTTGCAGAATCTCACCCTGATTTCGAAGCACGCGTCTTGCATAGCTTTGCACAAATATAACAACAATCAAGAACACATGCAGGGAGCACAACACACAGTGATCTCCGTGTCCCTGTTGGACAGCAAGGAGTTTCCAGTTCTGACCTGCATACCGCGCATGCCGTGCAACAGCGCGTGCGCGCACGCTCGCGGTCGTACGGGGTGCCCTGCAGCTGCTGAAGTTAAGTGCCCCGGCCATGAGTCTCAAGAGCCGTGTCCGGATGTTGTACCTATCAACGTTCAGATTTGGCCGGGCGTGACTCAGAGATGGGGTGCATCTCGTATCACTCGGTCAACGGAAACGGACCAAGCCACTCGCAGCTGCCACGTTGATGAATCAATTTGGCTGCCAGGTCACTGGGCAAAGTCAGTGAAGAGCGGATTCGCATAAGTATTGTAGCCTAGTCAACGGGCAAGACCGACGACGCGCAGCCACCATTCCCGAGAACACCCATGGCTCGATATCGAGGAGCGGTGTGCAACCTATCAACTATCAACCATGCGAACTCGTAATGTCTTCCTTACACCAAGGAAGAAGCCACAACCGCCACAACCCTCCTCCCAGCCGCGCAAACCGTGGCAACCAGCATGAGTCAGGCTCGGACCGAAGAGTGGATCCACTCCCAGTGGCACCTCAATCGCCGAAAAACACAAAACCACCGCCCGACACTACCCGACAATCCTGACACGACGGCAAGCTGCAACCATCCTGCCCAACACCCAACGGCGTTGGAAGAACAAAAAATGTTTGCTGATTCAAGGGCCTAAGGGGAAGTCACCTTCGCCAAGCTGGCCAACCAAAGGTCTAAAGTGATTGCCTTCGACATCGGTCACGACCCCCTCCGGCCTCTGAACCACCGAAAAACACCCGAAAATCACCTCATTTTCTGCCAAGCACATTATTTTCGGCCAACCGCGTCGTCGTTGAATCAACAGAAGCAGCGCCCCCGTGTCTCCGAGTCGCTGTGTTGCCAGCAGTGATGGGCAAGTCCCTTAAGTTGGCATTCCTCAGAGAAATAGTATCTCAGTATATACAGTGTGTATATGTCATATGTATATACAAAAAAGCGCTTCTTAAGTTGGCATTCTTTGAAGTTCAATTCCACTGTGTTTTTTCCAAATGAATTTAAACTTCTGTAAATTCAGAAGCGCACGCAACATTTGTAGTTCCAATTGCCTCGAAGCCAGGCAGATTGAGTTCGATGAACCTCAGTCCAGGTTGATTCATGCGTCATTTGGTTCTTTCCGAAAAAGCTGTCACTAGATTATTCAATCATCGTGGGCTCCAGGCTGTGTTGTCTGAATGCTGCTCTGCAAATCTTCGGACTGCAGAAGAGCCAAAGTAATGATTTTGTTTGAACATTGACAGTGACGCATGCAAATGTCTTGGAATTCTGTGGCTTGGATGACAATTCTTCGCAGCAACACACTCATCCCCCCATTTGGGTACAGAACCCTACAAAAAAAAAGATGCAAAATAGATCAAAACAGAGTCTTGTTTCCTGTCACGTGATCTACAATATCTACAAACAAATACATACTGAAACAAAAATATAGAAACATTTCCAGGAGGTTCTGCTGAGCTGGTCACTGGCTGGAGAATGATCGTCACGTTGGAGATCGCCCTGAAATGTGAGCCGAGCTGAGTGTCGAAGCGCTCTAGACAGCCGTTTGGAATCTTCAGGAACACCGAGTCAGATCAATTGGTCCTGAACGTCTTCCGCATTAAACATCTCTAGGCACATTTGCTCACCGCCTGATGCAGTATCCAGCACACTATTCTTGGGCTCCATGCAAGGGATAGAGCGGATTGAAGGCCAAGGTTGATACCACAAAAGTCTAGGACAGCACAGCAGGATTTCTATCAGAATGGTGAAAGCAGAGTATAGAATCCAAATCATCACATAATCTAAAGGTGCATTGGTCTTCTTCATCTCTTGAGTAGCATGGTCGGTCTCATTTCTGTGGCTCGAAGAATGCAGCACGACACAGACACGGCCAAGACACGGCAGGACAAAGCTGAGCTCGGTAATTGAGGAAATCCTCCGAGGTGCAGACCTTGGACCATCCGAGGACCCGAGGGAGGACCCGAGGGAGGAACCGACCGACCCAAAAAAAGGAACCGGGTGAAGATGCGTGATGGGACGGTTTGATCGTGGGTCAAGAATCAACAGCGAACCGGAACAGAACCGTAGCATCTCCTTGAGCACCCCCCGATAGCTATGGTCTAGCTTTCTCGCCGAAGGTTTCACCGTGCGCGGAGGGGACCCTCCTCGGAGTCGAAAGGAATCCAGCCTGGCACAGTTCTTCTGGTGGCTCGTGGTGAGAGCATGGCCATGAATGGAAGAAAAGATGGTCCGCGGAAAATCCATGAGATCAAAGATATATCCCTTCGATGTGCGCGTTGAAGAAACCCGTCCATGCAGTTGGACTGCTTGCTGTCTGAGCCACGTCCAACCAAGGCGTCACAGCATCAGTCTGAGCTTGACTCACGCCAATCAGCACCTGCACATAAACAAGCATAGTCTCAACTGCTGGTCCTAAGTGGTCTCATAAATGCCCAGTCTCCCAGTCTCCGTCACGATCAATCCTTTGGTCACTATCAATCCATTCGTCTGCGAAGGAAATGGCATTGGGCCAATTGATGTCCCTGTTCATGAGTCATCAGAAACATCTCCCTCTCCCTCCCTCTCCCTCCTAGGTCTCTCTCTCTACTTTTCTCTCTTTGGCGCACCGCAAGACCACAGAGTAGCTGTCTCCACCGGGCCTAGCAAGGCCGTGTCCAGCCATGAATGCCGGCTGCGCTCTCCACAGATGTCACGTGTTGGAGGTTTAGAAAAAGCATGAAAAAGCCACGGCACATGCCACACTTCTACAGTTTAGACGGCCTTTCTTGCCATTCTCAACTTCACTGACCTAAAACACAGTTGTTCTAATTGCTGTTCGGATGGCCCAAGCAGTGAACCTGGCTTTCTCTCGCGGCCGCGCGACCATGGCCGTTCTCAGGAACCCGGCCATCTCGTGGCGTTACCGTCCGTGAGAGACCTGAGGCAGGTCTTCCACATCAAAACCACATGGTCTTCCTCGTGCACGCAGATGCACGGAGGTGCAGGGCTGGGTACAGGTCCAATAGTCGTCGTCCTGAAACCCTAAGCGTTGACCTGAAAACTGAGAATACACCTCAGAAAATGTGTGTCGACTTCAGCAAGGGTTCAAAGGCCCACACATTCAGTTGAATCCGGCCCACAGAAGAAATACATCCAATCGAGAACGGAAATACAATGAAATACAAACGTCAAAGGCGTGCGGGGAGGAATTCGGAATATCGACTAGAACGATGCGTAACACTCGGCTTCACCTTGGAGTCCCCTTATTATTCCGCAGGAGTCTACAGCTGTATTCCAAAGAGAGAATCAGATGACATCACTGCGCGTCTGGGATCTCCTCCACCTTTTAAGGATGGTTGCAGAAGACATGCTTTCAAACTTCTGTGGTCGCACCACCGCAAGTGACGCCAGGAACTGTATCACCGAAACGAGCAAAGCGATTTCCGGGAGCCTCCGGGTCAAAACTTCGAGAGGCCTCCAAATCATGCCAAACTGACCAAAGACTCAAAGTGAAGAAGAAAAAGTACATAAAGCAGTCCAATCTGAAATCACCTTGAATAAATGTATATAATACATATTGCATTATATATAATATAATAGATATGGATGTTTATAACTTATATAACTGTTTCACATCATGTCTTCGTGCCTGCGAGCACGGGCTTGGCCCGCTCAGAGCCATGACCGAAGCTGATCTTCGGCATCCGAGAAACGACTGGAGCCAAGCAACCGGACGGTGGACACAGCTGGGACGGCACCGAGGTGGGTCATTTCGATCCAAGTTATGCAGTCCGAAGCGGGGGGCTCGGACCACGAAGGATGACATCCTAGCGAAGACCAACACGGCTAGGAGGTGAGAAAACTGCCCAAGAATCACAAACAAGTTGAAATCGACTTTCTCCAACCTTCAACATAATCAAACTGTCGTGAGGGAAGTCTTCATCCGCATAGCACCCAACTTTTGATTCAGTGATTTGAAAGTGCATCCAGAAAGCCATGCACTTTCGGCATGGCTGACGAATGTCTTGAGCTTTTTTGCAGGCATGTCTCGAGCTTGAGTCATCCACTCCGCCACGAACCAACACGGTTTTCCTTGTGTAAACCATCTCGAGGGCTGAGAAAAAGGATGACCCAGATTTCCACCCACCTACGACATGCCCAACCCGGTCGGAAAAACCCTACGTGTGTGAGACTCACCACGGGCATTGTCTTGTCTGCGCAGCCTAGTGGCCACAAGCGCGATCATCCTACACCCCCCCAAGGTAGGGGGTGACCGTGATCAAGTCAACATTAACAGGATCCATTGAATCCGAGGTCTGATGAGGTCACCTCATCCTGACGACCGATTCACCAGACGGTCTCCATCAGTGTGGAGCTGATTCAAATCGCGGATCGACATGGAGCGGACTGGCAGACTGTCTGCCGGAGCAGCGAAGTTGAGCCTTGCAGGGACGGCGACCATTGGGGCCTTCGGAGTAGATATCCTTGTCATGTCAACATAGGATCCCCTGGAAGTCCAAGACTAGTTTAAAATGGTCTTAAGGTCGAGGTGACCCAAAAACACGGTGTCGCCAAAAAAAGTCTTTGGACTTCTAGGGGATAGCCAAAGCAGATATCCAAGGCGCTCATCATCTCCATCTCTCAGACCACGAAAAAGAACCTCGAAAAAAATGTGCAGCTGTGAGAAAGGCCACATGAGAAAGGGGTCCGTTTCTCAAGCAGCGGCCTCCTTTTCCTGCTGGCAGCGTGTTTTGGGGCATTTGCGATGGGATACGTGAAACGTGCGACGGGCTTTTCAGAAGCCATCCATTTCACCCTCCCGGAGAACCCATCTGACCTGTTCGCATGGCTCATGGCTCACTTGGAATGGTCGCTACATGTTGCTACTCCCAATCGGGTCACACGGCTCCAGAGCGGCGTTTTCAATCGCCCTATGTACAAACGGCTCGAGCTCTTTCAGCTTCGAGCTCCTCGCATCGTCTTTCGAAAGAAACCGACCCCGACGACCTCGACCCGATTGGATCGGCTTTTCTCCACGTGGAGTCGAAGCTCGGCCTGGCGAGAAGTAACCATCACCGCTAAGCTAAGGGGATTGATTTGACTCAGCATCTGAGTCTTTTGGATCATCACCTTGAGCTCCGCTGGTTCAGTGTCGAATGTCTTGATGTTTCCAGGATGCACTGGACATGTGTCAACAAAGAAGAAGAAGAAGAAGAGGAGGAGGAAGAGGAGGAAGAGATCATGGGGGTTGAGCATCTGTCTACATTAAAATGTATTAGTAGTGACATCACTCGACCAACAAGTTGGCCCCCCTGCCGGTCGGCCCATTCGGACATGCACGTCCCAAAACACCCGCAACGAGAACTTCCTGCGATTCGCGCGAATCGCCTTGAGGCGCTCTTGCACGATTTGCTGCTGCAGCAGTCGTTGCTGAAGTCGTTCCCGGCACTGCAGAATGTGCAGCTCCAGCTGCTGATTCTCCATGACAGCTTGCTGCAGCCTGTCTGGAACCCAAAAAATATACTGCTAATCAAAAGCAATGGCTCTGCTCCCGGCCTCCTATGCCCTGCTGTCTCGCGGAGCACGGCAGCTTCGGTATGTGGATCTGTAGAACCTCTTTCAGGGCAAAAGGCCGAGTGTAAAACGCCTTTCAGCGAGTCCGACTGGATGGCAAAAAAGCTGCACCGGCTGAGTTACAGTACCCTTAATGCAGACTCTTGATCAATACACCCCTCATATGAAGAGGATGTTCAATTCATATGGCTACACTCTTTATAGAGGATGTTCAATATCAAACACCCAGACGCCTCCTAAATTAGATGCAAAGTGCCTGGCAAACTGCCAGTCATCCAGATTGCAGCCAGGTCATAATTAGGAATTCAGAGACCTTGAGACACATGTACCCTTCTTCGTAGATGCCTGGTTCCGTAGCGTGATTCATTTAACTTGTCTGTTGTTGTATATACTTTGACATGAGCGGTTTCACACCATTTACCCACCAGTACCCGCTGGAAACCCAGCAAGGGATTGAGTGGGGGCGCGTCGATTACCGTCCGCGAGTTCGTGCATTCATATGGCTGGGGTTATTAATCAAGAGTCTACATTAGATTGGAAACCGGGAAGTTGGTGGGAACCAACCCAGGAGTACCAGACTTTTCAAGGCCGGGCCCCACCTGACGCCGGTGCCACGCGTGGGCTTTGAGGCAACTCTGGCAGCTGCGGACATATCCTTAGAACGCCCGAAACTGGAATTCACTAAAGATCAGAGGGGACCCAGCTTCACCAACTTCAAAGTGACCCAGACCCAGAAGCATTGTTTTGCTGCTTGGCTGGGGTTGAATCAACCAAGAGTCTTCTCTGCAGGGGCCGAAGCCGAAGCCTTTTCTGGTGCCAAATCGAAGGTTGCACCTGGTCGCGTCAAACGTCAGGTCAGAAGTCACGTCAGCAGAAAGATCATAAGTGTGTGTGTGTGTGTCTGTCTGTGTGTGCGCTTTGCTTCCCATGTAACGCCTGGTTGCAAAATGCAATTTGGCAGGTGATGCTGCACCGTGATGTTCTTTGGCAGGTCCCAAACGACAGGAACATCGTTTTTTTCAACACGTCCGGACATCTCTTTGTTTCGAACCCTACACAATGATTCCAAGCTGCCAATTTTCTGAAACTATCCCCAATTGCTACCGACTCGTACAACAGCCTCGCAACGCGAACCCGGCAAAAAGCACTGGCATCGCCCCAAAACGGTGCCTTGGCCTAGCTCCTCGAGCTCTTTTTGGGACTCGTCCTGTCAGGCGGCTGAACAAAGGAGTGACAGTGGTGATGCCTGGAAAGTATACACATAAACTCCTTAAGGTTCGGAAAACTCTCAAAATCCTGAAGAGGTCGACAAGTATCAAATCATATCAAATCTGTAAACCAGTTGCTGAAAACCTGGACAGCAAACACGTTGTAAAATAAAAAACATTGAGCCAACACTGCTTTCAGTCCTCATGGATGCTGCTCATGTCCGCATTGAGCAGCGCGCTCATGCCTTCGGATTTCTCCTCTCCCGGACTTGCAGCCTGCAGATGCTCTTCCGCCCACCATGAACTTCACGAAAGTCAACCATTTAAAATTTAAGGTGTAGTTTGGACCCTCTATGACTTGTCGGGTCATAGGTACCCAACAACCGCGTCAACCTTCTATCAAAACAAACCCCTGTTTCATGCCATTCGTAACCTCGCGCTTTGAGCTCGTCGCAGTTCTTGATCTGGTCTACACACATGATTGAACGCGTACAGTGATGACTGGTACGAGCTTCGTGCATGGAATGAGGGTGGCTGGATGTTCAAGAATCTCTGAATCTCTTCTTGGGATTCTTGGGGGTGAAACTTCCTTCATTTCTGAACCAGTCTGATGGTGATACACCAGGCCTCCAGTTGAGCTTTCAGCGTCTCTCGAGGGCTGTAGACCTCGGACTTCTGCGGAGTTGCGGAGTTGCCGCAGATCTGGAAACCTGCGGAACACTCGGTGTCTCTGGCTTTCTTGGGCAATGCTTGACTTGCAGACGAGCGGCTGAAGGCTTCAATGCTGCCTCGGAGCAAACCACTATCATCCATCTCATCATTTATATATCTATGTCTTAAGTGGCTCAAAGCTAAAGCTCAGAAGCGGCCAAAATTGACCCCACACTCACTTGCCAAGTGGAAGATCAGAGACCATCTCTGATGACTGCCCTCTTGAGAATGCCCACTTCTCTTGTTAAGGCATTGTCAAACGAAAACCAGGAAGCTTGACAGGACCAATATTGCAGGTGCAACAACCCCGCCTGAAGCTGTTGCTGCGCATTCATCAAGGCTTGCTGCTGTGCTTCATCTGCACAACGCCGACTCTGCAACAGCTGCGCCTCCGGATGAGGGACGAAAAAGAATTGTGCGGACCAATGACATGTCATGACACTCAAGGTCGGCCTCAACATGAAAGAAAGGTAGATCCGTGGGAGACCCACTCGGTTGGGCTTCGTCTATTTCACCCTTCTGCGGTTTGGGTGTCATGGAGTCCCAACTGTGAACCGAGAATGCCCACATCCACGGGTCTTTGATCGACCTTCGATTAGGAGAACTTGGCGGAGACCTCGATCGAAAACTGAATCGACTTTGGAGGTTCATAGTTAGAATTTCATCTGTGAAAACAAATAAAAGGCTGCATATTAAAAAACATGTCTGTGTACATCATAAGACCTTGGAGGAGACTTCGACCTTCGAATACTTGAATCTCAGAAACCACCACTTGACGCCTGAAGCTTCTCCCTTGTTTTGCGGAACTTGCTCCGGAAAAGTCTAGGACCCAACCCTTTCTCGCAGGAGATTCAACTAAGAAACCTCTATGAAAAAGATCTCTCCCTCTCTCTCTCTCTCTCTTTCTTCATCCAAGACAAGAAGAATCACCAAAGTCTTCCAGAAAGACCTCCCCAGAAAAGAAAAAAACAAGAATCATCACATCCCATTCCCTTCATTCCCAGAGAAAACCTCCTCACCTCCAAGGCTCCAAGCTCTCGGTGCAACTGGGCCGCCTGCAGCTGCAGCTCTGGCAGCTCCCGTCCCGACAGGCTCGGTCTCGCAGCCTCGGCGCGGCAGCGCCGCGCTGCCGCGCGCGGTCCGGCGGAGTGGGAGGCCGAATGTCGGGTTCTTTGGGGTTCGTTGAGAGTCCGGGAATCTGAATTTGGGTTGTGCATGTGGTCGACGATGGCTGTCGTGAACTGGTTTCGGAGAATGGGTGGTACGGACGTTGCCTAAAGAGCCGGTCTGTCCTCGGGGTTTAGGGTTCAGGGAGTGAAACAAGCGAATCCCCTTGTCAGGATGTTTTTCAGATGTGTGTTTTAAATATTATTTGGAAATTGGGCCACCCAAGAAATCTTCTCTCTTCAAACGTATGAGGAAGATACGAATTAGGGCGAAGGGGAGGATCAGGAGGTGGAGGAAAAGCCACCACGAAGAAGAACGTGTCGAAACGCGTCGGTTCATGCGAATGAACCGAAGACTTCCCTTAGGCTATGTGAGCATGCATGATGCTAGGCGATAGGGCGCATGAAAAAGGACAAAGATGGATAAGCAAGGAGAAATGAGAGCTTACTTCCATTCAAGTGTAAGCGGACTGCCAAACCTAGGTTGAACGGTTGAAGTATGTTGAAGTTCAACCTGAATCTAAGCCCTTTCCACGGTCGCACATAGCTCCCGAAAGGCTGTGGGCCAGCACCCAAGGAAACAACTGAAAGGCGACTCTCAGCCTGTCCCGGTCTGTCCACATTGGTCTGCCGATTCAGGGTCCCCATATCAGCGATTTGGCGATTTGGGTAGTAGCCAACATCATGACAAGATATCACAAGCATCTACAGAATCTACAGTAACCACATTATCTGAACCAAGCCGCCTCCCAGTAGGTGGCATGCTGTTGCTGGCAGTCAGCCTTTGCGTCTTGCTGTTGCTGCACAAGCGCGGCGTTGCGCTCCTGGGAACAAGAACGTTGCACAACGCCAAGGTGTCTTAGGAGTCTGTCTACGTTGCATTTGGTTAAACTCGAGTCACTGGAGCTACATTCACCTGAATCTTCCTGCCTCCCCACATGGTGTCTTCCTCCGTTTTTCAGGTCTCTCCTGCAGGCAGCACAGATCCGCTACCCTTTGATCTCCAAGCTCAATCAGGGATTGGAAGGCCTGCTCCAAGCTTCGCACCTGCGCGCCCGAGCGGAAAGCGAAGCGTTCGGCTGGGCGCTTCGGATGGCGGGGATTCCCTCACAGAGGGGGCCTCTTCAGAGGCCGAGCTGCTCGGTCTTACATGATAGCCATACAAATACCCAAACACTCCACGGGACTGCCATATTTGCCTGCCATTGGGATGGTTTTGGGGGGTAGGCTGGAGTGTCTGGGGTAAGGTGACCGCCTCCGGTGACCACGACGGTGGGTCTCGAATGGACCAGGTGGACATCGGATACCATGTTCATACAATTTTGGCCGATACATTTCTCTTCCTTGAAGACAAGGTTCTCAGCAAAGAAATGCAATGTCTGGCACGAAAGAGGGGCGGCACAGTGGCCCAAAAAAATGGCCTCAAGCGTCCACCTTCATAGCTAAGCGTGACAACACACTGCTTAACCAGCCTCGAAGCGCAAGCACTCATTGAGCGTTCTCCTTTCTTGCAAGGCTGTGGCTAAGCTGGAAGCCTCAGTCTCCCAAACATCCTTCCGGTAGCCTTTTGGAATCTCCGCCGTCTCAACCTCTTCCTCTCCACAGGAGCTCACTGTCACGCCGGGGTCTGGTCGTGCATCTTTGGCACTCCATATTTCTTGCGCTGCTCGCACGCGGTCTTTCACTGTCTGCAGGGACTCCTGACGTTGACGCAAGGCCACCTTTCTCTGAAAGCATTTTGTCTTCAATGCTTTCAGCTGGAGCAAGGGCTTGATATGATCCGTGGGATTTTCCACCGGGTCAGCGGAAGGCAAGGCTTTCTGTGCCTTCCAGCAAAGCCATGGCTTCACAGGCATTTCATCCTCACTTCACGATTGTGCACAAGCCCTTCCATGCTACCATTGTTTCCAAACATCTGCTCAAGTTCATCAGCGCATGCTGCCATGCTAGAACAATATGTTGTTGTGTGTGTGTGTGTGTGCTGGGAAATTGCTGTGGATGTTGATCCTGGTCAAAGCAGAGAAGAGCTCAAAAGCATCCTTTTATGGTGGCATCCGGCATCCATGCTTGATCACCTGCCTTCAGGGCAATCTGAGCTCGGAACTGTCTGCTCCACCTTCAGCATGTTCCTAAAAAAAGTGGTCAAAATAGACAAAACTAGACAACTGTCATGATCGGGGGTGCGAGACTGAAGCGGTCTCAACTCTTTTCATACCAAGTGGGTAGTTGGTCTTGCTTCCCTGCCAGTACATTCCTATGGTCACACTGGCAATCAAGCATAAAGAAATTTCAGGAAGCCTAACTTGTCCAGGAAACCCTACCGCGCCTTGGTCCCTCCACAGTGCTCCTGGGCTTTGGGTGGCCGGAAATAAACAAAGGTGGGGCTCAAGGCGGACATCGTGAAGCCAACTCTTGCAACTACTCAACGTTTTGAGCTTTCGGGGCTGAGAACCCCCTGTAGCCAGTTGATTGGAGAATTCTGCCCAGGCTTGGATGTGCGTGTATTCACTCCAATCATTTGGCGGTTGAGCCCAAGTCGCCAAGTCCAGGCCGATCTTGACCCCCCGAAACCCCGACTCCTGTGAAGTGGGCTGTCGGGTGAGTCATAGCCAGCATCTGGCAGCTCAGCTGGAACCTCTGGCAGGGCAACGATGATCTCCTCAGCTTAAAGCCAAAGCGTGAAAAACAAGTCGGACCAGAAACGCCCTATGAGGCGTTCACTCTGAAAAAATTCACCTACTCGCAGGTCGAATCTCTCTTCAAACACCAAGAAGTGATCAACCTCAGAAAGAAACTACCCACCAGAACCCCGTCCTCCCTCCAGCACCGGGGTGTTTCTTACACCCCCTGACTTTCTGCCGGGCGACGGGCTCAACGGGTCTGGAAACCTTCGCCGGTCCCTGCTCGGTGGGCTCTGACACGCCCGGTCCTGGCTAAACGACCGGCGTCCTTCGCGGGCACCGGCGGTTCCGCCGCGAACACGGTTCGACCGAGGAAGGAGTTGGATTTTGGGGGAAAAGCAAAGGGCCACCACGGAAGGAACCAAAAGAGCCAGAGGAAAATATCAGTTTCAGGTGCCACTCTCTCATGATCTACCAAAGCCTAGAGTGAAGACCTTGGAGGAATTGTTGTAGGATCCAGGAACTGCCGCGTCTTGGCCAAGAGTCTCGCTAGCTTGGCCGCATCAAAAGGGTTCTGGCGGGTGGTACACGACGTGTTTGGCAGCTCCTCAGCGAATGAATCCACAGGGCTCCTCTGCATTTCCTCTCAGAAACCACTGATATCTGGTAGTTTTTCACCACTTCGCACTGTGATGTCAGTAACCTCCAATACGGAATTTGCAAACACACCCTGACGCCCTATTCACCAACACTGGAGTATGTCAAGCCTTCGATTTGAAGCAAACTCTCCTCATATAGTGCGACTCACCTCCAATGAATCTGGGAGGAAAAGGGGGCGCTTCCTCATGCTGCTTCTGGCTACAGTGGATGATGCACACTGTCTTTCAGCCAAGTGGCCTTTTGCAAGCCAGATATGCTCTGCTGGCTTTCGCTGCCCAAAGGCTGTCGCAAACCTGGCAAAACAGGGCAGGCGCAATGGGCGGTTGAAACAACATGGTTTCCAAAAAAGTAAAAAACCTCAGCGCTGCCCAAGCTCCACAAACTTTGGCCTTGAGCATTCGGAGACTTGCTTCTGGCCGTCACCTGAGAATCGTTGAGAAGCACTGGATACAGTATGTGACTTGAGCTGAGTCAACGAAGCTGACCAAGCTAGCTGTGTGCTGTGCTAGTAGCTGCGATCCACGAGCAAATGTACCAGAGCTGCTTTCAATGCAGTTGCAATTTGACCTTGTCATACCCTTTCCATATGTGTGACTAATATGTTTCAAGATGCTTTATTTTGGGACGACTGCGTCCCGCGAAGCATATCTCTCCTCCGGGCTGGCTTCGGGCTGACCTCGGCCAGCGCTGGCCGGGCCAGCCGAGATCGGGCTCAAAGGCGACAAGATCCACAAGAACCCATTGGGCACCAGTGCTGTTGTGTTTTGCCGCAGAAAGATGCAGAAGGCGGTGCTGAAAAATGCCCTTCGCTGCTTCGTGAAACGAAGCCGATTTCTGAGATGTCTGCAGAGCGTACATCGCCAGGTAAGGCGGGTCTTCTCCTGAGAGGGTGATACACACGCCACATGTTGGTCTCCCAGTAACCCTGTCGTTTCAAGTGGTGAAGCTCATCTGCAGTCAGGAGACGAGGACGAGCCATCACTGGGATCTGCCCTGGGCGACATGGTCGGTTCCGAAGAACGCGATCCAAAGAGGTCACATCTTAGAGGTCTCTTGGACCAACGGTCCGAAAATTTCACCACTTCGGAAGCAATCCACTGACTCCCACACCTGACTGCAAACCCGCTGCCTCCGACTGGCTCGCCGGGGTGTCGCAGAATGGCTCTGCTGCGGTTGCTGGCCTGTGCGTATCGATCGTTCTCTGACAGCCACCGAAGGCGTGACGTTCTCAGGGCGCTTTCGGCAAAAGGGATTGAACAACAGCGGTGTCTGCATCCTAACATGGCTAACATGCTAAGACAAGAGCATGGGATCTTTTCGCGCAAGGGCGCAATGAAGCAAGGAAGCCTTCTCTTGCACTGATTTTTCTCGAGCCGTGGCTCATGCAACTCTACCACTCTGCAAAATGGGATTCACTCTGCCAGAAAAAGAAACAATGAGGCCACCCAGTGGCCTAACGTCAAATTCAGGTTTATCCTGATGTTAAAAGAGACGCACTGCCAAGAAGTATACAAGAGATCCCCAGCCCACCCAGAATAGAGACCGCCGTGCCAGAGGTACTGATCTCACGCTGGCGTTGTTGCAGAAAATCTGCGCGCGAGCCGAAGGAAAAAGTGCTCGGTTTGACCTGGAAACGGAGGTAACAACACTTGAGAAACCGTGCCGAAGTGGTGTTGTGTTTTGCTCTTTAGAGGATCAAGCCATTTTCAAGTATCATCTCAATTCATCTTAAAAGAAAGGAAAACTCAACGGTTTAAAGGTCAGCCTCTCACCTTGGAGGGCTGCAGCACGGCCACACATCCTTCACCCTGCATACCTTTGATGCTAGCTCGGTAGCGCCATGCAATGTCACCCAAAGCATAGACCTCTTGGCCAACCGGCAGGAGTCTCTCACGGATCTCATAACCCAGAAGACGGGACGCCGGTTGGGCTTCTGAGTTCACATTCACACTCACTGAGACACCTTCATGAGGCTGATATGTCACGGTCTCTTGTTGACATTGAAGTAACTCCGCCACTTGGAACTCGGACAAATCCAAACAAATTTGCCTCGGGGACGACCTCACCAGAGAAGTGGTTGCTCCGAGCTCACGAAAGCAAACCCCACTGGGGGCGACCAAGGTCTTCTTCTCCACGTCCGAGAAGTCGACCGTTGGAATCCATCGGCCTTTCTCCCTGCGACCAGTGTCCACTCTCTGCATCTGCCTCTGCCCATCGACGATGACTTCTTTGGTCTCGTAGATGGGATCGCCTGCAGAGTGAATTCGGAATAAGTTTAGACACCCTTAGGGGTGAAATCGTTGAATCTGTTGAACTCACGAAGCTGGCACCTGGCACCAACACAGTGACACAATCAATCACCACCAGAGAATCGCCATCACCATGAAACGCCCATCAGAGCATGACGCTCTGACCCATGACCCTGTTTCTGAGGGGGAACCATCCATCCGCCCACCTTTCTGCCAAAGATACTTCTCAGTCTTGGCCACCTTCTTTCGAAGCACCGCCATGGCGAGGAGTCCATCCTGGGGGTCCATCTCGTGAGTCCATCTCCGTGAGTCACGACACCCCAAAGGGAAAAACGTCGCCCAAAACAGCAAAAACGTGCACAAAAAGACATGTCAAACCCCCTGCGGGAGCCGCTCTCTTTGATTCTACCCAGAAATGAGAAACTTCCAGGTTGCAGTCAATTAGACTGTTGAATGGAGAGCAAGATTGGCCCAAAGATTCCTTCGTAACCATCTTACTTGTAGTCAGGTGAATTACTTTTCGCAGGCTTCTCATGTCACAGTGACTCCAGGAGCGACGGATCATCTTAAATTGTGCCTTGTTGTTCCTTCTTCTTCCTTCTAATAACATCTAATAACAATGGCCTCCAACTGCCTCCAACCTAGAAACGATGGCCTCCAACCTAATAGCAATAACAAAACATTCTTAAATGTCTTGTTCCTTCCGAACTTCATGTCCTGACTTTTCAATGGCTCGGAGGTATAACTCTCTCCACTCAGCTCTTCATAGCTCCCACAGCTCAATCCCCTTCGCTCCGCAGCAGAGCTCACACGCTCTACACCTTCGAAGGTGCCGGTTCACGACTAGAAGACCCGTGGGACAGCGCCAAACACGGTCCCGGGGTCTACCTACAAAGTCATCGTGGCCAAAAGACTTTCAAAAAGTAAACACCACAGATCTTCGCCAAGGAGCTGCTGGTCGTCATCGAAGCGATGAGCTCCAGTTCCTGCGGGAAAATCGAACTGGAGAGGACAAAAAATAGTTCAATGGATTTAACATGGGCCAAAGCTCATCCTCTGATTTCTTTCGGTATTGGATCACTTCGTAAGGGCTTCAATTCAGACTTCAGAGGCTTCAGGGTGGACATATGTGGACATCGATGATCCTCAGACTACTGTCCAGCGTTCTTTTCACCACAGAGCCTTCTTCAGTCTTGCTTCATTGCGGTGTAGCAAGAAGGCTCCCAAAGACAGGACACTGCCTGGCCGTAGGTTACGAATCATCAGCATTTGGTCAACCAAAGTTTTGCCTTTTGGGAGATTGAAACATACTCGAAAAAAGAACGCATCGAATCGAATCTTAGACCCGAGTGGCCCATGAAAACACACAGAGCTGTCTATCTGTCACTGTCTCATATACAACACAAGAGTGAGTGGTGCTGTCGCCGCCTCCCACCTCCCAAAAGGCAAGGCAGCCCAATGCTGTTCAACTGATCCAAAAAGTTCTCACCGTCTCGTCTCGCCATGGCGGCTGAATAGAATCAACCCTTGTGTTCGTGAGGCTTCTACTGGCGAGAAATCCTATTTCATATGTCTGCATAATGGTGTTTTCTATCGTCTCTCGCCCAATGTTCACCCTTCAGCTGCGAGCACTTCAGGCTGCAAAATACAGAATGACAAGCATCTGCAGATCAACTTTCTTCCACTCGAAACAGCCACCCTCCCCTTCCACGCGAAAAAGCAACCTTCCCCTTCCAACAACTGCATCCGCGGCCCCGCCTTTACGCCTGGGCGACGGCCTCGACTGCGGGCTCGGCCCCGTTGTCGTGGCCGGCCCCGGGGGCGACGGCCGCGAGGAAGGCAGGTCCCTCGACTCCAGGAGCTGGTCGAAGAGGCTCGGCCGCGGCATGCCGGCGGCATCCAAGCCGGCACGGTCGCTGGCCAAAGAGGCAGCAGCCCTGGGCTCCGTGAACATCGCGCTTGTAGGAAAAGGTGTGCAGACATCTGCCGGGTTTTAGTCCGGAGGAAACAAAGGTATTCTGAATCTGAACATGTACAGGTAATCTCATGATAAGGTTACTGTTGAAGTCCAAAGTCCAAAGCATCTATTTCTTAGGTGTCGTCTGTGGGAAAACGACATGCAGCTGTGCTTCTGCAGCTGATTTTTGATAAAAGATATGTGTTCAAGTTTAAGAAAGTGTCTTGTGCCCCTCACCACAACATTGCCCTGCCTGAGACTGCCAGACGGTGAGGATGGTGCTTCTCTTGCACTGATGCTCCCATCGTTCTCGCGCTCCTCTCGCGTCCTCTCACGGTCGAAACCTCGCACTCCTGCAGATCTGGCGGCATCCCGTGCATCCCGTGCCATCTCCAATTTGGACGCGAGGGCTCCGCGTGCTCCGCGCCCAGCGCGCGAGCCTGCGCGCTCTGTGAGCTCCGGCGCAGAGGATCGCCGGTTCGAACGATCCATGCGATCACCGGTTCCAGAGACCTGAGAAGAACAGCCGCCGGCGGAGCGGGAGGGGGCAACAGCCGGCGCTTGGACATCTCCTAGAAACCGTTGAAGCTTTCTTTCTTGCTCTTCTTGGAGCGCTTGTAGTTTGCTCAGCTGATGAGAGATTTCAGCCTCATCCTCCTCAACGCGACGAGGTCCAGCTTCACTCATGGTGGAGGCAGTGGGGTTGACTTTGAGAGCACTGCCTCTCCTGGAGACCTCATTCGATGTCTCAGCTTTTGACTTGAAGGCACTGCTCTCAGATGAGCCCTGTCCATTCAGTATGGCATCCTGCGCCGCCCGAGCATGCTGAGCCGCCACCAACGCCTTTTTCCATGCCGCCCGGCTCCGCAGCCCGTGGCTGGCACTGGGAATCGCCGCAGCGGGCAGCGAGGAGCGCTTGAGCAACAAGCGCTCCGTCTCGCCCGAGGTCGCAGTCACCTCCGGTGTCGCGTCCGTATCGAGGGGCAAGTCCAGCACATCAGCTGTTATGACTGCACCATCTTGCAGCTCCTGATGCTCCTGCTTCTGTTTGTGAAGTGCCTGATAGCTCTTGCTTGGCTTGGGTCTTTTTTCAGTGCTCCTTTGGCTGGTCAGTTTTACCACATCGTCGTCGTCAGCTTTTGCAGCCTCCACCGTCAAGGCAGGGTTGATGCCTCAGCGTGCTACATACACAAGCTGCGTCGTTTGGCTTTCACCCTTTTTCACAACAGAAATTGTCAAAACTGTCGCTCGCCCTCCATCGGTGCTGCCATGACACTCTCCCGCTCGTCCCTTTCGGTGCTCAGGGCCCTGAATCAAGGATCGGAACCCAAAGGCAAGCAGAAAATCGAATAAAAAGGTCTTGGTCCAGGGGATCCTAGTTATTCCTTTCGTCCAGGGGATCGATCCGTGGCTCCCACCCGCCTCCTCGCAGATCGACGGCTGAGCCGTTCGCCTCGGCGCGATGCCCAGCGTGACGCGGCGGGCCGGTGACGCCGGTGACGCGTGAAGCAAACAGTCAACGCATGATTTGTGGAAAGCGAAAGTGATGTGAACCAAAAACTCTTTCAGGGGTCGTCTCGATTTTGAGGTGCCAACGGCTCAGTGAGCGCCTGGCCCGCGGAGAGGCCGCCTGGCTTGGTCTTCAAAAGACCCACCATCATCCGACCGCTTCGGCTGGGTGCAACGTTTTGGGTGACAGCCCGGAGAGAGAAAAGCAGAAGTGACCAAAGCAGAAGATTCTGCTTCCAAGTGCCTCCTGCCGCAACATGCGTGCCAGCTTGGACAGGGCCTGTCGCATGTTCATGCCAGAGGCTGGAAGAGCTGTGGCAGCGTGCCCCCAGTATTGATACTGTACTTAATTAATAGAACAGCAAAAATGAGCTCCTTTTCTGCCGTGTCCACTTCAGTGTTTTCAGATCGACAATGCACAGCAAAAAAGCAAGACCAAATTCAAGAGAAATCGCTTTCCCTGAGAGAATCTTTCATTCTGGGGGCTTGCTGAGCACGGTACGTTTGCTTCACCACCTGTTGGGCGTGCGAAACTGCACGACAAACAAAGCCAGGAACATCAGTCGCCCAAATGCGTCCATAGATCACCAACCACTGCAACTTAACCTGTGGTCCCCTGGCCAAACCTACAGATCTGTATAGGAACTCCAGCTAAGCTGTGTGGCAAGTCATGTAGACTGTAGACTGTTGATCAATAAAACCCTCCCTGTGACACCTCTTCATAAACGGAGTTGAAATATAATCAAGAGATATCAAGAGTCTACAATACATTAGGGAAGTCACGTCTTTCCCCGCGACACGCCATGGGACCTGAATCCACACCCTTCAGCCATACAGCCTCGACCAGCTGTAGTCAGCTCATGCCAAAAACATCCAAAAAGTCATCCCGTTCATCCCAAAGCCATGGATGATATGACCTGGACCTGGACCGGGCAAAAAGAAACTGCAGCCCTCATCTGCGTTGTGTGGGCGGGTGTGAATCAACACCCGGCCCCTGGTGGACCCCAGGAAATGCACATGAGTTCTCTGTGAGGCATGCCAACCTGCCGTGGTCTAAAGTGTTGACCTGCCATGACCCACCACCTGGTTTTGACGGGTCACATCAACGAAACCGTGGGGTCGTCACCGCAACGGCGGGGTGGTGATCACCAGATCTGAGATCCCCGGCCCTTGCTGATCCCATCGTACTGAAGGTCATAAGTCACATCTGCAGCTTCTACCACCTGCCACCACTTTTGGGGCAGAAGAAGACATAGAAGACATGCTCAGCAGAACACAGTGTGGTGCGCTTGGAACCGTGGTCAAATCTCGAGCCTTCACTTTCACATGTCAGGGTGGATCTTCAAACTGGGAGGACTACTGGCTGCTGCGACATTAAATTCTTTTACTCGGACTTCATTGCTAGTGCCTTCGCTGACTTAAGCGGACCAACCATGCATGAAAAGGTAGCATCTGCAGAAGCCTCTTCCTTCTTCTCCTGATCACGCTTCATCTGTTTCAGAAACTCCTCAAATGTCCACTCATCCTGAGCAAGCTTCTCCTCCTCAGTCAACTCTCTCTTCCTCTTGGCGGGCCGATAATGGTCGATCCGCCCCCGCGGGGTAGACCGAGGCTTCCACCGAGGCATGCTGGGTGGCGGAGGAGTGGGCGTCCAAGTGGGACGGGGCGGCACCGGCCGCGGTCCAAAGCCGTTGCTTTGGGCATAGGACCCCGACACAGCAAAGCTGTGCTCAAGGCTTTGCTGGGTTTTGGCACTTGGGATCGTGCCACCCATCCCGGTTGGAGCCAAACGGGAAAAGATTGGGTGTGCACCTGAGGCTGCGGTAGAACCTGTTGCGGGAGGCAAACTCTTGGATGTAGGCAAAGCGTATTTCTGGAAATGGTTAGAAGCATGCAAGTGTGGTGGCAAAGGCTGGTCCTCCGGCTCTTCTTCACCTTCTTCATCTGGTTCTGTTTCTGACCACTCATCGGCTTGTCGTTCTTCACGCGGATTCACAGTGGCATTCACAAGAGCTTCTCCAGGTGGTCTGGCTTCTAACTTTGGATCCCAGTCATTGATTCTTTCTTCACCATTGGCCGGTGGGGCATTTCGTTGCACCCATACAGCATACAAGGACACAGCATCAGGCTTGAAGACCCACTGCACCCCGCCCCGCTGTCGGTTCCGGATCCGCTTCTCGGTGTTCACCCGGAGCTCGAAGATGATTCGGTGATACACGCCGTCACCAAAGAGAATGTGTGGCCTCGCATACCATCGGGCTGTGGCTAAATTGGGTGAGCAGTAGACTCCAGGTTCCCAGAAGTCGTGACCTTTATCGCGGTCGTTGGACTCGAGAAAAACGCCAGAATGCAACACAAGCCAAACCGAGTACCACCATGTCCCATGATAGGCAACTTCCCAGTTGTCCTCGGGCATCACCTTGGGCTCTCTCAGATATCGATACTTCTTCCAGCCATCGCTATAGCCATCCTCCATTAAGGCATCGTCCAAGCCGCGAGCTGCCAGCCATTCGATAAAGAGTGGTGCAAAGTCCTTGCGCGAACCCTTGGATTTCGGGGCGATGGCACCAGCTCTGCGAGGCTTGCACACCTCACGCCATTGAATTACTAAATCTTCTCTTGCAATGGCAGCATCTTCGAGTGCTCCTTTCACAAGTGCTACTTGCTCATCATCCATTTCGTCAACTTTTTGGTCCAAGGACAAGGACCGATCTTTCAGGAAATCGAAATCCATGGAAAACGGCTTGGCATCGGCATTTGTGTTTGAAATTCCATCCTCAAGAAAGGCAGTTGTAACAGTTGTATCCTGCTTTGGACTTGCATCAATCGATTCATCCTGTGGGAGCGTCAAGGCCGTCGAGGCCTCCAGACTTGGATCTGCTGCAGTCAACCCACCCTCCTGCAGTAGCGATGCTTTCTGCTTCGGACTTGCAGCCTTCGCATCCTCAGAGCCTGGAGCTGCCTCCGCGCCGTCAGCTTCGTCTGTTTTTGCGGCGGACGCTGGCCGAGCGGGACTCAAGCGATCGGCCTCGGCGCCGTCAGCGTCCGCCGTGCCCACGCCATCGACCATTGCCGATCAACGGGCGACGACGCGACACCTTGAGCAGCTGAGCAAAAGTGAATTCAGTTGGTCGAGTCAAAAAGCTGCCGGGGTAGAACACTATTCTTTGGCCCCTTTACATAGTCTTCAGGTCAGCGTACTGCGTCTTTGGCCCTTATCCATCTAGAGTAGATAAATATCTGAATGCAACCTGTGAACACCTCACGTCCAACACTCCTGCACTTGCTAACTTGCCAATGTATCGGAAAGAAAGCTGCTGCAACTTGCTCCGCCCCCCCCCACGAACCTTTGCACGCTCCACTTGCGCAGTGCTTGAACAGCCTCAAGAAGGGCACCGGCTTCTTGGACCCTCGACGCCACGGCTGGTGGAGTGATGGACCCTCTCTAAGGGTCAGACCCTCCAGGTATGGATGCTGCCTGAGACGAGTTTGTAGGGCACATCTCTGGCCCTGCGGTGGACCCCCCAAAGCTTGAAGTCAAAAAGAAACCGAATCTCCTGGACTCCTGGGCCAACGATTTTTCATCTCGCTGAATCTTGCATGCTAAGGTGTCCACAGTGCCGCTTCCTCAAAAAAAACAAAGGAAACACTTCAGCAAATGAATGAAGCGTGAAGTTGCGTGATACTATATGATATATACTAATACTACACAACCAGGAGTCGGAGTGTTGTCCCATATCAAGTGGAAGAAAGACCATGTTTCACCCCAAAAGACTTGTGGCTCCGACCACGGAAAGTCGACGCGAAGGATCAAAGGCCAGAAGTCCACGCAGCATCGTTGCACCTGGACGACGACTTCCCAAGTCTCTGTCGTGGAACACGTGGAACACGAAAATCGAACGGAACGCCGGACTTTTGGAGTCCGAAGGGCGTGGCTTTGCACATGTTCAGAACGAGGGAGAAGAGTGAAGAACGTGTGCAACTTGGGGGCAAATGAGGGTCTCAGGCTCAGGCTTGTGTACAACTCTTGGAAGCAAAGACATGCAGGACCCTGTGAAGATCCAATTCCCACAGGTCCTATCGGACGCCGTGTGGTGTTCCGGGGTCCCATCGAGTTCGACTGGATCCTCCACATGCTTGAGCCTGCTTGAGCCTGCTTGGCAGGACCAGACAGCTCTGTGCCAACTTGGCTCCCGCACCATCACCGTCCAGATGTCCCAGCCTGCGGCGCTCGCGGGGTCGCGGCTGGTGCGGAGACCCGGTGCGCGCTCCTTCGCCAACTGTGTCGACCCAATGTCTGATCAGTCTTGCAGGTGGTGCGGTAGTACTTACTCAATATTTGACGTTTGGTTTGAATGAAGATTGGAACTCAAACCTTCTGAACCAGGCTTCCGCACATCTTTGACAAGCCCTTCACGGATCGGCTCTGTGGAGAGCACCGCAAGAGGAGTGGTCGCGACTCCTGGAGAATCTCTCGTTGCAGTCGAGAAAGTGGTGGGGACCCCGAAAATCCCCAAGCGACGGTCGGACAACTTGACGGAACCCATCACATCGTCCTCCGGAACCCACCACTGCTCCCTGAGCGAGGCATCAAAAAGAAAAAACTCCAGCCAGAGCCTATCCTGGCCTTTAGAGTGCTTGAAGTTCAGCGTTCATGGGCATATCACAGGGAAACTAGCAGGATGGGCCTCTTTCTGTTTCTTCCTCTCTGTCATCCCTGACCTTTCGTCGCACAATGTTGCCACCTATACAATTACAAGTACAAGTAATGTAGCGTGTCAGCCATATCTTTGCGGATGTTCCAAAGCCACTGAGCGTTCGAGCTCTAGAGAAGGCATGCCCATGATTCCAACGACCTCAAAGTATGCCAGTTGGCCAACAAATGCAGCTTTTAGTCCTGTGTACTGCCAGCTCTGCACTAAGTGTTTTGTTCCTTACAATGTTCACAGTTCCTCCCAAGAACTCCACTTTGCTGAGCTGGTCCAAGCTGTTTTTGCCAGGAAAGAGTGCCTGACGGGCCGTCGGGTGAAATGGCACAGCACAAAGGAGACGGAAAGCGTGACTCTACTAGGAACAACTGCGTGTTCATATATTTAAGAACCTGCAGAAATCATCCTTCTGTAAGAAGGAAAACGTCTATATATATATATTATATATATAGGCAAATCAAGTTATACGAGCCCCACTCGTCTGCCAAGCAATCTGTGCTGGCCCTTTTCTTTTAGACTGACCATTTTCGGTGAACATCGGCGCAGCGCCTTTGCAGTCCACATCTCGTAGAGGATGCACCCGACAGACCACACGTCCACTTTCGGCCTAGGCGTAAACACGCTGGTGCTTCAGTATGACTTCTGCAGTCATTGTTTGAAAACAAGGGAAACACTTCAAAACATGCTGGCAAAGCCCGTACTTTGATCGAGCCAAAAGCACTTCCGGTGCACGGTACCTGGCAAGAGTCAGGAGCCAAAACCGCTGGCCGCATGTTTCTCCCCACACCCATAGGAAGGGCTTGGGTTTCCCACTTTTGAACAAAAATATCCTAAGAATCTCGCTTCCGAAACCATCAGCTAACTTTCATTTGGACCCATGACCGCGACGCGATGAAAAAAAATGCGCCAGGAAGGACCAGCGCGTGACCACATACTCGGTGAGCTGCTCCTCGATGGGATGAATGGCCTGCGGCGCCATTGAAACGCCGGAGGCAACTGTTCAACAGTTCCAGAAAGGGAACATGAAATGGTTGAGCAACCACAGAGATATGGTTTTGGTGTGCAACAAGCGGATAAGCAAAAACCTATCAAAACTTGGTAGGATGTAGCAAAAGAACAAGCTTCAAATCTCCAAGGCCAGCTTTCCTCACATTTCTCAATCATCATGGAAGCTGAACATCACCATGATTCAGAAGAACCGGCGCCTCGCCAGTCTGGCCATCCACTGCAATCCCGCGGCTCAAGCCCAAGTCTCCAATCTTGGCCTGGAAACAACGGCGGTGGAACTCAGCTGCGTGGTGGCAGAGCTGTGCCACGCAGGGTGCTCACGTGCGGCCCGCGGGCACGCCTCGTGCGCCTTGAGGCGAATGAAGATATTCGCAGGCTTCAAGTCCTCGGTGGTTTTCGGAGGGTTCGTCCGAGCGGATCCATTGGGATGTTTTTTTGTTTAATGCAAAAAAAAGAAAGAACGAAAAAAAAAGTGTTTCTTCGCCAAGGGGGGACAACCTGAGTATAGCTGTTCCACTACACCGTTCTGAGTGGCTCGATGGATCACATGGGCACAGTGCAAGTGAAGAAGTCCCAGCAGCACCTGGCCGTCAAACTATGGAATTTTCGAGGAAAACCTAGTCCACCAACAGAATACAACCTGCCAAGCCTGTCAATATGTGTGAGATCTTTGAGCTATGCTCTATATACAGTCCAAAGGTAAAAGTGCTTGGAATCTATCCAATCCTCGAGAGGCAGCCTCAAGACACTCTTAGATATGGAAAAAAGGCGATGGGCGACAGAATTCAGCACAGCATCTGTCTTCGCCACGCTTCCCGTCTTCGTCTCACCTACTCTACTCCAAGCATCGCCTGCGGCCCCGCCTGCGAACAGTAGCTACGGCACAAGCTCTCCTCCAAAGGTACACCACGGCCTGGCCAAAATCAATGCACACACCCTCCCACACCCTTGTGTGTGTGGTCATGCTTTTCATAGTGTGGCTCGCTTGCAGGAATGTGCAACTGCATGCAAGTGCAAAGTCTTACAGTAGACATACCAACAGTTACTAACATTTCCGGATGCATCAAGGAGAATTCCTAAGGTCTCACAACAAACAACTTGAGAGGAGGGAGACACGAAAGGTAGGACAGCGGGAAGAGAAGAGAACGCGAGAGGCAGGAGCAAAAATGCAAGGTTCGACATGGTGATTTATCCCCTCGGAGGCGACCTTTCGTAAATATAATTTCATATGCACTCTAAATGTTCAAACATATGCTCTCGAAATGTTCAAAAAGATTCTTAGGAAAACAAACTTGCCCCATGGCTCAGAGCACCAGTGAGCATTGAATCGGAGCATCATAGGATTTGAACTATCCTGAAACCATAAGAGGCTCACGAAGACGTTCCCCAGGAGAGAATTGACATGCTTCACAAAACAAACTCTAGGTATGTATTCCCTCAGGGAACACCTTTCGTGATTAGAATATCATATGCACTCTTTCTCAATGTTCAAGAGGGTTTCAACTATCCTGAAATCATGAGAGGCTCACGAAAACGTTCTCTAGGAGAGAATTGAATTTAGAGAGGGGGGGTTGAATTGAATGATCAATCATTAGACCCGGACGCGCCAACACTTGCTTCGCAAGACAAACTCTAGGTATCCCCTTAAGGGCTACCTTTCGTGATAACGCAAACCCCTCATGGACCTTTCAAATGAGATAAATGGGGGCCGAGCAATTTCATCCAGCATTGGTGCCTGGTCCCCAGTTAAACCGCTGGTCGTCCCCACCAACGCTGCCCACCCACACCACACCTCTGACCAAGCGATCAAGATCACAGTCCATGAGCCTCGTGTCCGAGACGTGTCTGACAGGCGACAGGCAAGCTGAAGCGTTGGGCAATGGATGTCTGTTGTGGCAACATTATTGGAGATAAAGGATAGCTTCACAATCAAAGTCACAAAAACCCAGCAACAACGTACTACTTATGTAACATATGTATGTATTATGTAATTGTATGTAATTGTATTGTATTACAATAAACGAAAGATTGACACAAGAAGGAAGCATTCCAAGTTGATCAGCTTGCCAGTCACACACTGCTGGGCACTGAATCAGCGCTGCACTCCATTGAAATGTACAGCTCTCCTGAACATGATGTCGCATGTTCGACCATTTTTCTGAGCAAAACAGTAAGAAAACATGCCCTTATTTGTGAGCTCAGCCCTCAACAATTGGAATATCCAACTGAATACTTTGGATCGGGCGCCCTGATCTTGAAACACAACCAAACAGTGATTCTTATACTTCCAACCTCAACAAACACGGCCAGGGCCTCCAGATTCCACCAGCAGCACCTGGGCACCGGTGCGAATGGCCCGCGGTGCCCGAGCGGCGCGGTGTCCACTCGCGCCCGAGGCGTCGTTTCCGGTCCGCAGGGAGGGCGTTGTTTGTGCCCGGACGAATGCCCTGAGATCAGCACATCATGCAGTTGCAAAAGATTGGGATGTCGAAAGTGTCGCATCAACTTGATCTCTCTCAACCTCAGTGAGCAAGAGGTGTCTGTTCGAATGGTCCTCTGCGCAACAAACAGTGGTGGTGCTTTGCTACAAATACGCATACCAAGCGACGTTTAGGGGACGCACAAGGTGATACGCATGGTGTGATACCGCATGCATGATAACAAACTTGTCCCCCCCTCAAGGTGACCACGTTCGTCTCAGCATCAAGAAATTGTCAAAGACCTTTCGCCTCAGCAAAGCAAAAGGCCTTCCCAACACTCGCAGCAGCACGTACATTGCTCTGGGTCCAAATCGCGTTTGTACCACCGTAGCTCACATCAAAAGCAACTTGTGCCACAGCAACTTGGGCCCCCCGCATCCGCTTGATGGCCACATCCCTGCCATCGGTTGCATCACGGAAGGATGCAACCACACCTCAGTCGATGCAGGAAGCTACAACGACGTGCCGGGATGCAGGAGCCACAACGCCGGACAGGACACGCCAAGCGCCGCTGTTTTCTCAGTGCCTCAGTTTCACACCATAGCTGCCGCTCCCAAGAAGCTTTTGGAAGTGGTACCTGGAAAGTAGACACCGTCGATCCCACTCAACAACCCCCCCAGGCCCCTTCGCAACTCGGAGGACCTCCGTTCGACGCACGGAGCTCCGTGAATCACCGGCGCGGCCGGACGACCGACAGCGCCTGGCAGGCAGTTGGAAGCTGGAGGCTTCGCCGCCCAGGACCTTGGCAGGTTGCTTTTGCGTCGATCCTCCGCAAACCTCCCCCCACGAGGAGGCAAAAACGCTCCAGAAACGCAAAAAAAAGGAATGCAAGAGGATGCAAGAGGTGCCAGAGTTCCAAGTTCGATGCAGCGGTCTTCCACAATGTGCTCCCTTCTCAAAACGATCTCACCCAGTAAGTCGCAAACACTTCTAGCAGAGCGTGCACGCTGCATTGGGCAGCAAAGCCAGCATAGGGTCCGTTGAACGTCAGTTTGTTCGTTCAACTGGTCAAGGCTGATGCCAAAGACTGTACGCATAGAATTCCAACAAGGGTGCAAAGGTCCCTTCATTTTGAGGAAAGGAATCCACGCTTCAACCTTTGCTACTTAATTGAAGGTCCAAAATCCAAAATTCAACATCTTCATGCAAATCCCAATGTCTTTCAGAATCTCTTGAGCTCTTCACGGCATATGAGGACTCTGGGCCAAATGTCTCGGCACAATTTCCTCTCTAAAGTGCTTCATGCTACTGTGGACATGAGGAGCATCTCCGCTGCGTCAGAAGCTTGCTCGCCCAAAAGAACGAAACGCTCTTTTCAAACACGGAAGGAAAACAGAAAGAAGACGGGGAACGGAAGCCTTCCGTATATTCAGCACACAAAGGTGTTGCACTCCAGAGTCACACCCTCTGTGAGCCTTCAGAGCTGGGATCTGTATGTCACTGTATGTCTTATCTCACCTGCGACCGCTGAGTGCATAGCCCACCTTCGGTCTGCATTGGGAACTGTTTACAGAAACCAACGTTCAGCCGGCAAGCTAAGTACGGAAAAGCAAGTCCACGTATGAGAAAAATAAAACAGGCTTCTTGGATCCCGTGTGATACAATGTGATATATCCACCAAGGACACAACTGGGACTCGCAAATGAACTCGTTCTTTGGGAAAAATGGCAAATAAACACTAGCCAAGCAAGAGCCAACTCCCTCACTTCACTCAGGAAGACAACTCCCAAGCTCCTCAGAAGGTCTCGGCCAAGTCCTCGGTGCGTCCGCCGGTCGGATCCCGGTCCCATCGGACGGGAGCGAGTCGGGGAACCGATTCCAAAGGGCAGGCACGGGGCCCATCCGTGCCTCACCCCACGGCCATTTGGGAAAAACCAGCGGCACCAACGAGCCATCTCTTCGACGGACCATCTTCGGACCATTCAGACACCGCTCCGGGGCACCTCCGGGCAGCATTCTTCTCGGAACGCCGGGAAGGTGCCGATCCTCCGGGACACCCGGGCCCAGGTGCCGATCTCCGGATCGAGGTGATCGTTCCAGCTTTTGAAGGTCCTGGGACCGACTCGGGGGGGTAAACGGACCGGACAGGTGACGTCGGCCTTTGTCCGGAGGTTGGAGACCCCAGCGAACTCGAGAAGGTTACCAGCGAACTAAAAAGCAGCTGAAAACAGGTGTCGGCAGCTGTTCGAAAGAACTGTGAACAGTCCTTCTGATCTCTGCATAGTCTTTCTTTCTCACGGCCTGTGCACATATCCATCACACACAGAACGGGCTCTATCCGTGCTGTGGTCGCGCATCTGGATAGATACATCAACACAATAGGATGGAAGGGAAGGTATGTGAGAAACACACATTCTACCAACCTATGATCCTATCCTATTTCACATATTATATATACATACATACATATATATATATATCAGATGCATGAATACTGTATTTAAGTTTCCCTAAAAATCTAGGGACCAAATGAATAGTGCGAACACTTCTTCAAGGAAGCTCACCCCCGCCCTTAGCGGGGGAGCTTCCTTGAAGAAGCGTGAGCTATCCTGCGTCCATACTGGTATCATAAGTAAGGTACTGGCTACCTCTCCCTTACTTAATTCAGTAAGCGCCTACTTAATTAAGTAGGGAGGGAGGAGCTGAGTAACTTACTGTAGATACATTGAATCGAAAAACTGGCAGAATCCGCCTCCTCAAAGGCTGTTCGGTCGCTCTTCAATTGTGCCACGATGGGCTCCTTGGCGATCCGAACGGTGTGCTCCACGTGAGTCTTGAGATGAGTTCCCCTCCCATGAGCAACGGCCCAAATCCGGAAAAAAACGTCCAAGGATGGTTGTAATCCTCAGGGGTCACCATCCATAGCTGCGGGTTGTGGTCGTCAAGGACCTTCCCTTTTCCCGGCCCAGCCGATGGACCCTCCGAAATGACAAAGGTAAAGGTGCGGCGCAATTGTGCAGCTTGCTGCGATCATCTGAGGGCGCCACACTCATATCAGCTTTCGAAACGCGCTGAATCAGGCTGTAACCCCTGGGTAAAAACATTGCTTTGAAAAGAAGCATTTGACAAAGCTCAAGGTGACAATTGGCGCATCCAGCTTAGCATGGCACTCCATGGCAGTCATTAGCTTTGGAAGGTCCTGAACCAAAACTGCCACCAAAAGACATTGATACACTCCCTGAAATAGTCATGGAAGTGGACGACACGGCCCCTTGGACTTACCATTTTCAGAACACCAAACAGGTGGTGAACTCCACATCCGATCTGATGATTTTGGGGCGAGTGTTGGGAGTTGCGAGACTTAGATGGAAACTGGAAACACAAACACGTTCCAAAAAATGAACCAGTCTCCTTCTTGATGAACCGGTCAATCCCATCCTCAAACCTGGATCGCTTCACGTCCAGCACCTTCGGCCTCCAGAGCTCGGAGCCAGCGCTCGCAGGCGAGCTGGGGGGAGCGAGTCAGAAGTTCAAAGCCACGGGAGGGGAGGTAGAGTGGAGGGTGAGTCTTTTCGTCTTCGTTCTTCATCTGTCCCATGCTTTTCAGAGTCGCTTTGATCCAAAAGTCGGGCCAGCCGCCAACGCATTGAGCTACGGGCGAAAGACCATTGAGAATGGCATCAACGACAGTGGTTCCATTCGCACGAGGAATCCTTGGCAAGCAAAAGCGGAGCCAATTCGACGGACAAAGTGCTGGTCGCTTAGCAGCATGGACGCTGTTATACCATCAAGACCTTCTTGTCTAGGAGGAAAGATCCAAAGCTGTGTGGTACAATGGGTTGAAGGTTCTGCATATTGTCTGCAGGTAGCAACATCAGTGTACAAGTTGAAGCGTCTCACCAAAAAGAAAGGTAGACCTGCAACTGAAAATGGATCAAAAAATAGTTTTGGCCTTCAGAAGAGATAGGGGCGGGGGGGGAGGGTCAAGTCTAAACTTACTTGCTCGTGCTTTGGCAACTACCTGGAAACAGACAGTCAGCGTGTGACAGCATGTTCTGCTGTAGACAGCACAAGGAAATGCACTTTGAGAACACCCGTCCCACCATCTCTCTCGGAAGCTATGTCATCAAAAACAGTGACAAAAAACACAACATTATTGTTTTGTTTCCGCGGCTAAACCATCTCAAACAAGGCACATGATTCCATCCAGAGGAGCGGTGTCGAGTTCTGGCTTCACACCTCAACGCGCGTTTCGACAAGCTCAGCGAAAGGTGCTCAGCAGCACTTCCAATTCACGAGGGCAAAAATGGCGCAATCGAGAACGCTGCTCATGATGGTCATGCCTTTCTCCACCGGCACCGTAGCAGCCTGGCTCATCACTTGGGAGTCTTGCCTGTCTTGACGATACTCACGGCCTCACTTGTCCTGTATCATTCTGCATCTCCGTTGCACGTTGTCTTCCGAATTTTTCCTCTCAGTTTTTTAAAGAATTGCCACTTCTAAACAGGGTCCAAATCCAAGAATGAACCTGTTCGGTTGTCACCCACACCCAAAAGGGAATGACGGGACAGCTGCTTGTTTATGTGAAGCTGCGGCAGCAAAACTTCCACAATCTGGCCAGGGTGACACCACTGAGTGCATCTCCCGCCTACAACGGCACACGACGGAGGCTTGTAATGTTTTCTCTTGTTGGAAAGCTCCGCCTTTGCATCACAATCTCTCCAAAACGCCTAGAACTTAGAAAACAAACCCAAAATTCAAACAAACCACCTACAACGAACCACATCGAACGGTTTCCGAAAACAATCTCTGTCTCACTCTCCGCCTGATAATTTGCGATCCCCTTGCTGATCACTCGACCAGTCCTCAGACTTGTGTCGTCCGGCACAGTCGGGCCAATGCCCAACGGCACCAGGAAATCCCCCTGACTGTTTTCATTTACGAGTCGAGATTTGCAGATCCTTCGTTTTGCAGGTAGTAACCTTGGTAAAGGACTTGGTCCATGAACCAATGCTATGACAATTTCGTAGGGCCTTTCAAATCGTGCCAGGGAACCCCCGCCTGCCAAAGCTTCACTGGAGTCAACTAGTGTAAAGAGAACCTCTGAAGGTTTTTATATATAACTCTTCATGCAGCTCGCTCTTGTTTTCTTCCGCATCGGCTGGAAGTTGCACACGCCCATTTCGGGCAAAAGCGGCCACTCCAGCACCCATCATCTTCTTCTCCAGGTGTCCTCCCAACTCTTGCTGCTCAAGGTCTCGAGCCGCCTTCTGATGGAGAATGGGCCATGCTGACTCTGGGATTGCAGCCCGCTTCCAGATCTCTGCGTGAACGTAGATCTCCATGACCTTTGCGTTGATCCAGCGCCCCCGGCGCCTTGTCATGTCTGGGTTGTCGGAGCTCATGAGAAGCCAGGAGGCGCCTCCGGCTCTCAATGAACCCAAATCGAGCCCCTTCTTGGTCTGGAGGTGGTCCAGCAAGTTCGCCTGAACAAGACGCTGGAATCGGCTCCGGATTGTCGACCCCGAAGCCGGCCACAGCCGCTGATCAGGGCGCAAATCTTCGAACGCCGTGATGATGATTCTGACCAATTGGGGCTGGTCGACCTTTGCCATCTGGTGGCGCGCACATCTGAACCTTGTCTTGGGTTCAGCTATTTGAAGGAGCACGTACTCTATGGTGTAATTGACATCAGACGGGAGGACCAGGTCCCGCCTGAAGGCATTCACGGATTCTCCGATCCGGGTCAGTCCGGCGCATGATAGGGCGATGATGCCAGCGACCCTGCACCATCCCCAGCATAGTTGCCAATGAAGAGGTGGTGCGTCGGAGGTTCTTGTCGTAGCCAGCTGTAGGCCAAGTTTCAGGCCGGCTGAAGCAACCTCCTGACGCTTGGCCTTTTGGCCGAGACTGCGTTCACAGTCTCACTGTAGTGGCCGTACGGGCAGCCCGCCCGGTACAGCTCACGGCCGTACCTCTCAAGCAGCAGATTGACGGCCTCTATATCTGGGTTCCCGACCATGAGGAGGTCGTCTCTGGTCTCTTGGCGCGCTCTGTCACGGGCGTCTCTGGGCAGCAGTCTCATTCCATGGCTTGCCGCCGGCTACAGGGCCTAGGTTTCCTAGGAACAGGATGGTCAGAAGGAGGACCCAAAGCTTGGCCTGTCCAGAGCGGTGCCGAGAAGAGGAGGCAGGGACGTAGTGGGCTTTGTGGTGGCCATTATGAAAGCTCCTCCAGGCAGGAAAAGCCAGAAGGATGAAAGACTGACTTGGAAGAACCCCAAGAAATGCAACAAGGGTGAAGAAGGCCCCAAGAAGTCCAACCAGGGCAATCAGTCCAAAGTCCAAGACGGCTGACGAGCATAGCATCTGAAGGCCTGAGCGGTACCTGGCAGACAAGGGCATGCACAGGATTCTTGTGGTCCTTCCCCTGGGTAGCCAAAAGTGCTGTCAAACTGTTTCTGCTTGGGCTCAGGAACTTGGCGGCTGAAGGGGTAGTGCTTGTAGTTCCCATGGGCAAACCTCCATGAGTCTCTGTTGCAACTTCACGGCGGCAGGGCCTGGAGCAAGAGGAGGACAAGGCGAACCCAGTTTGCTCCTTTTCTTGCCAATCCGGAGATCTTTGAGAATTGGAGCAGCTCCGTACATGTTGTCCCTGATGGGGCCAGGCTCCTGCAAGGGCTAGCAAAGTCATTGTCTCTGGTGGGGTGATCCGCTGGCAGTAGTCGAGTGGGCCCAAAATGGTAAGCAGGGTACAACGCTCCTGCAACTGTTCTCCTCAAGGCTGGACGGAGGCCATCTGAAGGAGACCGGCCCTTGACCAGTGCTGATTCGAGTCCATGACGACCGGAAAGCGAGTCTTCGGCCTTCTGATGGCCTGCTCTTTCATCAGCCTCTCGGCCGCTAGAACTTCTTGAATGTTGATGTGCCTGGGGCTCCTCCAGCTCCATACCTTGCACCTCAGGCTCCTCGCGCGCTGTCGCCAGGACTTTCTTCTGTAGGGCCTTGTTGAAGGTCTGGCCTAAAGCCTCTGCCAACTCATCGGTGTAAACTGCTGAGGGCTTGGACCACTTGCCTGCTATTTGTACATGCTGATGGCTACCATCACAGCTTCGCATCAACTGAGAGGTGTCGATGCCCGAGGTCAGGAAAACAAACTCCTTCTTGTGTATCGGTCCAAACATGCATGAGGCTGTGAACGTCTCCTTGGCCCCCCAGACCGAGCAGAGAAACTGCCACTCTGTGAGCTTCCTCATCTTGCTTCTTCTTGGCTGTTCAAGCAGGCCGGGAATGTTTGACCTGGCTGCCAACATCATCAATGACAGGGCCGGCAGGGCCATCGTTGTGCCTTGGAGGGTCTTTGGCCCGAGGGGGTCATAGTCATAGCTTCTGGACGCAGGATGTTGGGCCGGACTGAAAGTGGTGCATGGTGGAGCTATCATGAAAGAATCTAGCTTGCCGGATTCAATCAAGAAGAAAAGCCATGAAATGACTCGTAGGGCTCCACAGTCAAAATGGGGCGACCTGTCTAGATCAATGACAGGCCCAACAATCCAGCCATGGCTAGCAACCGCCTTTGCAACTTTCCCGGCTCCTCCACAAATATCCAGGAAGTGAATCGAAAAGCTATAGGCCTCTCCGGGCTAGCATCCTCCTGGGTCTCTGCTGGGGCCTCAAAACTTTCTTCATACATTGCATCGATGTTCTTGAGGATGGCTTCAGTTCTGGACAGCATCCTGGCATAGCTGGCTTTCTTTCTCCCAGACCTGCACAGGGCCCTTGCAAGGGAGTCACTGATCTCCGCTGAAACAACCGCTCCCTTGCCATCGGAGGAGTCCGTGGCAAAGCGTCGAGACTGCATGGTGGCTGAAATGTCTGAGGCGATCAGGGGGCATAGAACTGCAAGAAGGGTCAACTCCTCTGCAATTGATCGTGGTAGGCGTACTGTCTTGGGGTTCTCTTGGTCAACCTCAGACATCTGGATCTTGTAGGCCTTCTGGAGGATTGTACATGGCAGCTGAGACCCACCCGCCGACCAGGCAGGCATGCAGTGCGTCTGAAGTGGTCTCTCTGGCAACAAGTTCAAGGGAGATGAAAGCCAGAGCAAGTCTTTTCCACACCGGAGCAGCTACCAGTACAAGTCCTTTGGATCTGGTTTGCAGAGATGCATCTATCTCAGCCCCAATGATCTTCCCTTTCTCTTCATCGATGAGGTCCTTGAGGGGGGATCCTTCAAGCCCCACCGGACCCTTGACCCCTTTCGGCTTCCAGCAACTCGGTGACCAGGTCCCAATCGAGGGTATCGGTCGAGAGCTCTGTGACTCTCTCTGGCCCGGATGAAGGTCCCCTTTCATCAGCGGCTGCAGCCCTCTCAAGATTTTCAGCAAGGCCCCTAACAGCGCGAGCGGAAGCTCGAACAGCCTCAATCAACAGTGGGAGAGCGGCCTGAGCGCTCATGCAAATACGCCGAAAGGCGTAGAGATGGGGTCGGAACCCGGTCAAAGCGCTGCACTGGGGCAGCGGAGGAAGATCCCGGAGGCCAGGGATGGAGGTAGAGCCAGCAGCACAGGAGAGCCGCGGAGAGGAAACCAAGGCGAAACCTGTGATGAAGAAGCAGGCCAAGTACGGCGCGGATGCCGAGCAATGAGATGGACAGGCCAAGCCGAACCAGCCCGACGCGCTGCCGAAAGAAATGAGCCGGAGCAAGTCTCCGACCCAAGGCTGCATGAAGCTTGAGCAGCGGCCAAAGCAATCAGAGTTACAAGTCACTATATACGGCCTTGCTTTTGGTGCGTCCCACTGCAATTGATTAAAACATTTGAACATTCAGCTCTTCCAAAAAAAAACAGAACGTTCAAAATGGTTAGGATCAGTTCACCTGCACTTTCTTAAATATGTTTAAACAGCTTAATGGGGTTTCTGGCAGACTTGGGAGATCCATCTGGATCAACGAATCGATCCTGTGCGGATCCCGTGCGGATCATCGACCGAAGCCGAGGGCCAAGTCGCTTGTTCTGCTGCTCCAAGGGAGCCTTTGACATCTTCTCATCGAAGACGATGACCGACTTGGCACCTGCAAGAAAGTATGCGGGCTCCAAGAAACACTGCAAAAGAGGATCAAATCGTAAGAAGAAGAAGAAGAAGAAGAGGAAGAGGAAGAGGAAGAGGAATGAAAAGAAAATATATTCTTACAAAGCGTTCCAGATCCACGGTGAAACAAACTGATGCTGGCCTGCAGCTTTGGCCATCTGGACCTGGTTGCGCGCTACAAGCTGTTGCCCGAAGGCAAGTGTCTGAAGGCAAATGGTTCTCAATCGACCTGAAATTCAAAACATGAAAACACCATGTCCAAAGAAGCTGGTGAAGCCAGTCTTTTCTACACAGAAGCAGCCGATCCAACATTCAGTGGGCCTTCTGCGCAAAGCTGCAAATCCCTCTGGCGACCAGAGCCACAGAGCCAGGCTGCAGCAGGGCTGATGTGCAAGTGTGCACTTGGACACTGGGTTCGTGTGGAAATTGGGAGACTTGCAAAGGACAACAATCTGACAAGCAATTCAGACTGAATCTGGAAAGAATCTAAAAGCATAAGAGGTATTCTCGGACAATTGAAATCGCAGCGATACTCAGAGTCTCAAGACTTGCCTCCACCTTGTAAGGCGTGCAGCCATAGCGAGCATCTAGAACGCCTGGACTCTTCAAATACCTGGAGTCCGGGTGAGTCATCCAAATCCGCTGGCATTTGCCCAAAAAACTGTCCTACCAACTGTTACCAGCCCGCTCTTTTTAGAACCGGCCACTGCGAAAACAACCGCTGTTGGGTTCTGCAACTGAGAAACTTCTTGACATCATAAGCCACAGAGTGTGGGCCGAGATTGTCGCAGTCCACTTCAAGTGGAGCCACTTTAGGAGGTCATCATGCGTCATGTTCTTTCCGAATTTGCGTGGTCCTGTTAGGTAGTGCGGTGTCCAACCCAAGTGTACTCCACTGAACATTCCAATCCTTGCAAGACAAGAAACTGAATCAGGTAGCGATTTTTTTTCCCCACGGAACCGGTTTCACAAAACCCAAAGCGAGCATGCTTCCTCAGACATACCAGTTCTTCTAATCAGAAAAAACTTGTCATTCAAGGCGATTCCAATCCTCCCGCTATTCTGCCGAGGCACCCATCAAAAACGGAATCAAGACCAGAGTACCATTCTGCCAGACGAGCCTGAGGAGTGAATTCCAGCAGAGCAGACTCAACAACAAAAAAGAAGCAGAAAACGCTCAGATTCTAGTAGGGTGGAGGCCATCGCTAGTAGGTTTGAGGCCATTGCTTCTAGGTTGGAGGCCATCGCTATTACAAACAAAGAGAAAAGAAAAGGAAGAAAGGTCTCAGATTGAGACTCTGAAGTCCACACGTTCTCCGGCCTGGAACCACAAAATTCTCGCTTACTGGGACGGCACCGGGGCACCCATACTGACACATTGGACCTCCGTCATGGGCCGAACCTGTATCTCCACTTGCAGGATCAGGTCATCTCGCAAACCTCAAAAAATGACGCCGACATTGCTGGAGCAAGTTCAACCAGCCAAGATGAGGCTTCGACCCTCAAGCTTCTGATAGTATTTTCCTTGCAAAGCCAAACAAATGTTCGTGCATTTGTAGACTACAATACAATAGAATGTCTGAAGGGTGCAAAGTGCAGACTAAGTCTCGAATCTTTGGGACTAACGTTGACTTGGCATTCATGATGCGATCTTGCCTGCTCGCGTGGCCGATGATTCCCTGAATCCTCAAGCCATTGGTTCAAACTGTTTTTAGGTGGATGGTACAGAATCGGCGGTGCGCAAGGACACACCCTGAAGCCTAGCTCGTTCTCAGGTTCGCAAGCTGGGCATGGAAGTTCCCGTTTTGGAGGGACGCCTGAAGGCTTCTGCCTCATTGGGCGATGCCCAAAAAGCTGCGGAGCCGGCAATGGCAGACTCCTGAAACAATCCGTGCATCAAAATGGATGGCAAAAATCTTAGGACAAAACAAGTGAGATACACAATGTTGAAACTGTTCGAGCGCCGAAACACTTTCTGACACCTGCAACAGTAAGCGTCTTCCAGTGGAGGGCCTCGGCCTCAAGGTTCACAGATTAGCCAAGCAAAAAAACACTGCAAAACACACGAAACAACGGCCAAAATCTTTGGGCCACGGGCTCTGCTCCCTTACCTTCGGATGCCCCGAGCCAAGCTTGCAATCGAAGGCCTCGAGAGAAGAGCCAAACGGGTCCACTGCGGGTTCCATCGTGCAAAGCGCAGGGCCTTGAAGAACCGCAAGTGCTACAACAAGCACGGCGGCCTCAATTTAGACAGAAAACGGCACAACAAGAGAAACACAAATTGAATTATTCATCATGAACTACCAAAAATGGTGACTTATATATGGAACCTTCATTTTGTGAGGTTTCTGCCACGGTCGGCAACGCGCCGGGTCGAGGACGTGCCTCAGTGAGCATCTTCGATGCAGGGTAAGAACAAAATTGATTTTTAAGTTTAATTCCAATAGTTTCTTGTTACTACTAGTAAAGCACCTGTTACTACTAGCGTGGCACTTGTTACTAGTAGCAAACGAAAAAACGGCCATCTCAGAGCAAGACTCGGTGTCTCGCCACCATCTGATCCACTGAAGTGATTCCAGCGTTCTGAACGTGTCAGCGGTTCTCGTATGGCATGTTTTTTCCCGTACGTTGTTGTGACCACCAAGCGTGATGCCCAAACAAAAACGTTGACCTTTTTTGCGATTCTTTTGAGTCCCACGTTCGGACGTGTGACATGTGCATTGACATCTGTGCAGCAAGGGAAACAACACGAGTTCACCTGAAAATCCACAAGCAAAGCTGCAGAACGGAAAACATTGGTTTTGCAAAATAGATGCAGGGTCCAAAGTTCAAAGCCACAAAAACGGAGATGTGTTTGGCTCAAATGTTGAAATCCAACTTGAGCATGTAAGTTCACCCCACAGCCAAAACCATACGACTCAGCGATGCTGTCACACATCGACAAAAAATATCAAAAAAATGTTGCCAGGGTTCTGGTCTAGCACATTGACAAGTTATCCTTGGCTTGCAATGTATGTTTTGTACCAAGTTGACTCACAAATAAAAGTCATCGCCTTTTGAAAACTCTATCGCTGTGCCCACAAAATGAAGAACTACATGCCAAAGTTGTCGAGAGTAGCCAACATAGACCTTGCCCCTGACCCTAATTTTGATTATGGAGAAAACAGACCACATAACAATGTACAACGTGTTTTGACCACACTTTTCTTGTTGGTTCCTGTTGTTGTTTTTTCCTTCGCTGCGCGCATTGTGGTCGAGGCCACGCGTCACAACTTTTTGGCTCCCGTTGTTTTATTGATTTTTTCGTTATATTCATTGTTTTTGTATGTGTTGTAAATATCTAGTCATCTCTTCTCTATAAAACAAAAAATTCAGTTCCATGATGATTTTCTATAAAACTGAAGTTGTTTCTCCTTCTTTTTAGAGGTTTCGATCCGAAAGGGGGGAACCAAGAAAAACACAAGAAGAGATCAAACTATCAAACTGAAATCACTGCAAAATACATGAACCGCTTAAGTCCGCTCCTTTTTAGACACGTCTCGTTGGGAGAATCACTGCCTCCGTTTAGAGGCTCCGGCACACATCTTCGAATGCGTTGAACGAACATTGGGAGAGCTATCGCGGCCCAAAGTTACTTGTGGATGCAACAACAGCTCGCGGTTCTGCCATAGCTTCAAGGTACTCAACATCGTCAAAGTGGTAAAGAAGAAGGCTCACATACGCAGTGGCCTGCGTCACGCACTGCAACGTAATAGGCATATTGGAGCGTTCGTGTGGATAGGTGGAGAGAGGGGAGGCGGAGGGCAAGATTCGAAACAGAGTTCACAAGTCTGAACGTGGTTGTGAAATCTGTGAACGTTACTAAGGCCAGCATGTATGTGAGATCTGTTGATTAGGCCAGCAAGTATTAGCATGAGTCCCGCATGTTGGTCAACCCCAGGTTGCATTCTTTTCGTTTTGGGCACATAAATCGGGAAACCCGGAATCATCGAGTGAACACGAACTGAACGAAAAATGACCAGCGGATAAAACCTTAAAAAGAAAGCACTACTCTTCTTTTTAGAGGTTTTGATCCGAAAGGGGGGAACCAAAAAAAACACAAGAAGAGATCAAACTATCATTTTTTTGCACGAGTGGAGACGCCATGTGTGCATGGTGCACAGGTCATCTTGGACTAAGTAATGAATCTCCAAAATCTCAGCACCGAGGAGATTCAAGTCTGTACAGATAGAGTGAAACATCAGTGAAACTGAACTATGACTCTTTTGTTTTGGACATTGAATTCAGAAGTGAGCTCCGGAACATATCTTGCTAGCTTGTATCTAGTTTGTTCTTGCGCGAAAGGAGGGCAGCAGGCCTGTGAAACAGGCCAGTGCAAGAGCACTCGTTGAAATCAGTGCTCTGGCAATTGTTCAAGGCTCATTGGTGTGTAGTGGGCAGACCAAGCCGGAGCGTCATTCAGCACTGCGAATGAACAGTGACTTAGCTCAGTTTCGTCACAATCTTGAATCCAAATCGGTGCCTATGTCTAAGTACTGAGATTTGCAATCTGTTCGCAGGCGAGAACCTCAGTTCTTGTCCTGTGGCAGTGAGCATAAACAGACCGTACAGTTGGTTGGATCGCAGGCGAGTGCCTTGGCTCTTGTCCTGGGGGTGGGTCCGTCCCTGCCAACCTCAAAGTGTATAGACGGCACCGCACTCAGGTTTCACATGGGCAACGCATGACCGCGGCAAGTCTGCCCTGATGTCGAGGCATTATCTGATCAAGCAAGCGCAATGCATTTTTCGCTTTACTCCTGCAGGCTTAGCTGTTAAGGAGTGTGCTCATGTTTTTTTTTTGCACGGGTGGAGACGCCATGTGTGCACAGATTGCACAGGTCATCTTGTGCTAGTTAAGAGAGAGTTACGAGCCAGGATGCGAAACCGAAGAAAAACACCAGCAAAAACACCAAAACCAAACAACAAACAAAACAACCAACCCAACCCAAACAGACCACGAAGCATTCTGGCATGTAACTCAAGAAGGTCTCGTAGACCGCAAAAGCGTGAAGGGTGAAACATGGGGCTATGAATTAAGCAAAGGCCTCTCAGTAGTGCTGGACAGTGCAAGTTTTGTCTATCTTCATTCAACGTCATCCCTTCAATGCTGCAAAGCGTCCTGAGATCAGAACGCTGTGCAGGCTATTGCACTTGGAGGGCATCGAAAACATCGCTTGCGACGTTGTGCAGTCAAACGAGCAATCATTATCATTACGATGCCGAGTCAACCTTTTCCTCTGCAGCATCGAACAGGCATATGGGGAAAGACCACTGTGAATAGTTCCCGATAGCTCCAAGCCTTCGGACAACAGGATTCAGCGATTGCTAGAAATTTCTTTGGGAAGGCGATTGCATACTGCAAATAGCCACCCCTCCCCGGCGGGAAGGAGGGCAGTGGACACACTCTACTTGCGTCGGTGGCTCCCGAACAGCTTGGCCCACGGGAAGACACAGAAAGGCTTTTTTGCACGAGTCGAGGCGCTGTGTGCGCAGGTTACGCACAAGTCACCTTAAGCTGGTAAAAAAAATTGCACGAGTGGAGGCGCTGTGTGTGCAGGTCATGCACAAGTCACCTTAGTCGAGTTAAGAAGGAGTTACTAGACAGGTTGCACAAAACACGAAAGGACCAAAGCAACCCAAAACCCACCAAAAAACAACACAACAAGACCCAAACCGAGTGCAACCTGTAGCGCAGCTCCGAGAGCCAAGAAGGCTTGAAAAAGGTGAGACAGGGGCGATGAATTCCGCAAAACGCTCAGTACTTCTTGTTCTTCATGAGGCGGAGCAAGGTGCAATCGAATCAGGGGCATAGGAGCCCAGCGAGCAAACGGTTGCATGTGCTGTTGCAAGTACTGATTAGCCATTTATCACCCTGTGAGTGCCGTAGCACCGCCAAAAAGGCAAGGATGAAAAAGATGGGAAGGATTGCACAGTCCAAAATTGCAGCGTTGCTACTGTGCTCTTACCACCAGTGAAAGTGTGCATCAAATAGATCCGAATTGTTAGTGAGGGAATGGCCCTTTGACCAGGGTCCATTCGTCACGATTTGCTTTTTTGCCAGCAGGTGGCCACGAATGCGGAACCAAGGAGGTGCCGTCAAGGGAAAACCACGGTCACTCAGCTCGGTATTTCCAAAAAGCCCAGGATGAAGGACAGTGCGAGGTCACCGAAATGGTTCAAAAGAGGTGGCGAGGGAGAGGTGGCTCCCATTCCTCCCCCAGAGGGGGAGGATCAATCAGAGCGTGTCAGGCAAGTCAAGCACACAGGGCTTGATATAGAGCGTGCGCCGTGACATGCTCCAGGTGTGGGCAGTCATCCTGGACCATTACTGCACCTTGTGTTGCTTTTCTTCTTCTATCAGCCTCTTTCCACCGCGGCCATCAGGAGCGGCCAAAACATGCATGTGCCCCATGAACTACGATGCTAAGTTAGGAGGTGAAACAGGGTGAGACGCCGTTTTCCTAATTCTGTACACTGTACTCATCCAGAACCACTACACGGGTAGCAGGCTGGGACTGGCTAACTACTCAGTGTCGACGAAGGCAGCTAGCACTGTGTCATTGGCTGGTACGCACAGGACCAGCACACGGGTGTTGGTCAGCAGCCTACTTTGCTTATGTAGTCATTATTGGTAAACCGAAGTGCGCTTGCAGCTTTCAAAAAGACATCACGAGATGTGATTGGGATATGATTGGGGTCTAGCCAGCACACGGGCGCAAGCAGTGACGCAAGACATCCGTGAGCACGTCGACACCAAACCCTCAATCGAGGGCAGCAAAAGAGTCATCTGCCCATTGATCCTCGTCTTCTTGAGTGCGTGGCAACCATCGAACCCAATTCGGCATATCTAAGTTGTCACAGCGAAGAAAAGCATTTCCTCGAGAGTAAGTGCCCCGCCAGGTCACACTTTGGCCATTTCCCTGAAAGCGACAGAGCTGTGTGCACCCCGCAAAAAGCTCGTCGTGCAATATAGAGCAATGTGGGAGGCACGTGCACCTCTGTTAAGGAGGCACATTTGAGGAAGGCTTCCTGTCGAATTATCCTCAGTACTCCAGGGAGTTTCAATGTCTGCAAGTGTTTGCAGTGTGCAAAGGTACCTCCCATGATTTCTGTGATTTCAGTTCGTGAGAGATCTACTAATTGCAGCTGCATACACCGCTCGCAGGCACTCGGCCCCATCCAATTAAACTTTGGAGGTAGGGTCAATGCGGTTAAGCCGGCTTCCATGAAGCAGCATTCCGGCAAACATCGCGTCCGGCCGTTCGGCTGGTGCTCCGTCAGCTCGAAATTGATTTGACGCAGCACTGTACATTTACGAAAGGCACGGGGCATGAGCTCTGCTTGTGGAGCGAGCTGATTGGTGGCGTCATGAGAAGTCCCAATCTGCAGAAGCGCACAGCACTCTTCAAAGACCTGTGCTCCAAACTGCTTGCATCCTGGTGCAATGACTTTGCGCAATGCATAGCAGCGGTGAAAGGCTTGCGTTTGCAGGCTGATTACCGTGCTCTCCAGATGTACAATTTGGAGGTGCTGACAGTTCCGCCAAGCCCCCTCCCCTATTATACGGTAACCTGCATCAACTTGCACATGCCGCACGTTTGCCACATGCGA